CGTAGTGCGCCGTCTGCGTGAGGCATTTTCCTTGCCTATTTCCGCCTAGACCTGCCCTAATTCGTCCCGATGGTGGACGCGCATCAAAAGTATAGAAAAGGGAGACATCTCGGGTAAACGTTAGGCCAAATAAAATTGCTTCCCAGTAGAATTTGATCTACATGATATTTTGATAATTGATATTTCTTTCTTTATTTCTTCTTTTGCCTCTGTAGGCCTACTAATAATGTCTGTTCACTGTTATTCACCACTTTCTGATCTGGGAAAATTCTGTAACTGCCTTTCCGGGAAAATCCTGTGACTTGTCTTTAATGTTTTAATAATGGTAATCAGACAAATCTGACTAAAGTCACTTAACATATCGCTAATCATTTTTAAATTAACCACTAGGGTGAAAGAATTTAATTTAAAAAAAAACTATAACCACTATCAAAGTGAACATATTGTAAAAGAAAGTAATGGTGCTTCATTTTTATTTATTTTTAAATGCAAACTATTCTCGACATCTCTCAAATCTTGATTCAAAAATAAATTAGCGTATATTTTTAGGCATAATAATTGGTTGGAAAAAGCATCTAGCAATATTGTCATTAGAATTATCATCATCGCCGACATCGTCTAAATCATCATCATTACAATTTTAGGGTATATAGGTCTATAACGCAAATGTGGTTTCCTTTTTGATTATTTGTTTAAGACTTCAAGTTGTTGTGTTTTTTGTTTTCCACTTGTTCTAAATTATGCAGTATTATATTTTGATAATGCATTCAATAATAATTATAGCCAACTTGAAAGACAAAACTTTCCGAAATGATCTTAAAAACGAAGTTGTCGATTCACTTCCATAGAAAGTCAGTGTTTTTTTTGTGCAAAATAATGTAGTATAATAATTAATGCAAAAGGAGTGGTGGTAGGGGGGGGGTCACCAGTCACGTTTTTGCCACTTCAACATCCAAAGAGGGTTGAAAGCTATTGTATAAGTATTTTGTTGACATTACCGAGAACAACTCAAATCATGTCCTGCAATGTATTGCCCTTCTCTAAATTTGGCACTATACCCCCTCCCCCACATCTTCTACATAATTCATCTATTCATTTATTCATTCAATATTCATTCATTTTATTGCCGAGAGATATTAATGTGATGGATAGAGATAAAAAAAATGTTCACCTTTTATTCGCCATAAAACTTTAGCAAACTAACAACGTATATAAGAATTACCCTAGCCATTTGAAAGGCTGACAGGCGTATAGGCCCTTGTGAAATGTATCATTTATAGTTTTATACTACTCTTTCGATAGCCATTCATATAGGTTTATTTCACATAAAACAACATTTATTTTATTCACAGTCAGCTGACGGAAATTTGATAGCAGCGAAAATGTCATGGTCCGTGTTGGCAAAAATATATAACACACAAACATTTGAAAAAAGATATTATAGCCTAATGTATAGAAGCACTAAGAAAAAGGATGTAAAAGTGAAGAGGGAGACTAAAAGAAAAATCGGGGAAAGGAGGGGTGTAATCGAAGAAAATTGAGGGAATAAATTAAACTAAATTAATTAAAACAAAAACTAATACATCAATCCTCTGCCTGCATCCTGTATCGTATCAGAAACAAGCACTCTTTTCGCTACAAAGCCACGACGCTGGATTGAAAGGCGACACAAGCTTCAGCGACATAGAACATAAATACAAACTTTTTGCAAATCTACCAAACCTGGCAACTTTTTTAAAAGCCGGACTTAGTTGTCATCGGGATCACTTTTGGAGAACCGAACTTCAAGCATTTTTTGCAACATTAATCAATCATATATAATTTTGTCACAAAATTTAACTGCATGATTATCACATTACCACATCGTTACCAGAAATTGTCGGTTGCTCGATCGAACGAACGGCCAAACATCATTGCAACATTCTTCGGGGGGGGGGGGTTCAATCTCAGCCTCCCACCTTATTCGCCTACCATTACCCCCGGAAAACTACCCCCAAAGATAATTACCCCTAAGGACAATTACCGTGCCTCGACGAGCTACCCCCGGAAAAGAGTCCCCCCCCCCCCCCCACCCCTGAAACTTAACCCCTATATAGGACAATGCCCCCCTGGGACAACCAAGGACAACCGCCCCGAGGACTACCCCCTGTTCAGTATGAACAGGGGGAAGTCAACCTCGACAATTAGTTGGGTAATTTTTAGGGGGAGATCATTAATTTCAGGGGGTGGTAATTGTCCTCTGGGGTTTAATTGTCCACGGGGGGGGGGGGCGTAATAATTGTCCTAGAGGGTAATTTTTCGGGGGGGAGTAACTTCCTCGGGGTGGTTGTCCTCGGGGGGGGGGGGGGGGGTAATCGTCCTTGGGGTAATTATTGTACCGCTAATTGGCCGGGGGTGACATGCCCAAGGGGTAATTGACCTAGAACCTTCAAAGGGCAATAAATAAACAGCTACTCAATTTACACTGAATTTTATTTTCTGGTTGTAAACTCAACAAAAAATGAATGGCCACCTCTAAATGATTATTTTGTAGACCATGCAAGTGAGCCTGCAAAATGTTAAGTTTAGTAGCACGGTTATGATTGCTCATCAAAAAGTGAAACAACATTCCGTCTGGCAGATTTTGACAACTGCATGGCTGTAATCCCAGTAAAGAGTTTTATGCCTGGTGACCATGTTATCTCATTTATGATCTTTCTTTTATTTGCAAAATGTAGGTCAACATATACGGGGGGGGGGGTGAATTCCCTATTTACAAACTGTTTATAGGTCGAATGTAGTTTTATAGTATTTGTGTATTCTTCACCTTCTTCATACTCTCGAGTTGCGATTTTATGGAGTAAACCGAGTGTTTTATCATGGAAAAAAGACAATGAAGTGTGCACTTTCAAAAAACCAACCGCAGACCTAAAAACACACAAATAGACTAAAAAACCACGGGCAGATAACCTTTTCTCTGTTAGAGCATAAACAACGCACGGTACATACACTGAACTAGCGCGTGTGTTTGAGTGGGCGGAAATAGGGCAGGGGCATCACAGGGCGACATGGCCGAGTTCAAGCCTCGATAACTTTTTTATAAATAATAATTTTCGCAAGAAATTTGCTCAGGTAAAACATCAGGAATTTAAACTTCCATATCTCTTTAAACAAAAGTAAAATTTCCACCATATTTTTTTTCTGATAGTTTTGAATAGGAACTTGATGTTTTTTAAAAAGGTTGATTCACACCTAAATAAGCGCATAGCTGACTGCTGCACAGTGACGTCATTCGCGTATCTCCGTTAAATGGGCGATCGACAGTGTACCATATTTCGTGCACATGTTCCTTACAACGTGTATGCTGCTATAGGCAAGTTAGTCGCACGCCTTCATTGCGCACCGTAGAAACTCGGGCGATGGAAGACGGCCGTTGTGTCTAATAAGCCACTGGTAACAGGGGGGCGGTAACTGGGCAGGGTACGGTACTTGATAAATAGCCTATAGGTTTTTAACAGATTTTTTTAATTTTTTAAAAAAAATTATAAAACATGTGAATAATGGCTGCCATGACTATTTCTTATAACTTGGAGTCGAAATGTGATTTATCAGTGATTTCGTGATCATAGTTCATCATTGGCATTTATAAGTCACATGAACGTTACTCTATATAGGATATTATATACCTCACTTAAGAAATCCAGCCATCTGATTGGTCGAATTGCATTCATAAACTTCAACTGTTCCTGTAAAATTCCCGGTAACCATGCATAAAACATTTCAATATTTTTAATAACCATGGTTATTAAAAAAATAGGTCAGTCTCCATGGTTACCCCATAGGTTTACATGTTAAAAAATGGTTTGAGCGATGGAGGATACCATACGTGTGCGAAAAATTGGTCGGCAATTTCAATACAATTGAATCTCGATCGATCTTACCGACAATTTTATCTTGCATTGTTGACATGAAGACGAAAATTAACTCTCAAAAACAAAAAAACAACATCTGCCGATAGATCTTGATCTAAGTTCGTGCCAATATGCATTGCAAAAGTAAAAGAAGAGTCCGTATATGGAGCTTTTGCGAAGCATTCATCACACGCGAAGCCGGTTTCAATCCATTTTAATGTATATATCGTACAAAACTGCCAAGCATTTCGAGAGGTCGAGAGGCCGAGAGGTCTGAGGCGCTGACTGAAGATACAACACCTTTTGTACGCAAGAGTTCGAATCTCATCTTCGACCAAAAAAAAGGATTTTTTTATTTTTTATTTTTTAGTCTATTTTTTTTCGGCATATAAAAGTATTAATGACTGCTTTAATATTCGAGAAATAGTTGTTTTCATACGCTCTCGGGAAGGTTACAATTGGGCTATTCCCCTCGGCAAGCCTCGGGGAATAGCACAATTCTAACCTTCCCTTGAGCGTAATAAAACAACTATTTCTCTCAAAGCAGTCATTAATACTATAATGAAAGACAACAAGCAATGTACAAACTTGGGAGAGAGAGGAAGAAAGTGGAAAAAGACAGAGATCGATCATGGAGGGAGAGTGAAAGAGAGGAGCAGGCGCGTAGCCAAGGGGAGGGGGGGGGGGCACGTGCCCCCTAAAATTTCCAAGATCGGTTGAACTTTTTTGGACCCCTTTTTTTTTACCTCGATCGATTACATGAATGTGCCCCCCCCCCCCCCCAAACGTCGAACTCTGGCTACGCGCCTGGAGAGGAGTAGGCTAATTTGATTATTAAGTCAAGTAGAAATTCAATTTAGTATTAGGCCCGAAAGAATTATTTACAATGTTTTGTTTTAAGTGGAAACATTAAGACATGAAAATTAAGCCACTCTTCCACTCCCCCCCCCCCCCCCTCTCTATATCTCTCTCTTTTTTTTTCTCCATCTCTCTCCCTCGCCTAGGCGCCTAGCTAGCCTCCACCCCCCCCCCCCTTTTTTTTTCCTCACTCTCTCTCTCTCTCTCTCTCTCCTTCTCTCTCTCTCTCTCTCTCTCTCTCTCTCCTTCTCTCTTCTGTACGCGTACGGCAGGGGTGAGATTTTACACACTTAATTTTGTCAACAATCTTTTCATAATTATATCATAAACAGAAAGAGTTTTTAAGGGTTGGTGGCATTGTGTTTTATGTTGTCATAGTGTTTTTTCCAAGTACTCGATCTTCTTTGTCTCTATAACAGTATAAGTCCATCTTTTTTATCTGTCAATAATCTGATTTTACCATCAGCCTCACTAAAAGTTTTTAGTAAAAGCCTCTTTCACACCGTCACTGTGGTCCCACCCCTTCAATGTCGTGTCAGCCTAGGCCTGCGACTGGAGGGAGTAAAGGTGTGGTGGACGTGCTGGGGGGAGGGGGGTTGTATGAGCATTTAATCCATTTGGCAAAGCTTTGTAGGCTTTGTGGCCAAATGCTCTCCAAACACCCGACATCATACGAAGTTGGTAATTATTTCCATTTAATAAGTCGGTACGTTTCAGTTCAGGAAGATGACCACAACATCCATCCCAAGCAATTTTGTAAGGCGTGTTACACGGGTATGCTATCACCAAGGAACAAATGGGTGCCAACAGCAACCTGGGCAACACACAGACCAAACCCAAACTGTGCAGTTTGTACCAATTCCCGAAAAATGTCGCTTGGGGGGCGCCCTTCCAAGAAAAAAAGCACGGGTCGTCCCAAGATAGACCGCTCAATCAATGCCACACTGGATTCCCTGAAAGTAAATTCAAGGGTGGCTGACATTGTCATCGACAATGAAGATTCCTTCAAAGAGAGGTTTGGGGTAGCTAATGACAGCCCATTTTGTTGCAGAATATGTGAATGTGTCTTTGTTTGTCCTGTCTCAACACCTTGTGAACATTTGTTTTGTATGTCTTGTGTACATAACTTGTTCGTGTCCGATTTTTGTGTCCATTTTTCATGCCCCACCTGCCATTCACAGATACATTTCCAGTCTCTAACTCCAGCACCCACATACTTTCAGAACATTCTTAAAAAATCAGACATATCATGCAAGCAATGCAACACAAACCTCACTTATGACAAAGCAACACAACACAGCCATCCTTCCACTAGTGGATCAATAGTCGTACATGATCGACATTATATTCACAAACAAACCATCAACAACTTAATCAGCCAACTCACCCCTCAGCAGAAGGAGGACATTGGCACAGTCATACTCAGAGAAAAGTTACATGCTTCTAAAGACGGTGCTACTGCTGTATACAGAACAAGAGGACAAGTAAGTTGCATCTTTTCCCCTCTTTTTTTTCAAATATTTTTTATACTAACAATCTGCTGTATTAACATTACGATTACATGTAGGCCTATTCAAGATAAATTTCAAAAAATAGATTTAAGGCCTTTGTAAGGGAGCTAATCATCAAATAAACTGTATTCAATTTTTCTGCAGGTTTGCCATGGTAAACTTTCACAGTGAACAAACAAATATTATCTTGCAATTACATGTATACCCAATGATAACCGCACCCCCTGGTAAGTTTCACAACTGTCCTGTAAGGATAAATTGTTCAGCTACTACATCTGTCCTTTGGTCACATGCGATTATAATATACTGGTAAGGTTAAAAAGGAACTTAATTAAAAATGACATGACAGCACAGAAATTATATTCAATAATATTTCATTTTAATCAAGTCTTGCTGTAATTTAGTTGATATCATGAAGAAAAAACAAACATACCATAAGCTGATCTTTGTCAACATTTAAATAATTTCATTTCATTTTTGTTGTGCCATGCGGAATATCCCTTCTGACACATTGTGTTCTAGAGATCATGACCCAGTTTTCATGATGGATAAAAACGTTATACTATAATTTTAAGATGACCATCTCAACTTAATTTCCTGCCTTTCTTCACATATGAAAAGCCTCTGGTTACAAAACTAATCACGAAGCCCCAAAAAAGTTCAGCAGACAGCACTCCAGCTACAAAGCGGAGAAGGAGCCTTCAACTCGCCAGCATCAGGGATGACATCTCAGAGGGGTCAGCTGTCCAGTTCCAGCATGAGGTCACCATGGCTCACAGGGCAGGGGCTTTGGATGACCCATCTTCTATCAAGATCAAGGATGTTGACATGCTCACCATGAGGTCAATGCTTCGCCTTAGCTGGAAGATGACAAGGAAACTAAAAAAGTAAGGAACACATGGTTGGCAGTGGTAGTAATATGTTCTTTTATCATTTAACAATAAAAATGTTTATTCAATATCATTTTGTGACGACATTAATTTTTCTAAAGAACTTTACATTTTGTGGGGAAGAGGGGAGAAACCAAGAAGTCAAGCAGTTAATAAATTTGTCATCCTTTTTTCAGATGGCTAAAGGAGCACAACATTGCATCAGATTGTGAAAAGAAGGTGCGGGCACAAGAGGCGAAAGTGATCGGGGATAACCTGGAGGGGGAATGGGTTCCCCTCCAATTCCACAATGAGGAGAGGAAAGAGACAGAGATCACTAAGACTCCGCTTGTCAAAGTTTCCTCATTGGAGAGAAAGGTCATGTCACTACTAGACGAATACGAGAAGTAAGTCACTACCCATCCAATGGATGCACAAACTATAATGTGATTTAATTTTTTTGTCACTAATGTTTTTGTTACTATCTGCAATATGACTCCATTAAATATACATTGCTTGTTTGGATAGTAACAGCAAATCTAACATTCATTTTCCCTCTCTTCTCCACAGGCTGAACCTTCTATCCTTTGATGACACAAGAGGGGAAGTATGGCTGAAGGTCGGAGGGGATAAGGGAGGTTCCTCCTTCAAGATGATGCTCCAAATATGCAATGTGTCACGACCCAACAGTGTGCAGAACACCATCATTGTCCTCATGTTTAATGCTGTTGACAGCATATTCAATCTACAGCTGGCTCTACAGGGGTTTTCTGCTGAGGTAGAACAACTAACAACTAAAACATGGAGGTATAGTTGTCTTTGTCTAATATTTACATACCTTATATATTTGAAAATAATGATTGATAGTATCGTGCAGTCAGAGGCTACCAGTATCTAAAATCCTGTAGAAAACGATTAAAAAAAATAGAAACTAATTAAAGATGAAAAAGATGAATAAGTATATAAATACGATAATGGAAAGTAACAAATAAAATGGTATGAAGATAGACAACAACAAAACAATATATCAGTGCAATTCAAAACATAAAAGACCTCAATGATATGAAATGGTACATAATTCATGAACAGCTGGATACTTTAATTGGCACAAGTTTAATTCAAGTCAACAATTCCTCTCTTCTTCCTCAGAGGCAGACCGTTGCGAGTATTCCATTTTGGGGACTATGCTTACCTCTCTAAAATCTATGGCTTAACAGGTCCAAATGGTAAGTGCATATCAAATTTTAGAAGGAAAAAACTAATTTTTTCACAATTTGATATTGGAAAAGGAAAATCATTAAATTATTGAATTTAATGATTCCTATATCATGACTTTAATGCTTCCTATATCATGACTTTTTCCCCTTATCACACATCAGGAAAAATTGTAATGATTATTCATCCCCCCCCCCCCAACCCTCTGTCAAGGTTGTCACTGCTGCCTGTACTGTCTTGCCAGCAAGCAGGACATGATGAAGCTAGCAACTGAAAGAGGGGAGAGACAGAGTAGGACTCTAGCAACTCTTGAGGAACACCTCCACCAGTTCAATCACTCTGGCTCCAAAAGGGCAAAGGACCACTTCAACGTAGTGCGTCAGCCCCTTGTTACAATCCCCATCGATCAGGTATAACAAAAGTTTTAATAAAATCTCATTCTCATATATGACCATTTTTTCCTTTCATCATTCAATCAACATGCATGCAATTGATTCATTCACTTTTTGTGCCTCCGTTACGAAGTAGCCGGAGGCATTATGTTTTCGGGTGTACGTCCCGTTCTCGTGATCGCGTTATCTGAAGAACCGATTAATGGATTCCTGCCAAACTTTGGTCATGTATGTATCTTGCAGAGCTGATGAACTGACTAGATTTTGGGGTCACGAGGTCAAAGGTCAAAGGTCACAGGGCTCATTATGTATGCAAAAACAGCTTGTGATCGCGTTATCTGAAGAACCGATTGATGGATTCCTGCCAAACTTTGGTCATGTATGTATCTTGCAGAGCCAATGAACTGATTAGATTTTGGGGTCACGAGGTCAAAGATCACAAGGCTCATAATGTATGCAAAAACAGCTCGTGATCGCGTTATCTCAAGAACCAATTGATGGATTCCTGCCAAACTTAGGTCATGTATGTTACTTGCAGAGCCGATGAACTGATAAGATTTTGGGGTCACGAGGTCAAAGGTCACAGCGCACATTATGTATGCAAAAACAGCTCGTGATCGCGTTATCTCAAGAACCGATTGATGGATTCCTGCCAAACTTAGATGATGTATGTATCGTGCAGAGCCAACGAACTGAGTAGATTCTTGGTTCATAAGATCAAAGGTCATGGGCTCATTATGTATGCAAAAATAGCTTGTGAACGCATTCTCATTAGAACTGACAGATGGATTACTATTTAACTCAGGACATCTTGCAGAGCCAATGAACTGAGTAGATCTAAGGGTCATGAGGTCAAAGATCAAAGGGTCATATATGTATATGAGAAATTGCTTGTAATCACGATATTCTGAGAACATGTTAATGGATTACAATTGAACTTGAATTTGAAAAATTTCTTCCGTTTCGGTTTGTAAAATTGTTCTATGACGGAGGCATCATTTTCGAATTCCATCTAGTTTTCAATGCTATCAATTACTCTTTCTTTCTTTTATTTTGCAGGTATGCCCTCCTGGACTACACATAAGTCTTGGATTGTTTCTGAAACACTTCAACAGTATGGAGAAGGCATGCCACCAGCTCGACCTCCAGACTGTGGCTTACCTTGCTCCACAGGACAACCCAGTCAACCTGTCAAAGAACATGGTGTACATGGTGGAGCGACATAGACTGGAGGCTAGGCTGGCAGAGAAGGAAGAGGAGCGCAAGGATTTGATGGAGCAGCTATCATGCTTCATTCTCCTGTATCCTGAGGAAGCTGCTTCTCAACCACTCCAACTTCTCCAAGAATCTGTCAAGGAAAAGGATTCCGAGATAAATGATGTGGTGCGTATTGATTTCTTATATACTTGTATTCCTCAAAACCAACAACTTATTCTCTCCCCTATTAAATCCAATATGCTTGGATAGCAGACATGCATCATTATAAAGTCTGAGGTATCTCTTTGTCTTACCAATACAGAAAGTTGCACTGAACAAGTCGAAGAAGGTATCTGTGGCCAGTGGTATGATTGCAGCCAGCTTGGATCAAGCCCTGCAAGATATGCATGTTCAGAGACAGGCATTTCACGGAATGAGTTTTGTTGGCAACCACGTTCACAAGTGCCTCAAAGTGAGTATAGTATAGCACTCTTTTACTACAATTACAAGTGCATGGCACCAAACGTGCAAGTTGAAAATAACATATGAAAAATTTAATCTTTCTTCCTCACAGAATAATGGCCATAACTCTATTCTAATTGATATCATATCCTCATGTACAGCCTGACAACATCATCAGACTTACCACAAGAGTAGCTGATACGATGAGGCAGCTGTGCCCAGACAGTGAGCCACTCATCAGGGAAGCAGAACAGGTTGCAGCTACGTACCGCAATCTTTTCACTCTCTTTGGTCGCTGTCATGTTGCCATCAACACATGTGGGTTTCTGAAGGACGACAAAATAAATGAACTAGGTAGATAAAGGTCTTTAAAAACTTGAATAAATTCATATTTAAAAAACAAAAGTAAACAACTATGATTTTTACTCCTAAGGCACTTGATAAATTGGTACTTGTTACAAGGGAAGGGTATTTTGAGCATTATCCCTCCTATGTCAATGCATACCCTCCCTTGATCTGTCATGTACAACAAAATAAACATGTTACTAATATGCCTTAAGACTTATTCATCATCAGAATCTTTAAGCCAAGAATGTAGAACAGAAAATGTGCTTTTAGAAACCCATACTCAATTATTTTCTTTTCTACAGAGAGTAACATCAAGGACTACCTCCACTTCTTTCGAACCAATTTCCCCACCGAATCAGTGCCTCCCAAAATGCACCTCCTTGAGGAACACATTGTGCCATGGCTTCGAAAATGGCGAGCAACGATGGGAACGATGGGGGAACAAGGAGGAGAGAGTGTCCATGCGCAGATAAACAATATCAAGAGGGACCTGCGAGGTTATAACAATGACCTGGACCTGCTCTTGAGGACTGTCAAAGGCCAATGGCTGGCCAGTAACCCCCAGACATACAAACTATACATGTAATTCACCTTAAAGGCATCATTTAACAATGTTAAATCTGACATGCAGGGCCCTATGTGTATCAGTGTCTGTGATATGGCGTAATATTGAAGCCCTAAACAAATAATAAACAATAATCAAGAAGTGCCTCAAAAAAGTAAAAATCTTTGAGTGACCGGTTTTACCATACTCGTTTTCCCCAATAGACTGTAGTGTTTTATGAAAACGCAAAATTTCCAATCATAAATATCTTGATAATCAGACAGGCGATTGGCTTGTAAAAGTCATGGGGTTCCTGACTGACCTAAAGGATTATAATTATCATTGCAGCACGCGCTAAATCCAGGATTTTGTTTCAGAGACAAAGTTACCGGGTCCCTTTAACAGGTACTGGTCAAGAATGAAAGTGATCTCCTTCGAGTGCTATCATTTAATTCCACCTGAAAGAACATTCCATATAGTGTATGTAATGTCTTTAAACTATAATGCTCAACGCTGGCTTCTTTCGGTAGCATATCAGAAATGCACTGAATTTTTGTATGATTTGAGATTATAATAGAGATTTTTTTACATTAGTCAAGGTAAAAAAATCAACAATTAATACAGGTCCCACATACTGGTATCTAGTGTTTAATTTTATTTAGACTATTCTGAATTTACATACACCATGGTTTCACTATCTGGCAGATTGATAAGTATGATTTCAGGGCAGTGTATATAAAAAGGGAGTATGACGAGAGAAATCATTTTTTTTTTACATCTTTAAAAGCAATTGCAATATACAAGTATGTACCTTAAAGGCCAGCTCGAGGCATTCCAGTAGGACCAGTCTGTAAATCGCTTGATCTCATTGATCTCTCATTCCTGTGCAGAAATAATAAAGATTATTGAGTACATTAACAACCGGACTCTCAAATTAAATAAATAATAATGATAGTGTAATTTGGTTGGATGAAATGTTAATTATGTGTATTAAAAAAAAAAAATGTTATCTAGGTTGATTAGCAGGCACTTCTTGTTCTAATGTACATTTAAAGAAGATGAATTGAAATAATGAACAAATATCATGGTGAAGGGTATTATTTATAATTATTAAATGTAACTGAATGTGGTGTAATTTGTCATTTTGACTGGTTTTGTGTATTCTAGTCTACATGTTCATGATTATACCCTTTTATATATTTTGTATTCTGTTGCCTTGCATTCATGTTTTCATATAAATAAAATTGTAAACAAAGTACAATTGTACATTACCTTCAGTATTTAACATGGATTCCAGCAGTGGTAACTACCAGTAATAAAAAGTAGGAACTCTATTGTTACATGTAGGTGTGAAATGAAGTCATCTGTCACAGTCAGTCTCTTTCAAAATAATTCTCTCCCTTAATGCAATAAACTGTTTCTTTGTTGCCATGGTTATTTTAAAAAAGGCTATTTTATTTAAAAAATCATTTATATAATTAATGAAAAATAAAAGTATTTTTAGATGCCCCCTAAAAGCATTAAAATACAAAAGTTTTTTTCCCCAATAGTGGGTATTGAGAATCGAGAGCATCTGGAACCTGTTTCACAAAGCCTTTTTTCAATGACAAATGACAAAAATCAGTAACAAATCTGCTGATAACCAATCAGAAGCAAGGATTTCAGTAGCATATAACAAAAACTGTCATTTGTCACTGATGACAAGTTTTGTGAAACACCCCCCTGATGGCAAGTCACATGGTTGCAGCATTGATTTGGAAAAATCCATTCAAAATAGGCAATTGGTGAATCATCTTCGATAATGTTATGTAAAAAAAGTGCATGGCGCTAATTGAGCAAATGAACATGCAAGTACATTGTTTGACATGAATGAATAATACAAACACCAAAGTACATTTGTGCCAAGTCATTTAATCTCAAACATATACATGTATTTACATCATTATTTGTTGAATGAAATGTGATTGTCATCTCCATGATATGTAAATGTTATTCCTGAGGAGTGTTTCACAAAGATCCTAAGTCGATCTTAACACTAAGTTAGACTTGAACATTACGGAGAGCCATTTGTAGTCTTAAAATAGAATATATTCAAAAGCGAAAATTCAAGTATTTTAGACTTTTTATAAATTCTGCATCAAGAACATAAAAACTCCTTGTTAATAGAAAATATGAACGATTTGAATCAACATTTTATACCTTTTTAAATAACTTTTACAAAATATTTTCATAGATGCCAACGGCTTTCCATAATTGTTGAGTCTCAACTTTTAGATAAGTTTAACTTAGGATCTGTGTGAAGCACTCCCCTGGTATATGAATATTGTTTCATACACCTCCATCTCAAGGTCACTTTCAATGATCAAAAATAAACATTAGCTCAAGGATTATCTGACATATATAAACAAAAACATCTTTGTAAATAGGCAAACACAATAACTTAATGGGATTGAAAGGATCATAGAGTTAAACTCCATATACCTGTCACTGACCAAAAGAGAATGCTATACAAATGTTCAGTTCACATTGAATTCAACATGTCGTGGCTTCAATTTTTGTCAATGTAACAGTGACTAAAAGTTAGGCCATCTTCATATACAAGGTGAAATAATGCTTTCAAAAAATCTATTCCATCACAAAATCAATTAACAAATGAAAAATAATAATATTGAGATACATGAGACAGTGCACAAAATATCATAATAACAAAAAAGAAAAAAAAAAGGATTTAACACTGTTCATTTCCAACCATTACACTGTGAAGCGGTTTTTAATATGCTGTAGTCATTCTCTTTACGGGACACTCAAGTGCATCATCTAAAATGCTTCTTTAAACTTGTCGGATTTAACTGAATGTGGTTCTAATATGTATTTGTATTTGCCTTAACCCGTTCCCTCCCAGAGTTTGTATTTCCAAATAGAGTTAATACATAGCACACCTGGTACCCATTGGTACGCAACAGGTCAACTGTTTTGGGGGACAGAATATCTGAAAAGGGGGCGGGGGTTCTCTATGCCCTCCCCTCCCCCTCCACCTTCCTGCATTAGTCAGTAGATGGGGGTAGGGGTTACATGCCCAATGTTTGACAACGTTGTGTGGTGAAGCTTCTTTTTCCACACTTTATGCCAGGCTGCTTAATTTAAAGGCATTTATAATTTTATCAGAAAATTCTTGTCTTATCCAGCAGAAAGGAGACGTATTCCTACACCATTCTTAAAATTAAAAAAATAATAATAATAGTAATACTCGGTTCTTTTATAGTGCACAACACATTACAGGATAGCATGTCCCTATACGCTTCAAATAGAAAAAATTACAAGAAAAATTCATACAAATTAGAATATCTACTTAGAAGCAAAAAAGTACATGTAGTGTTGTTGGACACTGAATTTATGGGTGTACTTTTAAAATTGAATAAATACCTTTTAAGAGAAATAGTCTTTTTCATTAAATTGTTTGAAATACATGTAAGCCACACTTACAGTCAAATGATCCTCCTCATAGATTTCAAAATCTGCATGAAGAAACACAGCCTCTGTATCTTACCATTCAGAACTATTATACAAGCAAAAACAAATGTATCGATATTTGAAAATGCATCCTTGAATATCCACTCGTTCCACATCAGTAGCAGTAATTTGTAATACCATAAAGTGGAAAGGATTTTCAGTCATTTACAATGAAAGGTAAACACAGAATATATAGTAGAACAGAAACTAATTCTGGTTTCACAAAATATGTGAATAGCATTGCATAGCTTTGATCCATATTTTCCAAGACATGTTATGAATAATGTAAGAAAATAGATCTCTAATTCACATGAAATATTCACTTAAATTCTCTTAAATTCTAGAGAAAAAAAAATCAATACCGGTAGTCGATTAATGTGGAAGAGACAGATTTTGACGACAGGGTGTCAATGTTTGTTTTCCGGCTTACTGGAGTGTTTAGTGTCCAAGTTTTGTTAAGAAAACAAAATGCGACCCTTTAGCCTGGTCAGATATGGTTCAACGTATTTGATCCACAATCAGGGGAGCCCATTCACATATGATCTTGACATCATTTACTCAGCTGTATGACAAAGATCTGGACGACCTTAAAGAAGAGTTGCTCCTTGGCTTCTGTGAATGCAGCATTGAGGGAGGCCTTGGTCATCACAGAAGTTGCGGAGCCAGTGGCAAGACGGGCAGAGGAGGTTCCGGGGCTTGCATCGGACGGAGAGCCAGGCTTGCCCCGCCGGAAATACCTCTGTAGACTGATCAGGAATGTATTCTGTAGAGTACAGACAAAATTATTTTAGTCCTAATCAGCTCAGATCTTACTACAATAAAATCTTATTTAGAATCATAGTCAACATCATCATAATCATCATCATTATCATCTTCTTCATCTTCATCTTTATCATCAATATCATTATCCTCGGGTGCTGTGGTCGAGTGGTTAAGTTGCCGGACTATCGATCACAAGGTCCGCGGTTCGAGACCCGCCGCAGCACTAATGTCCTTTGGCAAGACATTGATCTACATTTGCCACTCAACCCAGGTGATGTAAAAGGGTACCTGGCAGGAATTAATTCTTTGAAATGCTAGAGCGCCATAATGGCAGCACAGCTAAAGCCGGGTTAATAATCTCTAAGAGGTTAGAGATTGTAATATACGCTATATAAAAACTGAGTATTATTATTATTATTATCATAATCATCATCATCGATATCCCCGTCATTATCACCACTACCACCACCACCATCACCATCACCACTACTATTGCCACCACCAACATCATCATCACAACCATCACCATCATCACCACCACCACCATGGCCATCACACCATCACCATAATCCAGTTGTTTCTCCTCTTACCAATTCTGAACCGAGTTCTCTTTTGAGTAGTTGCCTATCTCTGGTCGGTACAGCTGGATCCCTGAACGTCCTCATCCCCTGAGCCATGATCAGATGAACAGCATTCTCAAGAACAAATAACAGCACTGGCCTGAAAGACATAAACATCCATGGAATGTGATGGTTTAGTTTGATGGTTTGTTGTACCCAACTGCTAAGGAATGTGTATGCTTGTAAGTAAGCAACCAGGGGACTGACAGCTTTAAGTCTTCCTGAGGGACTTAGTAATGAAGATTAATGCCTTACTGAAGGGCACTAATGCACTGACTTGGTTTTGAACTCAGGACCTCCAGGTTACGAGACCACTGCTCTACCACTGAGCCACCTCTTCTCCTCCTCAAATAGCGTTTTTTTCCCTTGATTTTCAATAAAGAGATTAATGGTTTGATTCACAGCCCTGTACTGATGTCCTTCAGCAAGTGCTTAATCAATATATGCTACTTTCAACTCAGGGGGTGTTTCACAAAGATTCTAAGTTTAACTTAACTCTAAGTTGGACTTAACAATTATGGAAAGCCGTTGGCATCTTTGAAAATATTTTGTAAAAGTTATTTTAAAAGGCATTAAATGTTGATTTAAATCATTCATATTTTCTATTATCAAGGATATTTCATGTTCTTGATGTGGAATTTATGAAAACTCTAAAATACTTCAAATTTTTCCTTTTGAATAAATTTCATTGTAAGGCTACAAATGGCTCTCCATAAAACTTAAGTTCAACTTAGAGTTAAGTTTGACTTAGAATCTTTGTGAAACAGCCCCCAGGTGTGATGAAGGGGTTAGTAACCGGTAATAAGAAATTCTTTGACCAATGGAGCACTGTAAAAATAGCCGGGCTAAAGCCAGAATAATAGCAAGAGTGGACGGAGCATCAAGGGATGCCTACCACAAACATTGTATAAGAATACAATAATACTATCATTATCATTTCAGTTACTATTGCATGTTCTATTTGGCTAGGTGAAAAAAATTCAGTCCAAACTATTACTAAGTGAAATATTTCAAAAAATAGAATAGAACTTTCTACCAAGTAAGGGACCTTGTCTGCCATCTACAGTATGCAACTGCTTTAATTACACTGTAAGCTGTTCTGTAACTCAACTGTTGATGGACACACATATAATTATGAAAAAGTGATTCAGAAGTGTATCTCCATTCCTTACCTTTGCATGGTCTTTGCATCTGAGGGGGAAGCAGCAGGTTTCTGATCTAACACCTTCATGGGTGATTTATTAACATCCAGCTGAAAAATATGATTAAAATGCAAATAAAGTTTGGTGGAGGTTAATAGGTTAAAGGTAGAAAAGCATAATTTTTCTACATTTCTAAAGGCTTGATCAGATATGGCATGGTAGACTGCCACAAAAAAGCAGCTGTCTGCTTGCTTTCATCTATGTGTAAATGAATTGCAACTGAGCCCCAAAAAGGACTTGCACGTATTCACAGAGCTCTGTGTTATAAGATACAGAATTGTGAATTGCAATTAACATCACCATAAAAATGTTTAAAAATCTGTGGCGGTTTTGCTGCGTCATATCTGAGCCAGGCTTTATACACCTACACGCATGTTGTTCTCATAAAAACACCACAGAAACAGTGGGTTACTTCAAGTTATTGAAGGGGCTAATGTATAAAGGGGAGGGGGGTCCATACACTGAAGCAATTATATACAGTTAACAACTAAATTACCCATACCCATACCAAGTTTTTTAATTTTTTAAGTATGAGAAAAATTGATTTGTCTTGATAATGTCTCTAGAGAATATGACATACCGGTATCAAAGCTTACATCTCAAGTATCCAACAAAGGCACTAATTTAACCAGTCCACCTTTCATTTTTAAGTAACAAAAAAAAGAGTAAATATCAAATTTACGAGTATGAATATTGCAGTTGTTAACTATATTCTAATTTTACAACAAGTAATGACAGCTCAGTAAATTCAATCTAAAAATTAAACCAAAAGAGAAAAAAGGCACTATTACATTCATTTCAAACATTCTTGTTCCACATCTTACATGTATTTAAAGTTAAAAAAATAGAAAATGAGAAAAACATGGAATTCCAGGCTGCACAATACCTTTGGTAGCATTTGAAGGCACCAGTTAATGCATGAGATGAGCGTTCCAAATGAAGCTGGTGTTTTTTGGTCAAGAGAGGGAGTGCTGAAGCCAAGGCAGTAGAGCATTGGATATTCGGACACGTCAAGACTCTGTAAATGAAATACATGTACATCCAATAAAGGGGTAAGAATAGTACTGTGTTAATAGTTGCATGCCCAGGGGAAATCTGACGTAGAAGTATACTACCTCACATTGAGTAACATGGGGTTAATATCCTTTAAATAAATCATTCATGCTTTTTAAATCTTTTTTTTTTTATAGATACCGGTAAATAGCCTTCGTATCATTATAATGTATTTGGCATTTTGCAGTAGATCCCCAAGACAGTATAAAAAATGAGTTCACAAAAAATGACAAGCATCATATAGACACTCGTGCACAAGGCAAAGAGGCCTGGGAAGAAAATGTAAACTAAATAATCATGGCCTATGGGGCCTTCTTCATTCAAAGAAATCTTATCTTAACAATTTGGGTTTCTTTAAGTTACAAATATTACCCCTCAGAAAATGAAGAACGGTATACATCTCATGGAATGCTTCAGACAGCAATCAACAACTTATATAGCGCTTAATACAATGTCTCTAAGCACTTTATAGATATACTATTACCCCCGTCATTGGATTCAGTGCTTGCCCGCACACTCTGTGTGTACAATCTCCACTCCCTAGGGAGCATTCCAGCCAGGCATTACATGACGCTCAAAAACTGTTTGACCAACAATGACGGTCGCATCCTACCAGGAACCCATTTAACACCTTTCACTCACCTGGTTGAGAAGTGATTCTAGAAGATCTGGACTGAAGAGGCGGAATGAAGCTAACGTTCTGCTCATGATAACTAGAAGTCTATACAAGAAAAGAAAAAATATTTTTAAAAAAGGAAATAAAAGATATTCATATTACATAATGTACATTGTACTAAAACAAAACAAAAAATCAACCAATTTTAATAATTAAAAAACTTTTTAATCTATAAATGTAACCAAAGGTAAACAAACTCCTGGGAGGAGACAGAAAGTACATTATAAGAAATATGACATTGTGTACTGCAATCTGTATCATTTGCAAGGCAGTCAAACCAGATTTGGTACTGAACAGATAAAGTGACCCCTCCCATCCACTTCCTTTCACCTAAATAGGGCGAGACTACTTGACTTAGAATGTAGTTCTTGTTTATTTGTAAGTACAAATTTTTGAAGAAGAAAAAGTGTGTAAGGAATTCAAGACAAAAGTGTAATATGCCATCTACTGCATTTCTAAGGCAGTCATAGTAGATTTGATACTGATGGGTTAAATTGACCCCCATCCTCACCCCTCCCCCCCCCCCCCCCCCCCCCACCTGCCTGAATAGGACCAGTCCACTCACCTGGACTGCACTTCTTGAGCATCGTCACTAATACTGGCATCTGATTGGTCGGTTGAGACCTGGTGTTGTAGTAACCTCCTAGGTACCTTTTGCATTACTTGGGATAAGGGTTGGCTCTGACTGGCGTCCTTGGCATTCGTCTTCATCTTCAGAGCATCAAAGATTCAGAATGAGGAACATTAATTTCTTGTTAAAAAGGAGTAATGCCTTCAAATACTCATGATAAACTAAATAATACACCATTAATGTTTGTTCTTGTTTTTTTTCTTCTCAGTTTCTGCATTGTCTTTGGGATATGGAGAAAAATCTTATCTGTCTTTATAGGCAACTGTCTGTCTGCCCTTTTACTGTTGTAGGCTGCTTCAACCTGCCCCCCCCCCCTTCCAATTGGTAATGCATCTAATGATTTTTATCAAAAAAAAGTTTGCTTTCTTTTAGAAATTCAGAATGGGTTCATTTATTGTGGATTTAAGATATAATGCAACATTCTAAATGAACAAAGAAAAAACACAAAACCGACACCAGTACCAACCAACATCACTATCAACACCATCACCAACACCAACACCACCATTACCACATCATACCTCTAGCATGTGCTGCAGTAGCCTCAGCCTGATAAGAAATGCCACACAACTTATTATTTCAATATTCATATCCTTCTTCATCCACATCATCACCACCATCATTATGAACATCAGCACCACCACCACCATGGACATCATCACCACCATTAGGCTTTTAAAAAAAGATGGTGTATTGCCCTTTAGGTACCAGAAGGGTCGGTTTGTCGGAAACCTTTTTATTTTATTTCCTCTTCGGGCAGATATTAATTAGTTTTGAATGCAACCGTAGATTTCAAGATTTTGGGGTCGGTCGCAAAGGGCAATTCAACTTTTTTTTTTAAAGGCCTTATGATCACCACATACCACAATGAATATCTCCACACCCTACCTCTAGCATGTGCTGCAGTAGCCTGGGCCTTATGAGAAGCGCCACACAGCTCTGTGTGAGCCTTGCTAGGGTCTCCTGCAGCAGGGCTAGTTCAGCAGGCATGTTGAACCTCCACTGACGGGTGTGATGAGCCAGCTGGTATACCAGGGAGGTGGTAGCCTGCGCCTCCTCCAGCTGGAGGGGGCTCTGAAGAAGGTACACCGACTCCAGACACTACAAGAGAAGAAATACAGGAGAAAATACTTTAACTTCATCAAAGACAAAAACAAGCAATACATACATATGTATGTTGTAGAGGTGTTGGGGTCGAGTGGATATGTCGCCGGACTGTCGATCACAAGGTCCGCGGCTGGATTCCCGCCGCCGCACTAATATTCTTTGGCAAGACATTGATCTACATTTGCCACGCTCCACCCAGGTGAAGTAAATGGGTACCTGGTAGGGATTTATTCCTTGAAATGCTAGAGCGCCGTATGGCAGCCGTGCTAAAGCCAGGGTAATAATCAGGAGCGCCAGGAGGGTCAAATCTGACTGACATGAGCACTATACAAGAACCCACTATTATTATTGTATTTACACTATTGTTCTTGTTTCTGGTTCAAATGGCTTAGTGGTTGAGCAATGGTCTCATAGCCAGGTGGCCCTGGGTTCAAAACCAAGTTGATGCCCTAGTACCCTTTGGTAAGACATTAATCCTCATTACCATGTCCCATATAGAGGACTTACAGCCTTTACAAGCAGCACTTAGGTAAAACAACCCAACAAACCAATATTCAAGGCCATGTACAATAATGGCAAGGATCAAGGATGTAAATCACTTTCCACCCCCTATTTCATTGTTCATGCTTAGAATTCATGACAAACTGTCATCAAGAACATTTAAAATGAATGGTTGATACAATTGCATGAATGCCAATTTTTAGAGCACATACATGTATTCTGAGATAGAATACATACATTCTTAATAGTTTAAACCTGCAAGAGAATAGACCTCCTTCAAAGCACTTCAGGGGAGTGTTTCACAAAGATCCTAAGTTGAACTTATCTCTAAGTAGGACTTAAAAATTATGGAAAGCGGTTAGCATCTATGAAAATATTTAGTAAAAGTTATTTTAATAGGCATAAAATGTTGATTCAAATCATTCATATTTTCTTTTATCAAACAGATTTCTTGTTCTTGATGTGGAATTTATAAAAAGTCTAAAATACCTGAATTTTCGCTTTTGAATATATTTCATTTTAAGGCTACAAATGGCTCTCCATAATGTTTAAGTCCAACTTAAGAGTTAAGTTTGACTTATGATCTTTGTGAAACAACCCCCTGGTTCTCAGAATATAGTTTCAAGACTCTCACCTTCATCATCCTCTCACGATGAACTCCAAAGAAGTCCAGTGCGTCGGTCAAGAAGGCATGACTGAGTGTGGCCAGAAGGGTAGCGGTCACTGAGATGGACTCTACATAGATGGTCAGCCAAGACGTGCCGTCTGGTTTCTCACCCTGCAGAATGAAAGTCAGAGAGGTTTTTGTTTTAAACAAGGCTCAATGACAACACCTACTGTGTGATAAATCAGAGTAGTCAAACATCATTTGAATGTACATGTAGCACACATTAGATTTATGAACAGTTGTGGTAATAACGGGATATACAACCTCACACAATCTGACAAAACTTACAATGATAGTTCGAGAGTGGATATGTTTGATATATGCTCATGGATTTCAGTACAAAATTTGTGTAAGTACAGTGATGGGCACAACAAATAAGGAAAGCTGGCTAGTCCCAACCCACATGCATAACATATGTTCTCATACAATATTTTTTCTTTTTTTTAGCAAATTAGTTCCCAGCAAGTTTTCATTTATTTTGTTATATCTTCCTGGTCCCCAAAATAAATAAATCTACTGCATAATAAATGATTAAAAATTTACATGTCAGCCAATTCCTCTCAAAATGCAATTCCATCACCTCAACCGAGATAAGAAAAGAATGTTGAATACTAATCTGGAAGAAATGAAATGTTCCATCCTACCTTTGTCTTCTTGCTCCATGTATAGTCCTGTTCACTGACGTTTTCATGGAGCCATACTAGAGATAGACATGTGTGCTGGATGTACCCAGTGATACGTACTGCTTCAGCAGTCTGGTATCGACCAAAATGAAAAAAGAAAGGAATGTTCAATTAAAGAGTTCTAATTGACTGCTATATCCAATCAAATTCAACTTCAACTTTGTTAATCAGGACATGAAATTATGTTAATTCACTCAAAAATAGGATTCTTAATGTTTTTTTTAATTCTGACTCTGAGGATTCATGTTCAACTTCATGACTGATGTAACATCTATAACATTGCCCTTTTGTTTTGTTTTTCCAGTTGACAAGACTGTACATATAAATTATATAAAACATCGCAAGTCAAAGTCACTCCATTATAAGATATCACAAAGCTTCAATAAAGTACATACTCCTATTACCCATCCTCTCCAACCGGCGCTATAGTTCTCCTTAGAACTATAAGCTAAGAAAGATAACCAACAGTCTTTTTCAAGACTACACCAACAGTCCTTTTCAGGACTACACACCCTCAAGAAAGAAACATTACTGAGAGTCCTTTTCAGGACTCCCCAATCCTCCCCCCTCACTCACATGGTGCAACCGCAAGCCTACTGTATAAAGTACATACATGAACATAGTCCTTTTCTCAAATGTTATGTCTGTTTGGGTAGGAAGAATAAACTGGTTATGGTGCTGGATAAGTGCAAGGGGCGGGGTAGTTGTACTTACCGGTGGAATGGCTGCTAGATCTTTGAGAAGTACCATCACAGCCTCAACATAATGCAAGCCCTTCTTTGCCTGAAACAAATAGAAAAGATGGAAAATATACAATACAGTGTAACTGTCTGGGTCAAATGCATTCACGAAAGATACATGCTCATATTGTGGGAAAATTATGTTTTTGTTTCTTTGGTATCAAGCTTCTAAATCAAGTTCTTTATGTCATCATATTTTGTTAGGGTTAAAATTCTCATCTTCACTATCATCATTTTAAGTATCATCACTGTCAAAGGTATCATTATTCTAACCATTAAAACTATCATTATCATCACTAACATCACCATCAGCAGCAGCAATATCATTATAATAATAATAATAGCACGTTCTTATATAGCGCTTTTAAGGACCGCAGGCCCTCTCAAAGTGCTTTACAGATAAGTATATTATTTCCCTGGTCATCGGATTCAGGCTTACCTGCACACAATGTATACACTCTACACTCCCTGGGGAGCATTCCAGCCAGGCGTCATTTTTACAAGCGCACACTTGCTAATCTAAGCACATTAGCTTTCGCATACTACCGGGTACCCATTTAACACCTGGGTGGAGAGTGGCAAATGTAAATCAATGTCTTGCCAAAGGACATAAGTGCTGCGGCGGGACTTGAACCGCGGACCTTGTGATCCACAGTCCAGTGACATATCCACTCGACCACAACACCTCTACATTAGTATACATTGCACTACCACAAGTCATTATCATTCTCCTCTACCACCTATCCCTCATCTCCATCAATCAACCTCTATTCCATCCTCACCTGTAAGCATGCTTGGAGAGTGCTAAGGAGTAGCGATACAACGCTCTGTTCCCTGATCAGAGGCATCCACTGGTCTGCATGGTCAGCTTGACTCAACAGAACCTCATCCAACAGATATGCAGCTATCACTGGAAGCTGTATCGGCTGAAGAACATATTCAAAGTTTATCAAAAATTTGTTACTTTAGTACCAACAGTTTGAGATGGGAAACAGTTATGACTTTGACGAAGGTAATGGTACTATTTAACATTTAGAAAATACTTTAATATGCATGAATCTTTTCTTGATTTGGGGAAAATATGCATATTGAAAAGTTTCGGGAAAAGATATCACCACCTAGTTTGTTTCATAATTTGACAGTTTTACAAAAGCAATGTTACAATTGAACAACCATGGGGATGTCTAAGGCATTTTCCAGGGAGGAAAATTGAGGGGTTTCCATTTTGACTGTGATAAAAACTGGCAACTTCTTTTGACTCTTGCCTTCTTTTTTAAACAAAAGCTGGTAAAAGGTCAAAATGCACTTCTCAATAATGCCCCTTTGTATCCCCCCAACCCTCCATCCCTCTTGGAAGAAGAAAATATGTAATTTAAGAATGGGAAATACATACAGCAGTACTTGCAGCCTTGGTAACCTTGTCCCCTTGACTTCGAAGCACTAGCTCCTCAGCTGCACCAGTCCTGTCAAGGTCTTCCATGGTGATGTCTAAGGCAACTTCCTGGGTAGGAGGTTGAGGGACTGACTTGGGGGGCTTGTGATAGGTCTTGCTGTGCTGTAATGCTACACAGATTGGAGGTAGGAGTCTCTCCATCAGCGATAGCTCAATACCTGTGGTAGGAACAAGGATAATAATAATAATAATAACGTTTTATGTACCCAGGGTAGCCACTTCAGTTATGAAACTGCTCTTCCAGCGGGCTCTGCATAGCATAATATGTTGTTACTACCCTTTTCCAATTTAATATGCTGAGCGCCTAGCTAGAAGGCAGAAGGTCCCATTGTTATAAGTCTTTGGTATGACTCGGCCGGGGTTCGAACCCACGACCTCCCGTTCACGAGGCGGGTGCTCTAACCACTGAGCCACCATGCCCGGTATGGATGGAAGAAAGAATGGATTCGCAAGGGTGGATACTCTTCACCATTGCCATCATTTAAATTAATTAAATCTTTGCAAGACTCATGACCATCATCACTTCCACCAACCCTTCATCCCCATTTCTGTCATCAAATTCTTCTGATGTTTATCATCCAAAATTAGCATACATAAAACCTAGGCATCTGCACAGCCTTCACCAAACAATCATATTAGTATATTCATTATCCCTGCTTCCCTGCTCAATGTCAAGGCCATGACAGTCACAACCACCATCTCCATCACCATCCCCAGTACCATCGCCATCATCAGAGTCAGAGTCAGAGTCAACAACGACATCAACACCACCACCACCTCCTCCTCCATCACCACTGATACCAACATCACCAACATCATCATCCCCAACACCGTCATCATCATCATCATCAACATCATCATCATCATCATCATCATCATCTTCGCCAACACCATCATCATCAGCATTACCACCAACATCATCAGCAGCAGCATTATCTCCAGTAATATCATCCCCAAAACCACCATCATCATCATCAAAATCATCATCATCATCATCATCTTTGCCAACACCATCATCATCAGCATTACCACCAACATCATCAGCAGCAGCATTATCACCAGTAATTCCATCCCCAAAACCACCATCATCATCATCAAAATCATCATCATCATCATCATCTTCGCCAACACCATCATCATCAGCATTACCACCAACATCATCAGCAGCAGCATTATCACCAGTAATATCATCCCCAAAACCACCATCATCATCATCATCATCACCAACACCATCATCATCATCATCATCATCATCACCACCACCAACACCATCTTCATCATCATCATCAAATTCATCCTCATCATCACCACCACCACCACCACCACCACCACCACCTCCTCCACCACCACTGATATACCACCACCACCACCATCATCATGCCTGCCATCCTACTCCCAAAGTCATCCCCACCAACATCATCATCACAATTACTACCATCATCATCATATGACTTACCCTCCTTATCCTTAGTTTGTTTCAGACGCCTGTGTCTTAAGACATTGGTAAGGGCTCCCATCATGGCTGCCTGGCAACGCCTCAATAGGGGCGTGTCCTCCGAGGCAAGAATGGCCTCCAGTGTGCCTACCAGGAGCTTGACCTTGGACCATTGACCACTTAGATTGCTGAACAGGGAGAAATCATTTCTTTTTTTAAAGCCCATCTGCAGTAGTTTGGCCAGGAGGGATTAGACCTCCCTGCATGGTCACTGACAGGTGGTTATTTCATCAAATCAGCTCTCAGTGAATATAATAAAAAGGGGACCATGAGGGACCATGGTCACTGATTAGGTATTGTTTGCTATATAGAGGGCGCAAGTACATGTAGCTATAAGTAGTGCAGTGGGGCTTTGATGAGATGAGCTTTAAAGATTAAGGTACATACTTCCTCATTCCCATGTCTGAATAGAGTTGTGTGTTACAGAAAGTTATCAAAGTGATAAGAAAGTCATGTATTTTTTCCCTTTCAAAGTAACTGATTTGTAGATAACAATTACTAGAAATAGGTGTAACAATGGTTACTACATTGGATATGATCAGTAGAATTACAAGTACAATTATAATAATGATTCAAAATACACCAATACCGGTCATAGGGCCAATAAAGATGATAAAAATCATAATAAAATAAAGATTGGAAAACTTTCATAAAATGTGACTAATTTGTGATGGAAACAAATTTGATGAGACAGGCTCCAGTGACAACTGTACGAAAGTTAATTTCCTTTACTAACTGATTAAAGGGGAAGTCCACCCTGAAATTAAGTTAGTTTTAATAGGAGTAGAAAAATGAGAGAAACAAGTCAGTGAAAGTTTGAGCAAATTCCGATTAAAAATAAGGAAGTTAGGAATTTTGAAGTTGTGATCAATCAAACACAAATTGGCAACTCTATGACGTATCATGCGAGCTCAACTTCCATTTGCTCAGTACTAAAAAAATCTAAAATTTTCATTTTCTCTCAAGAAAAATTTCAACCATACATGCACCCTAAATATAATAATTGCAAATATGTTTCTATACTCCCCCTGCAAGGAACAAATATATATTCCGTCATCAATAACGAAGAAAACATGATTTTATGGAATATTATGCACAAAGCAAATGAAGGAGAGCTCATATAATAAGTCACAGAGTTGCCAATTTGTATTTGATTGATCACAACTTCAATAATTCATAACTTTCTTATTTTCATTCAGAATTTGCTCAAACTTTCACTCACCTGATTTTCTTATTATTCTGCCTCTATCGAAACAAACTTATTTTTGGGGGTGGACTTTCCCTTTAAGAAGATTCAACCCTGGACCCTACAAAATACCTGAATATTAACCCTAACCTTGACCATAAACGTTATCCTAAACTTCATAGCAACTCAATTTATAACTCTAAATCCTTAAAGAAATAAAGCTTAGAGCAAATGTTGTAAGACCAAATGGTGGATCACCTGTGTTGCAATGATGTAAAAGTGTCCATAATAACTGTGATTACATTAATAACAATCATGGTAAAATATTGCAATGAAATATATTGAGCCGTACCACTTCCATCTGGTGACCAGCGTGAGGTAGACAGATGAGAGCAGAGCGAGAGCCTTGGCGTTGAAGATAGAGTCCAGGTTCTGGGCTTGTTTGTGGATAGCAGCAACCAAGTCATTGAGGATGGTGGATTGTGTGGCAGTTTCATTGATGGACAAGGCTTTGAACTTCAACGATCAACAAGAATAAAAAATGTCAATCAAAACAATCATGCAATTGTTGGCACTCATTGAACCACCAGTCGGTGTACATCGCTTCTACTCATATCATTGCATATCATTTCAATATTTTTGTTCACCATCACACCCACCTCTTATGTATCAATAGAAATAAAGAGCAACAAATTTATCATTATTAATTCCGCACTTTCAATCATCAACCAATGATATACAATATACAAAATGTTAACACAGTAATTTGAAGAAGTGTCGTGATCGAGTGGTTTAAACACTTGACTTGCAATTCAAAGGTCGTGGTTCGATCCCGATATGGCACTAATGTCTTTGGCAAGGCATTAATCTACATTTGCCACACTCAACCCAGGTGAGGTAAATGGGTACCTGGCAGGAATTAATTCCCTTAAAATGCTAGAGCGCTGTAATGGCAGCTAGGCTAAAGCCCGGATAATAATTAATGCGCCTCGGAATAGAATTTCTAGATAGACGGCGCTATAGAAATGCCTATAATTATAATTAATTATTATTATTAATTGCCTAATGACCTGAAGGCCTGGGAAAAGAACAGTTAAACTGAATAATAATGACCCACATGCCTTCCGTCCCAAACTCAATAAAGTGCATTAGTGTTTAATACAATACACAGAAATCTCCAACATTACCCCCTTGCCTCTTGCAGTATCACCAACATTGTCATTTGACTTACCTTCTGTGATGCAGCTACCACTAAGACCGTCCTCCAAGCCTGAAGCAGGACCAGTCCCTCGTGTTCTCTCAACGTGTACTCTTCAACATCTACGTTTGTAGGAGCGTAAGCCTCTAGCACCTCACCAACGTACTGACAAGGGTCAAATAGAGAACGGCAAATATGAAGTATCAAGTTTGCAACGATTGTGAGATATTTGCAGGACATTGATCTGCTTCCTCTGTCCATGTATCATAATAATAAAAAAAAAAAACATGATAATAAAAACAAACCATAATAATAAAAACAAACCATAATAATAAAAAAAAAAAAAACATAATAATAAAAACAAACCATAATAATCAAATAATAATCATAATAAACAAATCATTTTCAATGTTCAATATCTTTCATATATTCCTAGCATCAAACAATGAAGTATCACATTCTCACAGATTGGAAAATATTCACATGATCTTGAAATGCTTCCTGTGTTCATGCATCATCATAATAAAACCAAACAAATTTCACTGCTCAATACCTCAATTCAAATATTCATCGCGTCAAACTACGGGCAGAGGTTGTATAGTTTTAGCTCTCATCGCTCATACATCTGCTCCATGTTTTAGGGCTCTAAATCAAAAGTTACTCCACTGAAACGCAAAATTGGGGCTTTTGTCCTGCATGGAATATATCCCAGTCACATTTACTGGACCAATACCAGGGGGTGTTTCACAAAGATCCTAAGTTGAACTTATCTCTAAGTTGGAATTAACAATTATGGAAAGCCGTTTGCATCTATGAAAATATTTTGTAAAAGTTATTTTAAAAGGCACACAAGTGTTGATTCAAATCATTCATATTTTCTATTATCAAGGAGATTTCATGTTCTTGATGTGGAATTTTTACAAAAGTCTAAAAAAATATATAATGGTTCTCCATAACTTTAAGTCCAACTTAGAGTTAAGTTCGACTTAAAATCTTTGTGAAACACCCCCCAGACCAACAAAAGAACCATTAGAAAATTACATTACATCACCCACAATGACCAAGATTTTGTAGATTGTAGGCCTGGTAACCCTTTGACTTCTGAATTACCTAATGCCCATAGGCTTAATACAGGGACTATCCTGTTCCTGTAGACAATCGGTTAAGAATCAATTTGGTGGGTTGACAAGAGTAATATGTATATGAAACTCACCTTGGACCAGAACTGGAATCTGTTCTCTTCATCCAACTTCTTCAGGACATCGTCCAAGTCTTTCGGTATACCCGATCTGCAGAAAGCAAATAATTGGGGTATTCAATGTGACTAAGAATCTATGTTTATGTTCACCTAAAACAGCAAGAATTCAACATTTGTACAACCTGTCCATTATTACTTGCAGCGCATGACCACAAATTGCCAGAATACGGTCAATCTATGAAGTCATACTGATTTACTACTCCATAAACCAATAATACTGTTCAGTAGATATCATCTATTTGTAGTTTTGAACATTAAATATAAGATCTTATATACAGTAGGCTTGCAGTTGCACCATGTGAGGGGGGAGGATTGGGAAGTCCTGAAAAGGACTTGGTAATCTTTCTTTCTTGAGTGTGTGTAGTCCTGAAAATGACTGTTGGTTATCTTTCTTAGCTTATAGTTCTAAGGAGAGTTGGAGAGGATGGGTAGTAGGAGTGGCTGGATGTTTTGAACAGGTTGACTATCCGATACTTCTAAGCAGCATCTAAAGATGTTGTATGTTTGCTCTGTGGGAAAGGTTCCTATCTATACTTCCCAGATTACTTGTAATGTACATGTACTTGATTGTTACTTACTGTCCAGCATGGAAGCACTCTAGTGCCAGTATCCTGAAAGCATGAGCCCTGATCTTGATCAGAGAGCTGGTTACCTGTAAGACAAAGCAAATACCAGTTCAATCAAAGGTTTTATCAACTGCACAGACCCCTGAGCAAAACAATCAACAGTTTTCTTATTCAAAAGCCTCAAAATTGATTGGTTATTAATTCATATCAGGAAGAGTTGGACAAGGTAGACTAAGATAACATTATTAGCACTAAATATGAAAAACACAAAAACCACCAGCTTAAGAAAGTGAATAGTTTTGGAGTAGACAACTAGAAGGCATGCAGACTATAGGAAACTTGGGACAAGTATCTGGCAATTATTATACTATCAAAATTGATATTGGTAGATGTCAGAGACCGGACCACAAAAATTTGGGTCAAAATTGAAAAAAATTAAAACTTCCAACTTGTAATATGGTAAAAATGTACAATGGCATTTGTATTGATGATGATGATGATGATGATGATGATGATGATGATGATGAAGATGATGATGATAATGAAGATGATGATGATGATGATGATGATGATGATGACGACAACAGCAATGATGATGATTATGTTTATGATAATGATGATGATTATGATGGGGGTGAGGATAATGGTGATAGTACGATTATTACCTGTGACTCTGGCTCTGGTGCAGGAGGGTTCTTAAAGAGAGGCGCTGCTACATCACTCCAAAACTTAGACCTGGAAAGATAACATGAAGTGACAATTATGTACAGGTTGATGAGGTCATATCATGATGCAATACTGTATAAATGAGCTAAATGCCTAAATATTTGAATCATCTCGCTCGCTCGCTCTCTCGCTCTCTCTCTCTCTCTCTCTCTCTCTCTCTCTCTCTGCCTAACTTGATTTGGTTCTTTCTCTCCAAATAAAAAACAAAAAATAATTCAAAATTCAGCACAAACTATTCTAAAATGTAAGTGCACTCAAGATTATAAATAACTGTTTATAGAATAAGAGAGATAAATTGAGGCAAGTTTTCAATCCAGGGTTTTATTGTTGTTGTCGTTGTTCCTTTCAAACTCTTTATGAGCTACCCACAGCTAAATCACTATTGCTATCATGTGCAAGTACATCTTTTACATTTTCTATATTATATTGAATGTTCAATGCAAATAATTTTACCTTTATTAAGGGTGGTCGGCACGACAAATTCTCATGGTTTTTATGGCCACCCAATTCCAATAATGATCTATCTTGTGTTGTTATCTCACGTATCACTTTATTCTTTTATCATTTTGCCTTATTTTGTGCTCTTGATGGATTTATAATGTTATTCTGTCATGTTTGTATTCTGTTTTGTATATTTTATTGGAATTGAATAAAAACTGATTTGAATTTAATGTAGATGTAGATCTAATTTGGGTCAGTAGGTTCCTGTGTGAATCTTTCCTACCTTTTCCTGAGGATACTGAGAGCCGTCTCTCTTCTGTCCTGCCAGAGAGCTTGGAGGAACCCTAGGGCAGCACAGTGAAGATCAGGGGGGGAGTGGGTGGTGCCCTGCAGGAGAATAAGGAGAAGGAATGATCTTAATACTCTCCAGTCCAGAAGGTCAAGCAATCATAGGTCTCATACAGGTCATGTAATGTTAGGGTCATGTAAATGTCATGTAATGTAAGGGTCATGTAAATGTCATGCGAAGGTCATGCTAAAGTCATGTTGAGGTCATTTCAAAAGTCATGTCAAGGTTATATTAAAGGTCATATAAAAGGTTATGTCAAGGAACATGTATAAGGAGTAAACATAAGTCTCATTAATGTCAAATAATTAGCAAAGAAGGGAGTCAGGAGAAAAGGTTGTGCGCTGCAAGAAAGAGGTCCACATGGTGAAGCACTCAAAGGTTTTAGCATGTCATGCAACGCATACTTCTCAATTTTGAGCTTAACTACAATTCCTTTCGAAATTGGTAGCAATATCGTTCAAAGTACATCCTAAATGAATATCTTATATCATCATTTTGAAGTTCATCTGGACACCGTCTTTAAGAGTTGATGTCAATTGCAACTTTGTACATAAGTGATAGGAGACTACAAATTTGTGATTGATTTCGATCAATCATAACTCTTTACAAGACGGGGCCCAGGTCTCAGAAGTCAAGGTATGCTCCTACCTGTTTGGACTCTTCTAAGATGTCAAGCACAGCATGGATGCAACTGATCTTCCCAATTTCAAGCTCCTGCTGAGATAAGGAAATAAAAAGAAAACATAAGACTGATTCTTAATGCTTTAAAGACACAATGAGAATTATGCGAATTTCTTTGATATATTGTCTGTTTTGGACCAAAAGGGCACTTACTCATTTACTCTGACATATTTAGTCTGATCACAAACCATATTCCTGTATCAAAAGAAGCTGCATATGGACAGAACTATTCCAGTCTAAACTGTTTCTTTAGAAAGGATTGTAGTGGCATAGCATGGATCCTGACATTGAGAGGGCACATGTATGATGGACATGGCGTATTACACGTACGTGATCAAAGGGCAAATTCGTGGAGCTCCAAATAGTTCCCTCTTTAATAGAGATTGGACGTGAGAGGGACCTGTTTAGAGCTCTATGTATTGATCTTTGAGAACATACGTGTGCATGTGTCACAACTATCCCTCTCAATACGCTATGACCACAGGGAGGGGGAAACCCCATTATTCTGAGCGAATGAAATGCAAATTAGCACAGCCATTGATTGGACAGAGAGGGGTAAGCAGGAGTCAGGCACACTGTAGCAAGTTCATTTCACCTTATCATTTTCCCTCTCTCTCTTTCCACTCTTTTTTCCCCTCTCTTTTCTTGTTCTTTTTTCCTGCCAAGTCATTTGGAGGAGGGGAAGGAAATGAACCCCATGCCCCCCCCCCCCCTCTTGGAATGAATTAAGATTAGTTTGAGATGTACCCACCTGTTCATTCTTTGGACTCTTCTTCTCAGCTCCTTTCTCCTTCTTCTTCTTTCCCTTAGGGTCATCTTTCTTGGGTTGGAGATTGAGGAATAGTTCACTGAACCCTGGTTGGGTCTCTGCTGACACTGCCAGGAGCTCTAGAATACCAACCCTGAGCCGAATATCCTGTAAAGAGAATCAAAATAAATCAAATGTGAATATATAAAATGAATACTCAAGAATGAGAATCACCCCAATTAATGCAATATTATTTAATATACAGTCAAACCTGCTTTAGTGACCACCTGTCTACAAAGACCAGCTGTCTACAACAAGCATATTTTTTGTTTCCCTTGAAAATGGTTTCTCATTGAACATGTACTAAAGGAACCTGTCTACAAAGACCACTTTTTGTGTTTCCCTTGGGCGGTTGCTGTAGACAGGTTTGACTGTAGTATCTGGTTTCTTCACAAGAACAAAATATCAATGGCTAACGTCTATACACCCTATGAAAATGATGAAGTGATGATGATGAAATTATTGCTGGTATTTTATGAACATCTAATTTAAGTCAATGTAGTACACTTCTTCTGAGGGTCTTGGTTATTGCAGACTAAAGCCCTTACGATGTGTTAATAGAGCATCAACTTCATTTCAAACTCAGGTCCTATAAATTATGAGCCCATTACTCTACCAAAAGTCTTGAGAGTGGAATTACTAACCTCTGAATGAGTCTGAAGCCTGAAGAGAAAAGCATCTCGGAATGCTGGAGCTTGGTTTCCAAGGCAACCAAACAATGACATGGGAGCAACCTACAAGGAAAAATACAGAGAAAGATCAATGTACATTAAAGAGAGTGTGTCATGACGAGACTATGTGTCTTTCCTGTGGGCCTACTCGGGGCCAATCGGGTATAATACGACTACGGACGACGCAATCGCAGCATTTATAAGCGTGCAACATACGCGAAACCGAAGCGTGAGGAGAACTTCGGTCTGTTTCGCAAACGCTAGCGCGCGCTGACCCAGTTAATCAAGTCTATTCGTTTACGTGCAGTTGTCCAAAAGAAAATAGAGATGGCGTTAACACTACCGGTATTTGCTATGATACACTCCCTTTAAATGTTTGATCCAATGAAACGTTTATCATCAAGGAAGAAAACACGGGATGCATCTATACATTTGAGTTATAGAGAGTGTAAGTGATTATCTTTCTTCCTACCAATTTTATAATATTCAAGCTTCTTCCATTTACATACTGCACGTTATTCTAATTAATGAAGTCAGTTACATGATGAGTTTAAGATGCATGTATACTGGACTTCTAGATCTGAGTTGTTGCATTTCAACATTTTATTATTAGTAATTCTGCTGTAGATGTATTTGTACTACTTTTATGAGTATTCATTACCTAGCTTTCTAAGTAAATGAAATGCTAGAACATCAAGTGAGGCGAGGGTGAAGAAGGGCATGGTATCGGCTTCTTTGCATGATGCATTTCCTCTCTCTCTCTCCTTTTGTTTCTCTCTTTTTAACTTTTTTGCCTTTAGTGGGGCATAAGTCCCCATCTCACAGCAACTCCACTGTAAATAGAAAAGAAGGAAAATGTAACCCATTGCCTACAGGAACCGAGTGGCCCTGTATTAAGCCGATGGGAAAAGAAAAATTCAGTAGTCACAAGGTTAACTAACCTGCGCCAATCTCCTGAGGAGGAGCACAGCGAGCGTCGGAAGCCGCGGATCCTGCCGATGATAGATATACCCCGCTATCACAGCGACTAAATGAGGCTGGTGGGGCAAGCCGGTGGAGTGGGAGGTCAGAGCAACCTCCAGGGGGCACTGCTCAGGGGCAGAGTGGGTCGGAGAGCCGGACCTGGAGCCGGTCTCCTGCTGGGGCTTGAGGAGGAGGAGACGGTTGAGGATGGAGAGGGAGAGCTTCACCAGCTGGCTCTCAGGGGTAACATCCAAGAAACTGAAAGTGGAAGAAAATGCATTCAGTTTTAGAATAAAGATAATAATAATAGTTCGTTCTTATATAGCGCTTTTCAGGACCCCAGACTCTCTCAAAGCGCTTTACAGATATATAATATTACTCCGGTCCTTGGATTCAGGGGACTGTAAATTCAAAAGCAAGTGCCTATATGGAATAGACTATTCAAACTCACAGATTCTTCTCCCCAACCTGCCTGGTGAAAAACAACTTGTACGTCAAGGCCCCTTCATCTTTACAGAAAGGATTTTTATGGGATGTTTTCTTTCAGATCTCCTAGATGCTTGTGAGAAATACTGAACCATGGCCAGCCAAGGCCCACTTCTGCTTAATATTGTGAATGTTTTCAATTTGTTTGTCCTAAGAAAATCTAGTTTTTTTTAATTTTTAACCCTGACAAAGAAACAGGTACAAGCATTGCAAATTTCATTCAATTGTGGATGTATTATGCCCAATATGAATAAAGATGATAGCAATTCAAAATATGACTTCATTTTATTTGGGAATGTTTATTCCTGAAAATATTTGTTTAAGACGTGATGGCACAGAAGGTGTTAAAGCCCCACTGCGCTACTTATAGCTACTTGCGCCCTCTATAGAGCAATTAATGCATAATTGGTGCCTGTTGGTCCCCCATGATCCCCTGTTTCTTAAGTTAATTGAGAGCTGATTTGATGAGATAACCACCTGTCAGTGACCTTGCAAGGAGGTCCAGGCCCCCTGGCCAAACTAGTACAGAGGTGCTTTAAAGTTCCTTACCTTCCACATTCTAGCTGTTTCTGCTCGATGGTGTCCACCCCTGTAGCAGCAATGGTGAGCAGAGATTGACCAGCCGCTGTATGTAGGAGGCCATAGATGCATGCATCTCGAACAGACACTCTACAGATAAAAGGGGTGAGGTATAATGTCAAAATGTAGGTACAATTAAAATAATTTCTGTCAACATAATTACTCTGAAAGTACTCTTTTGTTATTTTAAGTTGTGGATATATGCTTAAGTTTAATGTAGCATTAAATCCAGTTGAACATGTTTTCTCTTGACCGATAATATTAATTTATTTTTATAATGCACATATCCACCAAGCAAATGTTCAAGTTGCTCAAATATTACCATGGCTCTGCTAGGCTACAGATTGCGGTGTTCATAGCATTCAAGGAATTCCTTTTTACCGTTACCCATATAACACCTGGGTGGAGAGTGGCAAATGTATATTAATGTCTTGTCAAGGGACATTATGATTTGGTGTCAAAATGTAACATCAGACATTCCATCGTTTTGGCTGAAATTCCTTTGTTAGCTCTCAAGTCGTCACAACAAAATAAGATTATTTTAAGCCATATAAACCTCAGAAATTTGAGCTTTTGATATCAAGAGTCTGACAGTTTCATCATTTCATACAAAATTGTTCTAAATAACAAAGATGACTAACATTTGTCATTGTAGCAATTTTTAAAAAAATACAACAAATGAATGAAAATTCATACCCCTCTGGCTGCTCATCTCCAAGCACAGGTTTCTTGGACACAGGTGATGTGGGAACAACATGAAGAACCACATGGAACACTTCCATTACACTCAGACCTGTGGTAAAAAAAATATCCCATTTAAAGTTTACCATATTTGGCATCATAAAAACATCCAAGTACAAATCATTAATACAGACAACATAATACGCCAGGACCCCTAAGAACTAACTTGGGCTTGTAAAAAAAGGGCCCCTCACAAGTTACACACAATAATAAATTACATTACTCATATATATTCATATTAAAACTGATATGAAGTACAACAATAAACACATTATATTGTTTGCCACAGTGCTCTGACATATGCTATGGAAACAACTGCTTTGGGCTTTAACTCTTCACAGACATGGGGTTAGGGAAAGGGTTGGAAAAAGATTTGAGGTTAGGGTCAGGGTTAGGTTTAGGGTCAGGGTCAGGGTAAATGTTAGGTAGTGCTGAATCCAAAATATAAGTTAGGAATTTGTATAATGTAAGAAGTAGACAGCAGAGCAAGTTATGTCAGATAAACATTAATTAATTTGTTTACAATACATGTAGAGCAATCAGGGAGTATGTGATAACATCCTTTTCAAACATGCAAACAAAATTCAAGACCAAGTTAAGAAACCATTCCACAATTTTTCCTAAATACATGTTATCAGATATTGTTATGGTTTGCACCCTCACCTATTTTCTCTTTGTCCTTGAAGTCTGTGTAGCGCCACCTCTGGAATGTTGTGAAGATGTCTCGTTGCAAGAAGATGATGCAGGCAAGAAGATCTTGTGAGGTTGCCATGCTGACATTCTTCGATGCTAGACCCTAGAGAATTCAAATGTATTGTTTTTGTTAATTTAAGTTATTCTTTTGAAACAAACCAATATCAGAGTATACAATTACATTGCATGGTCACGTTAAGGAACAGTTTCATTCTTTTGTTTTATATATTTGCAAGATAGCGAATGTTTTTTTTAAATTATGATAACAAAACAGATAAGAATAACAGAATATTGTGAGACATTCATGATAGGAAGTCTTATGATATATAATACACATACCATATGTTTAAGTTTATAGTGGAATTTAACTGCCACTTGGTACACTCATCATCATCATCATCAATATCATTTATTAAAAACATCACTCTCTCCCTCCACTTCTGCTTGTCTCAAGCATCCTCCTCATTTAGACCAATCTATCTGCTTTCTTTTCTCACTATGTCATGAAATCTTCTGTCTTGCCATTCACTCCCAGATCCCAAGCTCTCGTATAATGATAAATCTGTCATTTTCATTAGTGATAACTATATTCCTGGCGTACCTCTATGAGGGTGTGAACAAGTTTGATGAACTCCAGTGTGACAGGGTAGGTACCAAACTGTTTCTCCCATTCCAAAGCAACCTTGCCATAGCTCCCAGGAAACACCCCATCACCGCTGAAACAACAAAGATAGTGAACAGTGTCCTAAAACATCACAGTAACCATTAACAATAATCATAATAACTGCTTACTTTATAGGGCGCAAAACAAGTTACAAGAAAACTGCCAAAGTGCTAAAAGTACTACCGTATAAACATTTTGGGAGACCAAACCATGACAAAATGTTCATGTGAATATTTAGATAGTTTAAAAGGAAATCATTTGAAAAACTTATTACATACTAATATGGTTTATTATATCCTGCATCTATTGATTGGTTGAGAGCTTGTCATGTGACCATAAATATTTCAACTATTTTACAATTGCTCTGAAAAAGTACTATATGAGAGTACTATTTAGGAGTACTATTTGGGAGTAATGTTAATGGAACTATTTACTATTTAGAAGGTTTACGATGAGATATTCATCCAAATAATTTCAATAATTATAAAAAGCATTTAGTACAGTAAATAGATTTAGGTTTATCATATATCTTAAAGTATCTTAACATTACTATTTAACATTATGAGAAGCCTTGATAAAATATCTATCCTAGGTATCATTAATCAAATCAATACGTTCAATGAATTGGTGAAGGGAAGAAATCATGATTATCATATTGATACACAGTGGATACATACAATAGATTTCAAGCATGTTTATGGATTGCAAATATGAAGAAAAAAGAAGAGTTAACTAAAAATGTAGAACACACATATAAATATACACTCTCATTATGCTTATACTATATGTGTAAGTACCGGTAGTATATTCGGTTCCATGATTAGAAATATAATTCTTGCTATTATCTACCTTGCAGCTTGTCCCACTTGTGTGTAAAGTGTACCGGTGTAGGGTAAGAAACCAGTACTCTGGAGTGCTTGCCAAAGCTACATAACACAGAAGAAAATAGTAGAAAATTATCTTTACAAAAATCATCTGTAATTTATCATTGAGAACCTGAAAGGAATCCAACATCATCATCATCATCATCATCATCACCACCAGCATCATCTTCATCTTCATCATCATCATCATCATCATCATCATCATCATCATCATCATCATTATTATTTCCCATACTGGTAACACAATATTAGTCTTTCAACATTCATCAATTATCCTCTGCATGGATTAACAGAACCTGTGTACTAGCTTGACTCACCTGCTCAGGGTCATACTTGGCCATGGTGTTGAGACACTTGACACATGAACCTATCAGATGCAGAGGTGGTCTCTGGATTTGGACCAAGCTAATGAAAGAATGAATAAAAAAATAGACAACTGATTAAGTTGCCGACATTGCTCAATGTATAAGATGCTATTACACTGTGCCCATAAAGTTGGAATAATTTGTTCCCAACTCTTTTCATGAAATGATTGTGACAATATGATTTATTGTTGAAAAATAAAATTAATATTTTCTCAGAATTTTTTTTTTTATTATAAAGGTTGCTCAATAAAGTTCTGAGGACGTATAAATTTATCCATCAAGAAATCAGGGATGCATCAAATACCTTGAGATGAGGGGCAGTATACAGTCTGTGATTGGCTGGAGGTACTCTGAGACTGACCAATCAGACTGCAGCATCTGTTCAACCAGGTCAATGACATCCTTAGCCTGCTGTACCAAGGTGTCTGATGGTGATGTCGTGGGCGCGGCACTGATCAGCCAGTCTAAGACACACTGGAATAGCTGAAGACCACTGTAGTCCACATCCCATGTGATGAGAGGGGGACCTGTGGAAAGACAACGCGGAGAGATTTAATGAATGGGAGGAAGATACTGGGAGTGAGAGAAAGAACACAAAGACAGAAAGAGAGAGACACACAGAAAAATAAGAGAGAGAAAGAGAAAGAGAAAAGGAGAGCGAGAGATAGAGAAGAGAATGGGAGGAAAATACTGGGAGTAAGAGAAGGAAGACAATGACAGAAAGAGAGAGACAAACAGGAAAATAGAGAGAGAGAGAGAGAGAAAGAAAGGAGAGAGAGAGAGAGAGAGAGAGAGAGAAAGAGAGAGAGAGAGAGAGAGAGTTTACATCCCATGTGATCAGTAAGGACGTGAAGAAAGACAATAACAATTACAATAAAGAGGTCAAAAACGACAGGAGGGGTAGAAGGAACTGTAGAAAGACCACTGAAGGAGAGAAAACGGGTCAGTAATGCTCGTTATGTTAATGACAATGGCCATGTGGATCGAAATCAAACCTGTCAAATTATGCACCATTTCTACTCTAAAATTTACTTTAAATTTAATAGTAGGGTTTCACATTAACCTAAAGATACCAAATACAGATTGGGTTGCAGAGGGTTACAGGATAACTCTAAATTGTGCAATCGATTATAATCCAAAACCATCATCCTTTTTAAGAACACTGACTCTTGTCAAAACTAAGAACTTGCTGAAACAACAAAACTGAAGCAATGCATACTCATGCATTAGATCATAGTCAAGTGGGCTGGTGATAATTAATCATGCTCAAAAACTTCCCCTTTAAACTGGCCATACTATTATCAGAAGTTTTATATAAGTATCTTACCATCTGGTCTCTGCTCTAGCTGTCCAAGAGTTCCTGCTGGGATCACAAATCCAGGAGAATTCTTGCCTACAATGAACAGAGATTAACAGTTGTCAGAACCAGAGAAATACAATAACACTGACTGAAACCAAAATAAAAATACGTTCACGTAACAAAAATGTATGGACCCAATATGGATTGTAAAATAAAATATTGTAAGTCAATACAAACTACATCTCTCATAATTTCATAAGTAAAATTAAAAGATTTTTCAATAATAATAATAGTTTTATTGTTTATGGTTCTACCCAGACTGCAACATAGTATTCCTGGCATGAATCAATATGCTTGGGATCTAGATTATTAGTTTTCTTCTGTGTTTAGATCCCCTTTAAATCCCCACTGCACTACGTATAGCTACTTGCGCCCTCTACACTGTATATTGCAAATAATGCCTAATTGGAGCATGTTGGTCCCCCATGATCCTCTTTTTCTTATGTTAATTGAGAGCTGATTTGATGAGTTAACCACCTGTCAGTGACCTTGCAGCGAGGTTTAATCCCCGCTGGTCAAACTAGTACAGACAGGCTTTAACTGCTATAACTCTTAAACTATTAATCTGATTTCATACCTGCTTTGCACACAACCTTATCATTGACCAGCTTCCAAACGTCATCTCCTGCAGACGTCTCGATATCAGAGCTACGGTTATTATCGAGGGGTTCCGTGAAAGCTGGCAGGTGAGCTAATAACTGGTAGATCTAAGATGGGTAAATGCAAAGAAAAATAGGATACAATGTATAAAGGTTAACATAATAGAGGACATTGAAGGCAACAACAACAACAAAAACCTGAGTGACTTTGACAGGAATTTGTTTTCACTATATATCTGATATTGTACCTCATGTAGTTGGTGGTTCCAAAATTTCTGAAAAAACAATGATGCATCCTTACAACTTCTGTATGCTTTTTTGATTTCAGTCGTGTTCAAAAGTTTCATATTGAACAGGACAAATTGTGTCAAAAGTTGTGATGCAAACTGACCTCTGTGAACTTTAACTTCATTGCCTTGATGACTCTAAAACCTTCATACTTTTTCTTTTAAGCAGATGTTTCTGCATTTATTGATAAATCAAATACAAACATTCAAATAACAATAATAGTATATAATATAATTGATTTACATCAAGAGTGACAACTGACATACACACACATAAAAATGCATATATATCTATAATTGAAAACTTGAAAATATGGAGGTAAGTCAAAGAATACAGATAAATGCAGAGGTCAACTATCATAAGCATGAATGCTTGAGTCGATAGCAGCATCTTCTTATGGTACTTACCGAACATGTATTTGTACCAGTCTGAAGTTTGCTCCCATGTAATTAAAACATCCAATATTACACACATGGACAGGACAGAGACGTAGACATAGACAGATGCACAAACGGAAAACTACAATTATAACATTTAGTTTTGCTGAAATACCTGTTTGCTGCCCTCTGTAGACAGCGCCTTGAGGAATTTCATTGGCAAAGAGAACTCTAGAGGGAAGGAAGCCATCGATGATTGAAGCAGGGCTGCAAAGCCTCCGTCTAGGTCCTATGATAGAAAAGGGGGCGTTGGTTTAGATAGCTTGCTTACAAACTATTCCTCAGATTTCAGAAAGATTGTTACACAAACTATTTTGAATGACATTTGAATAAAGCTAACACAGTCTTGTTAAGTTCATAGATTGGTACATACAGTAGTTATTTTTATTTGTGCTTCTAATTGGTTGAATACTATACCCGGTATCTATAATTGGTTTTGAAAGTTTTAAAGGCCAAAATACATCAGTGTTATCTGTTTGTAATTGAGTGAATCAGCTGCAACAAAAAACAAAAATCCAAAAGTGATAGATAAATCTTTTAAAAACCTGCAGAAAACAATGACAATTTACTCAGGAGTAAAAAATTCTGAGGGTTGTGGTCTGCCCAAAGCTATGTATCTTAAAGTTAAGAGTATTAATTTTACCCCATTCAACTTTTTAAAATACTGAAAAATGCCTTTCAAAGTGAAGTTATTAATTAAGGTTGAAGAGATAGTAGTTCAATTGAACATGGTTTATTAAAAATGATACATACATGTAGCAGCCTAAAAGCAGGGTTGCATATCGATTCACAATAAAATAGCAGTAAAAATATACACCAATCGTAACAATTTGAAGGCATAATCAGGGAATAATTTTCCTAAAATTTTTTGATTAGCAATTTCAGCCGATGGATAAATATTTCAAATGAAATTCTGTACATTTCTATGGAAGAAAACTGCTACACAAAAGATATTTTGTATAGCAGTCATGCAAAAATGCATAGCAAATTGCGATGCGATACCAGGAAAATTATTCCCTGATAATATAGTTCAAGTCTGTACATTATAAGATGAATTATTCTAGGGATGTTGTTATGCAACACTGAGGGAGGGAGGAGAGAGAGATGGAGAGAGAGAAATAGAGGTAGAGAGAAAGAGATAACAATGAGCACATGAGAGAGAGAGAGAGAGAGAGAGAGAGAGAGAGGAGAGAGCGATGGAAGAGAGAGATATAGCATTTCACTTACAGTAGTCCAAAACTCTCTACATAGATGAGGCTGTGATAGCAGCTGACAGGACAACTGGACCAAATCCTGAAATTCAGAGGAATACACACAAAATTAGAACCTTTCCTATACTATTTTAAACAAATTATCTCTTTGATACCAACCTTAACAACAACACACTCATGCATTCATTTGTTTGTATTGTAAATATGCTTGTTTGTAAAAAAAAAAAAATTGAGAATAATCAGTATTAGCATGAAGTCTCCAATCCTGGATTTTGAAATAGACAGGTATCCCAGCAGAACCTACATGCTTTTGGAGTTGGCTGCAGTAATAATAATAATAATAATAATGGGTTCTTTTGTAGCACTCATGTCAGTCAGATTTGACCCTCCTGGCGCTTTAGATTATTACCCTGGCTTTAGCACGGCTGCCCAACGGCGCTCTAGCATAATTTCAAGGAATAAATTCCTACCAGGTACCCATTTACTTCACTTGGGTGGAGTGTGGCAAATGTAGATCAATGTCTTGCCAAAGGACATTAGTGTGGCGGCGGGACTCGAACCGCAGACCTTGTGATCGACAGTCCGGCGACGTATCCACTCGACCACAACACCTTTCTCTAATAGAGGGAGTATGTCTCTTGCATCACTAAACATGACATTTTATTTTTCTCCTGTGAGATTCAAACTTTATGACACAAATTTTAGTTGCTTTTAAAGTTGAGAGACGTGCATGGTTAAAAATGCAATAAAAATTTGTCTCCGTTTTGCATAAAGTCCCAAACCTAACAGCCACTGGACAGGGAAATTTTGATGAGATTAAAAATTAATTTGATTTCCTCACCAATATCTACATATTACTCAGATATAACGGGTTCTACAAAATTAATTTTTTTCATTCACTTTATCAAGTTTTCAATGAAAATGTATTCTATTTTGTTAATTTGTATGTACCCTATTACCAGAACACAAGATTATATAAATATATTGTACTCTCCTTTTGCTTTCCAGCATCTTGACAAGACCGCCTAGGTCTTTTGGTACCCTTCATTCCATGTACGATGATTTGCATCTGTGCTCTATTTCTGATTTGTATGTGTAAATGCTTTTATTCTAATAAATTTAACTAAAATTGAACAGTACTGAACTGAAGTCAAATTTAATGTCGGGATGCATACAAATTTTCTTTTAGCATTTCTTTCATTGCTACTGTACTTACCTGGACCCCTCCTAGTGAATCTTCTTGAAACACAGTGAGTACAACAGTCATCAGAGAGTAGATGACAGAATGGCAAGCCATCGATTCAACCTGCATCATAGAAATACAACAGAGAATGGAATGAGAATATTAATCTAAATTCGGAGTGGCTGATATTGTGATCTTTCTACAAAGGAAACATTTGTCTTATGAAGATGCTCAGGTTATATCATGAAGATCATTCATGTATGTCTGTTCTGTGATTTCATCATGTAAAAAAGTAAAATAGACATTCAATCATTCTAGGTAAAAAAAAAAAAAATACATTACATAGTAAAAGGGCTACAATCCAAATTTTGTCATGTACAATTTAGTTATACAGTAGGCTTGTGGGTACACCATGTGAGAGAGAGGGGGAGGATTTCTTGTTTGGGGGAGGGGTATTCATAACTTTACATTTTATCATGTGATACTTTTAATACTATAGAATAAGTTTATGTAATTTCTCTGTTTTCACTAAAATCAAGACTTCAAAATCAAGTTTCCCCTATAGATTGACAGAAAAAAAAAAAAGGCAGGTGACAGCTCTTAAAGCCCATCTGTACTAGTTTTACAGGAGGGATTAGACCACCCTGCAAGGTCACTGACAGGTTGTTATCTCATCCAATCAGCTCTCACTTAACATAAGAAAAAGAGGAACATGGGGGACCAATGGTCACCGATTAGGCATTGTTTGCTATATAGAGGGCGCAAGTAGCTATAAGTAGTGCAGTGGGGCTTTAAACTCACCGAGCTGTCATTCGGCAGAGCCTTGGACAGGCCAAAGGTCAGGTACTTGAAGACATGGAGCCGCAGAGCCTGGTTTCCTAACCGTCTCACAAGGGCGGTGTCCTTGCCTGGCCAGGCGGCGGTGTGGATGACCATCCAGGCCAGCTGGATAGGGGTGTGACTGGGTGATTGACCAAGAGACTGGACGGCACTGGAAAACTCCTAAAATGACATCAGTAGACAAAGAAGTGACCAATGGGCATGTCCAAGCTATTTTGTTCTATATCGAGTATTGAAGTCAATGGCTAGTGAAACATAGAATTAACTCCTTAAGGCCCAAGTGCTCAGTGACACATACATGTAAACCCCTTTTTCTCAAAATGGCCAAAATGAAGTTACCTCTTTGTGTGTCACTGATATGTAACCTACCACATCTCAGATTTTAGTGTATCTGATCATTGCAGCCCTACTAAAGTTTAGATTAGGGACCCGTTTCAAAAACCCTTTTTCAATGACAAATGACAAAAATAAGTGACAAATCTGCTGATAACCAATCAGAAGCTAGGATTTCACTAGCTTATAACAAATACTGTAATTTTTCACTGATGACAAGTTTTGTGAAACACCCCAGATAACATATGAAGTGACATGACACATCAATGCTCAGAACTCTGACATACTTGGTAACGTTTGGTAACCTATGTGACACCAAATGACTACATAACTCAGACTTGCCATATTTTCTTTAAATATTATATTTTATGTCAAAGGCACATTTTTTTAATGACATCACAAAACTTACTCAACAAAATTTCACTGGGAATTCACTCTAATTTGGTGAAAGTCTCAAACTAATTTGCATTGAACAGAGAGTGGAAAGGAAGTATTCAGTTTACCCTCTACGACATCAGTAATATCTTTTTAATTTGTGATTTGATTTCAGATTCCAGACAAAATATACATGTGCATGTATTAAAGGAGATTTTTTTTTCACCTGTACCATACCACTTTCACTCCTGCATAAACCAAAGTCCTTTTGCCACATTTTACACATCATTCCTTCATAATAATCTATTATGGCACCTATCACTACTTCTTACTTCATAAAATCTGTCCAAGCTCCCTTTGATTTCATTCTCACTTACAAGGCTATGTTTCAAATAAATCTATCACACAAGTCAGAGATATTGCAGTGTAGATATTGATGTTTAAAAAGGAAAACCACACTTAATAACAATTTGCAGCAGGATTTTGGGAAAATAGACTGTAATAATATCAGCAGTATTTTAACTTACCTTGGACAACTTTTCATTGGCAATAAGAGGATGATTCTCAATACTGTGAAAATGAATGGGAAAACAAATCATTAAACATTGGACTTTCAGCCAAAAATATTACTATCCATATGGAATAGACTCAAGAATGTTCAATGCCAATACTTCAGTTTCAAAATGGTTTGATAAATGTAATATGTAATGTGTTTAAAAATTGCAATTAAAAATTAAACCTCCATAAATATTCAAGAATAGATTTGAGATGAATGACCAAGAATCACTCTTTAAAAGCTTCAGATAAGACTATACCTCAAAATGACAATGAATTTCATTTAAGCCAGAATTATTGTGGATTCTTGAAATAGAAAGAACGGTTTCTGGAAAAGGTGGTACTTATTCAACCATGGTTCTTGAAGTAATAGCTGGAATAAAAACAACCCAATGTATATGGTCCGTAAAAAAGGGAGGGGGGAGAGGCAAACCACATTGACAAAAAAAAGAACAAACCAAGATGCTTACCTGCTTTTATCTGTAAGACCCATCAGTGGAAACAGGTCCATGCATTCCAGTACTATGACACAGCATAAGAACCTGGGGAGGATACACAAGATCATTGTTTTAGTAATGCTCATAAACACTCTGCACAACTATATTTAGATACTTTTTCAAAGAGGCAAAAATTGTAATGTTATTATGGAGGATAAGGCATTACCTATAAAGCATCTTAATCATTCTGTATATTATTTTTTTTCTCAAACAAGTTCAACATGAGGGGTTATGCATTAAACAACACCCAAGTCTCTTGGATAAGACTGCAAGCCATACATCCTCCATGTAGCTAATGTACAAGTACACACCCACCTTCTTAGCAGTAGGGTGTAATAAATAATCAATCAATTGATCAATAAGTGTAATTCTAGATCATCACACAGACAAACTTTTCAAAATCTGGACCAATCACAAGTTAACAATATTTTCTTTCAGGCAAAATATGTTATTTTTCCAGCAATTTTCTAAATTGTAAATCATACTAATATATACTTACTCAATCTTGTTGGTGAGTTTTTGAGCCATTTCTTCAGCATCTAGTAGATGTCTGTAGGGTTGTCTTGTACCAAAACCTTGTTGCTGTGACCACAAAAAAAGGGGGGGGGTTCAGAAAATTCCTAATTAAGACCCCTGCTATACCCAATATTGGATATGGGAAATGTGAAACACACAAAGAGAGACCTGGAAATCATTATTGAGCAAGCCTATCTTTGACAAAAAGGTAATGCAGAAAATATCTAAATCATCACTGATAAAATTACTTCAACTATAAAGTTGACTGGAAAAAAAGACAATCAGTATTGGAAGGTAGTACCACAATAATTCTTCATTTACTCTGCTTCCTGACTTGGAAAAGCTAAAATCTCGGTCACAAATGCCATTATAAACTGCTATGAACGCCGTATGAACGATTTTCAGACCATGGAAAAACAGGGAGATTCATACAAACGCATCGTTCATATGAACCTTTGTGACCGTAGCTTTACATACATGTAAAGTCATCTACAGTCATAATTACAAATAACTACATGTATCTAGATTGGGCACTATCTAACAATGTGAGATTGATGTGACCCGACCACTACTTAGGGAACATTTGCTCTTGAATTTATATGAGCTTAGGGTTAGAGTTGAAATTGGCTTTTAGATTGGGTCTAGGTTTAGGGTTGAGGTAAAATAGTGCAATAGGTCAAGGGTTAAAGTTGAGATGTCATTTAAAGTAAGAAATTGACAATGGAACACTTCTCCCCAATGCATGTTACATAGAACTATGTGTGTTGTAGAACCTGTCTATAGTGGCCACTTTAATTTTTTGTTTTGTTGCTAGGGTGGTCTTTATAGACAGGTTTGATTGTACTGTTTGAATACATACCTGGAAAAGGTTGATGATTGTTAAGAGCTTATCCATTGGAGTCAGAGAGGCATGTAAGAACAGCAAGATGATTCCTAGAAGTTCACTCTGTTTGGGCAAAATAAAACAAAACTTTTCATGAAAATTCCTTTAAAGAATATAGAGTAAATGTCCAATATCATAATGTAAACATTCTAGTTGCATGCCATTTCATTTAAATGTTTATATTTATACTTCCATTTTCTAACAAATTCACAGAATATCTTTTCATGCTTGTCTAAATTTAAAAATCAAGTTGTAATGGTTCATGCATCAAAATCATCAATGATATTCTCTCAATCTAATTTAAGCAAAGGGTGTTGCTCTTATGAATGCGTGCTCTGGAAGCTTGATGTATCATTACTTTTCTCAAAGAAAAGCAGTGATTCACCTCACCTCCCCCTTGTCAAGAAAAGAAAGAAGACATTTTTGAAAGAAGGTACTTACCTGTTCATGAAGACTCTGTATACACCATCGTATCCTGTGTCTGTCCGTCTGATAGAAACAACAAATTTTGGAAGAAAATATAACATTTAGCTTTAAGATTCAATGAGCTTGTCAAGATTACAATAAGCATGTTTGAAAAGGAATGACCATACTAGATATAATGTTAATTTGATACAAAATTAATGTATGAAGTGAATTAATTTGGGTATATGTTGATAAACCCATACCAAGTATCAGTTGTTGGTCAGTCTGAACATTTAAAGGATTTGTTGAATACATTTCCACTGAAGATCGGAGTGAAAAGGGGACTCCTTTAGCCTCAATGAAGGGCTCACTTGATGTACTGAGAAGGTGCTAACTTGTGAGATCAGAAAATTTTACAGAGAAAGTGTTCCTGTGAAATCAATGCATATTTGGTAATGAAATTGAGTTTACTAGAATCAAATCAACTATGAGCTTACCATCAACTGACCAGCCTTATCCTTCGTAGGGGCAGGAGAACTGAACCGGTCTTTATACTGGGCTAGGAGTTTATCAAACAGACCCTTGCTTTGTAGTTCCTCCACAAAGTCTGCATACTGGGCCTACAAGACAGACAAGACAGACATTCAATGAAAGGTTAAAAGGTAATATTGAGTTCTCGTCATGAGGGATCATACACTTTCATAGGTTAAGAACAAAACTTCTGGTGAATGTTTGAGAATGAAAATACATGATAAAAAATTCAAGAGAAAAAAAAATAATATAGAAAGATTGAAAAAAAAAGAAGTATGTCTCCACAACTTGAGAACATGTGGTCCCATATTTGTTAATACATGCTGCGCACTTCATTAAATATGATACCAGAAACATTGTTTAATTTAAGCTTGTTTGAATAACAAATCATTTGCATGATTGACAATTCTGAATTAATTCATGCCAGTAACTCTCAAAATGCAGTCCCTTTATTAAAACTGAAAAAGTCTAGCTTCAAAAAGTCAATTACTCAACCTTACTTTTAAAGGTTAGCCAATTTGTTACTATTTCAAAATAAAGAGTGGAGTGAAACTTAAGTCACAGCAGCAGAATATCTTGTTAAAAAGAAAAATCTAGGCTGCATGGGTAGACATTCATATGTTAAACAGGAAGTAGGCAAAACATAGTGACAGCATTCATTTGAACGACACAACTCTGCAAAAATAGATTTAGAATCAGCAGACATTAGCCTGTACCCTACCCAGCCCATGTTCTACAGCATCATACCTGGTATGGGTGTTCTGTGTCTTGCCAGAAATTGGCCAAGTGCTTGATGCATTGAAGGAGATGGAGTCTGTCTGCATGGTAGAACTCCCAAAGCTAAAGGACAAACAGAAACATATAAATTTAGTTTGAATCAATTCAATCAAGGATTTGTTAAAAATGTGTGTCATATAAATACACAGAATAAGTTCTTTTACAAAATTAAACTACACATCTATTCACAAACTGCATGAACATGTATTCATTATTCAATCACATGTGTAAAATAGGCTATATTACTATGAGATTTATTGATAAAATCAATAGCCATGGTGGTTGAATATTTAAAGGCTGCTGTAAAAACATGATTAAGGAACAGAGGGAGGAAATTGACAAAGGTCTACGGCAAAAACAAAAATGATTCCAGGCAGAAATAGGGACTATAACAGTTGAGAGAAATACAGATACAAGAGAAAAAGTGATGGTGGGTATGGATAGGTATGGAAAAGTAGGAAGGTGAATAATACAAGAGGTAAAGATATAAAGAATAACAAAAAGATAAAGCAGGATGGATGGAAAAGGGCAGGGAAAAGAGACATGTAGAGATGTGAAATGTTTAAAACTTACTTTAAGCAGCATGGCTTGAACACTTCTTTCATTTTTCAGTATGGCCTGGAAAGTATAAAGATCAAAGAAGAACAAATTATTTGCAAGTCATTCAACAAGTAATATGTCAACGGTTGAAGGCATTTGGTGAAGGCATTTTTATTTTAAAGTAGACAATATCAAGTTTAATTATTGAAATATTTTAGAGAAACATAGCTGTCTGAGATTTTTCCACCACCTCCAAAACGATAAGCATCCAGACAACCGCCAATGATGACTTGATTTGCATGATTTTCTAAGATGACTTTATTCTTGAAAAATGCATATAAGCCAAAAAAAGAATTTTCCTCTTTTCGGTGAACTGCCTTATTGCTATGGAACCAATAAAATGAAAATTAACGATAGAAATATTATGCAGAAGCATAAATTATTGTCGCTGTTTTCATTGTTACCTGGAGTTGCTTTCCTGTTCCTCGGAATGCACAGAGTAGATACAAATCAAACAGTTCCCTGCACTGCAATGCATCCAGATCCTGATCAGAAAACGCATACAGTATAAAAGATCTTAGTAATGACTGTGAAACACATGTTGCAAAGACATTTGACCTGTGGTCAATTTCATACACTTTGAACTCCTAACTTCCACCCTATGCCAATCATTGTGCATATTGAATGCTAAAACTCTTCCCCTAAAATCAGCCTAAACCCAATTGCAAGCTCAACACTTTACACACACAAAATGTTGTTTATATCAAGTATATTTAGCAGCAATTACATGATTTAAATGTTCAATGCATACACATTTTTGCAAATAATATAGTGGAAAAAATCAAATGAAAAATTACATGTGAAACACAAAATATTGGCTTTCATTTAAATAAAGTAAAGAAGAAAAAAACTGCTACAAATTGATACAACTTACAAATTTCATGAAAATCTTTGCTTCAATATATTTATTCCTAGAGAATTCCTATGCATCACAAAACCTCCTTTGGATTATAGTGTATAACAGTATACATTAATTTCTTAATAATCTCATTCAGTGAATATTCAAATCATTGAGAATAGGAATGGGAGAGCCGACTTACCAAGAACCTGCACGCCTGTAGAAGAAACTTGCGTTCAAGTTCACTGATTGCCTTCTCTTCCTTGAGCTTTTTCTCTGATTCCTCACTGAAATAGCAAAATTTGCATTAAGTTTAAATAATCTCTTCAGCGAAAAATGCATTTTGTGAACCATTTCCATCATACTTTCAGGCATAACCCAAACTGCATGCTGCATGAATACAAATATACACATTACATCCATTTCTTTTCTTATCTAAATTCAGAATGAGGCTTCACACTCTTAATCCAGTACTGCAGAACATGCTGGGGAAAAAATTATGGTTGTGTGTGTAAAGAAATTAATATTACCAGAATGATGTATAAGACAACTAGAATAGGCAAAGATTCCAAATCACTGATTTTCAGGATGTCATTCACCAAGTTTTACAGATTTACTGGAAAGTTTCATACAAAACACAATTATATGAATTTCCTGAAAAAAAATTCGCCACATTCAATGTTAAAATGTTTATGTGAAAGTTGGCAGGTCTGTATAGGTTCTTTAATATTTCCCAATCACTTTCAGACTAGATTGGATTATGAATTTACTTCTATTAGATACCTGTAAAGAAAAAGGAATACCAGTGACTTACTTGTGTTTCTTAAACACCAGCACCCCTTCAAGAAACTTCTTCTTGTCATTTACAAGCTCAGCTTTAATCAATTCCTGAAATGCAGGTTAACAAAACAAAGTTTTAGGCACTGATCAATAAATATGGCAAAATTCACAGAATACTTGGGTTAAAATGGTGGCACTTTTATATGTCCAACGAAACAAGCCTTTACAGTTTGATGTCAATTATCATCACAAGTCTGAAGAGAAAATTTAGCAAGCTTCACTCTTATTCATTGCAGACTTATCCATTTAATTAAAAGAGCACAGATGTGAAAAGGGCATAAACTCCACTCTGCATGTATACCATACAAGCTGCACTAAGTTTTGCTCAGGATGGTATTGACAAAGGGGAAAGGGCATCATAACTTTACCCACACCAAATTTTACATTATTAATTATTGATCGGTTCATTCCAACCAAAATCTCAACAAAATCATTGAACTCTTCATCATGACTGCTTTTTCTTGTATGTTTACACCAGGGGGGCATTTCACAAAACTTGTCATCAGTGATAAATGACAGTTTTTGTTATAAGCTACTGAAATCCTTGCTTCTGATTGGTTATCAGCAGATTTGTCACTGGTTTTTGTCATTTGTCTTTGAAAAAAAAGGCTTTGTGAAACGGGCACCTGATGTTCTCTTTATCCACAGAATTTGCAGTTTTTATAGAATCATTTTTTTTAAAAATAAAATCTCACCTTATCTCTGATGGCAGAATGTCCACTAATTATCAGAAGCAATTCCTGACAGGATCTACAAAAAAAAAGAATGCAGAAGTAGATTTTACCCTTATTCCTTTTCATAACTGGAAACTACTTGCAAATATACAAGAAGCATAGTAGTCCAGTTTTCATAAATGCATATCAAGTTTCAGGATATATGTACGATGCAAGTTAAAGGCATCGTTAAATCTGAGATGCATGGCCCTACCACACAAAGCTGCAACACTGTCCTGGCTGTGTAGTACAAGAGGCAACACTGTACTGCAGTACAATTTCACGCAATATTTTGTAAAACTTGCTGCAGCTACCGTACTAAACTTTTATCTTACATATTAAACACTCAATATTGATGAAAAATAACAAAGAAATAAAAGTTACCAGTTTCGTTTATGAATTTTACTCGAGTTTCCGGTAATTCTGGCAAGAGTTCTGCCGAATTGGGTCCATCGTTCTCAACTCTGTACCTTCATTTTCAAATGTTACGTACGTGTTAAAATAAGTGGCCCTAATTATACACCGTAATGTCTCAGATCCTCATTACGGTAGATAACTTTACACAGGCGCGCGCCTGCCCGCAACTCACCATCGGTATGCACTTGTATTGTGCAGCGGTTTGCTGTGAAACTTGAGAAAAAGTGTATAGACTAGAGTAAAGGAGAGGGTAATCGACCAGCTTCAGTTTTCGGCCGATTGGTCGGATGCATGGTAAAATCCCTTTAAAATACATCGCATAATACCCGGGGGGGGGGGGGGGTACTCAGATTATAGTCGGACGGGGGTGTGCGGCTGAGACCTCCGAACCCATACCCACATCCAAGGGTCCTTTTGCTGAAATAGGTACCCATGTCTAAGGATTTTTTGTGAAAAATGGACCCATGTCTAAGGATTTCAAACGTCAAATATTACATTTTTTAAGCTGTAATAATACACTTCAGCAAAGCATATGGAGAGTCAACGCTAATGCATATTGACCTTTAGCACTGCATTATGCGTTAATAGGCAGCATTTAAATACAGGAATAGTCAATACACTCATAACACAGAGATGCACACAATCATGCCGATGCGGCTGATCGGCAAGTTCGACAGTGGACTCACAATTTGATTTTTTTAATTATTCTTTCTAACATCGGAAAGTTGAAAAAATGTATTTTACTGCGTTTTAGATCTTATCGATTGTCACTAAAGTATAGATTTTTAGTGAATTTGGTTGAGTTTTATACAGTGGTGTTTGAAATGTTGAGAATCAATAGCACAGCTTTTAATACACAGCCAGGATAGTAATGCACCTATGTGTGTATTAATACAATGGCCAAAAATTTTGGCGATAAAATTCTTTATTAGTAAACTGTACCATACAACATGTAGTTTACAAGTAGTTTACACACATAAAGATGAAAACACCATGCAACATAATTATACTGTGCTAGCACCTCTAGCATCTGTTCTAATTGAAGGACTTTTCCTGTTTTAATTAACGTACCCGTACACGAGCTCTCAAGCATTGGCTATATAGCTCCCTGCTTGAGCCCCGCTGCTGCCCGGCTGCTGGACAGAGGGTACGCAGGGTATAGCTGATGATCATATCATTTTCAGCGTGCAAAGCGCTACAAGTTTCCGGGGGTACGACCCCTATACGGGCGGATACCATACCTAGCGCGCATTATGCCATATGAGTACCCGGTATAGAGCCCATGGGGTCGTGATATATGTGGTACCCCGGGATCTAGTTGAGTTTACGAGCTACTGACTTAGAGGTCAGTGCGTACACCTCGTACACTGGAAATGCAATCAACCGAAGGATTCATTTATTTAGAGATGGGAGAGATTTAGGCATTTGCAATGTAGGAGAAAATCCCAAAATCCCGGAGAAAATGAGGGAGAAAAGAGGGGAAAGGAATAAATGAAAAAAGGGACCCATGTCTAAGGATTTTTTTAATGAAAAGGGGACCCATGTCTAAGGATCTTTCCTGAAAAAGTCACCCTTCCGAGCGGCACATCCCCGTATACCCAATATACGTGAGTACCCCCCCCCCCCCCCCCCCCGGGGCATAATAGCATATCACATATCCCACACATATCATACCATGCCAGAGTCACTGAAGAACCACATTTGCAATGAAAAATATATCCTAAAATATCACATTTTAGCGATGTAATCGGCGGTCCCGCTACCCGAATCTGAAAAATCAAGTATCTTGCGCGTGTATGTAAGAAATATGGGTACCATAAAATGAGCTTTATTCCAAGTATTTTTCAGATTAAGAGCCCGATTTTGTGCTGGTCGCAAGCTCAAAAGTATTCATCACATGTATTAAATCAATGCAGCCGGACACCGCAACGCACACACGATATCTCTGTCTAATTCAGATTCCAATGTCCGATCACTGAAGTACTAGTTTTCGGCCTGGCGAGCTCTGGCGTGGGATAACTGCTCCGCCCGCTAGTACTATAGATCAGCGCGAAACGCACGGTGCGCGCTTCCTATTGACTTTGTACATGCGGCCGAAAACTGGTTCGCTATGCCGATAACCGACTCCGAAACAGTGAAAATTGAAATAAATATTGTCATGGCAATTCATGACTTTTTTCTGGGATTCTTTTTTGTTTAAATAATAATAATATTTGCTTCATGATTTGTACAAGAAATGATAATAAATAGGAAGTAAAGGGTCCAAAAAATAGGATTTTGTCTTAAGTGGCCGAAAACCCCCTCCTTTACTCTATCATCGTCTTTCAAAACAAACAAAATCCAAAAATAACAAGAAAATTGACACGAAACAGGTAATAAACATAACAACTTTTAACTCATGGTCTTTATTTGGACATTTAATGAATATTTACTTCATTTTGGGTATGTTTCAGTAGGAATTACGGGTCAAATTTTGGATACGTTTCTGAACAAGCGCCGGATATTCTGCAATTGTTCCGAAACCTTTCATGGCAAAAGCGCGAGCGCACGCACATCGCATTGCGATTGTAACAGTAACGTACGGTACCTGATCAAGTAAAAATCTTTGAGTGAAATTAGGAGTAGTACCTATCATAGTATAACACTGATCTAAATGAATATGTGAAAATAAATAAGAACCGAAATGAAATTTGTCATTCCTCTGTATTTAGGTCCGACTCGATTTGGATCGGACTTTCAAATTTCAGACCTAGTCAAACATGACATGAAAATCAGCATGTGGAACAGCTCATTTTCCGGTTTGAAAAAAATGCATCAGACTAGATCTAGACGCAATCGATTACCGTGCTGAGAAAAGATAACTTACTTCAAAACCTTAATACAATTTAAAGAAAACAAATGTATGATTAAATTACAAATTATCTGATTTAACAAATACATAAACTTACGTCGTGACTACAGCCATGATTTTATTCACTCAGATTTCAGCCATTGAATCCATCAAAATAATTTTCGCACGTACACTATAAGCATTATTATGTAGAGGGCACATTAAAAAAAAATATTGTTGTTGAATTTGTTCCATCTTCTTTTTTTTTTTACTCTCTCTCTCTTCTTCTTCTTCTTCTTCTTCCATCTTCTTTTTTCTTCTTCTTCTTCTAGCTTCTTCCATCTTCTTTCTTCTTCTTCTTCTTCTTCCATCTTCTTTCTTCTTCTTCTTCTTCTTCCATCTTCTTTCTTCTTCTTCTTCTTCTTCCATCTTCTTTTTTTCCTTCTTCTTCTTCTTCTTCTTCTTCTTCTTCTTCTTCTTCTTCTTCCATCTTCTTTCTTCTTCTTCTTCTTCTTCTTCTTTTTAATTTTTCTTCCATCTTCTTTTTTTTTCTTCTTCTTCTTCCATCTTCTTTTTTTTTCTTCTTTTTCTTCTTCTTCTTTCTTCTTCTTCTTCTTCTTCCATTTTCTTTCTTCTTCTTCTTCTTCTTCTTCTTCTTCTTCTTCTTCTTCTTCTTCTTCTTCTTCTTCTTCCATCTTCTTTCTTCTTCTTCTTCTTCTTCTTCTTCTTCTTTTTAATTTTTCTTCCGTCTTCTTTTTTCTTCTTCTTCTTCTTCCATCTTCTTTTTTTTTCTTCTTTTTCTTCTTCTTCTTTCTTCTTCTTCTTCTTCTTCCATTTTCTTTCTTCTTCTTCTTCTTCTTCTTCTTCTTCTTCTTCTTTTTCTTCTTCTTCTTCTTCTTCCATCTTCTTTCTTCTTCTTCTTCTTCTTCTTCTTCTTCTTCTTCTTCTTCTTCTTCTTCTTCTTCTTCTTTTTCTTCTTCTTCTTCTTCTTCTTCTTCTTCTTCTTCTTCTTCTTCTTCTTCTTCTTCTTCTTCTTCTTCTTCTTCTTCTTCTTCTTCTTCTTCTTCTTCTTCTTCTTCTTCTTCTTCTTCTTCTTCTTCTTCTTCTTCTTCTTCTTCTTCTTCTTCTTTCTTCTTCTTCTTCTTCTTCTTCTAATTATTTGAAATTCGATCGTTTTTACTTCTGTCTTTCTTACGAACATGCATGGCATTTGACGCAGATGGCAGCAGACAACTATAAATTTGAGAACGGATATGAATGAATGTTGAGCAAGAGAAGTGTTGACGAGACTAGACAATTTTGAAATTATACTCAACAACAGGAATATCACTAATTATTAGCATGTAAGTATTCTGAATTCTTAGATTATAAAATATTCTAAGCTTTTGGTGTAATAATTTAATTGTTAGGTGACACCTGATATTGAATGTAACAAAAAAATGATCAATCGAATTGGTACCGGTACTGCGGTAGGCGCTAGGCGCTAGGCGATGGGGCTAGGCATCATGACCATAGATAAGACTCCTCTCTGTGTGCTACATGTACATAGGCCTAGATCTACTGTAGACTATGTAGACCTAAGACTAGGTCTATCTCTATCTACGTATCATTGGTGTATGCAGCTGCACTGACCAACTGAAACGATTTCATTCTTGCTAGAGCTAGCTGAGGCCGAGCTGAGCTGAGCTGTCTGATCATTGTGAATGTGTAGCGACTTTGACAGCGCCGCCATGTTGGCGTGTGTAACGATGACGATTGACGTTGAGTCATCGATATGTGACAGTTTGTCATTGGTTGTCGACTTTAAGCTAACAATTGCTGTGCCGTAATCTGTTATTGTTAACTTTTTTTGTGTATAAAGTAAAGTCCTACTCACCTTTAGCCGTCACTAGGTCGAGAATCCCGACAATGTCCGTTGATGCTTGTCCGTGCTGTGATTCCTCGTAGTGCTCCGATGTGTAGTTCTTATACTTTGGTTCTCTTCTCTGGTTCTGCGCTGGCATTGGGAAGAAAACCTGCTTATATATACTGTAGGGGCGCACGCATGTACGTGCGATCGAGTATGGAAAGCCATCCAACGCACGCACATGCGTGCGGTCCATATTGATAATTCCCCATATGTACGTCACAGCGACTACGTGTGTGTGTGTGTGTGTGTGTGTGCATATGATTGACAATTTCTAAATAGGTCTAAATCTTATTCTTATTAAGTAAACATAATATAATTGTTGGCCTTATGAATGTGATGATTGATATTGCATAAAGCCATGAATGATGAATGAATAACTTCAATTTCAATTTTCAAAGTGGGGGAAAAAATGGACCGACATCGATGACGATGTGTGTAGAATTAGAATGTAGATCTAGTTTGCCCAAACATTTTTTGACAAGAGTAATGTAGACTAGAAAGCTGTAGACTACCCTAAGTTGTAACATTTGCTATTTTATTTTATTATAAATGTGCATCAAGACTTCAAGTTCAATCAAGTAACACAGAAGAAAGAAGATTTCCTTTAGACGTTTTGTCAACATATCTTTTAAAACTGAAAGATTCTAAACGTGGCATGAAAATTTGTTCAAATTTAATTTAATTTGTCTGAATTATCAACTTGTCCAGACCAGAATGCGAGGCCATGGATATACTCGAGTGCCAATCAGAGTTGTTGCTACTTGAATAATCAGAATATTCCAAGGCGCTAATTCAGAATCATATCCATACTTCGACTCGTAACTCCGGTTTAGAGATTACTAAAACATATCAAAAATCAACTCAAGTATCAACTGAAGTATTTTCCCCCAAAACGAAGACTTATAATATAATGTACACTTTCTCACACGTTTCATGGCAAACCGCTGCGCAATACCATTGTATACCGTCTAGCGTACCGTCAGTGGGGTGCGGGCTCGATTTAAGTGAGCGACTGTAATCTCAGATCCTCATTAAATTCATGTAATTCATCATTACGGTCTCTAACTTCATGCACCCGTCCGCACCCCAATGTCCGTACAGTATGCAATTGTATTGTGCAGCAGTGAATCTGTGAGAAAGTGTATATTTTAAGTCTTTGTTTTTAGGCAAAATACTCCAAAGAAGATAAGAAAATTGACACGAAACAGGTAAGAAACATAACGACTTTTATATCATGACCTTTATTTGAACAATTGTAGATTTTGTTGATTTTTGGTATGTTTTACTGTAGTAGGGTATCTCAATGCTAGAATTACGGGTCAAAGTCTGGATATGATTCTGAATTCGCGCCTATTCCAATATTATTTTAAATACAGGTCTTGTGGTGAATTTTCTTACTTTCTCTTCCATTGTCTAAAATGAATTTGAATGTCATTTTACTTCTACAGGTTACAAATCCATCGGGCTGATGAAGGGAGATGGAAATTTATGTGCTAGCGAGTTCAAGTTGACGAGAGAACATACGGGTGGTGCCTTATACTGGAACAGAATAAATTAATTTGATCAGTGAGTTGTGACCCCAGCGGCGTGAAGATGCCATCGCCGGTCAACGTTACGGTGAAAGAGACGGAGGTGGTCAAGCTGGTTCTTGACTTCCTCCATACAAGAGAGCTCTATCTGTCGATGCGTTCTCTAGAGCGGGAGAGCGGTATCGTCAATGGACTCTTCTCCGAAGATGCCCTGTTCTTGAGACAGCTGATCTTGGACGGGCAGTGGGATGATGTCCTTGAATTCATCCAACCGCTGCAGAGCATCGAGAGCTTTGACTCAAAGACATTCCAATATCTCATCCTCAAGCACAAGTTCCTGGAGATGCTTTGCATGAAGAGTGAGGACTTCCAGCACCTCCAGGTGGAGTTCTCTAGCGAGGAAGTTGTGAGTTGTCTGAGCGAGCTGGAGCCCTACTGCCCAAGTAAAGAAGAGTACAGTGGGTACTGCCTCTTACTGACCCTACCCCGACTGACGGATCATCAGATGTACAAAGACTGGAGCCCCAGCAGTGCAAGGGTCCAGTGCTTTCAGTCCGTATACCCCCTGGTGTGTAGATTCCTCCCTGTGGACAAAGCTTTAGCAGAGAATGAAAGCACTGCTAGTAATGACAGGCTAGTTCAGCTCATACTCAAAGGACTATTGTTTGAAAACTGTGTTGAGTACTGCCAGCAGAAGGCAATCAATCGCGATGCTAAGAGCAGTCAGATCGTCCTACGCAACATGATGACAGGAACGCCTACTGATGATGCAGACCTCAGCTTGTTGTCATGGTTACAGAGCCTCCCGTTCGACACCTTCGCCACACCCTTCGAGCAGCGATCTTTGCAAATATCAGTCAGCAAAATCATAAAGCCAAGTACATCCTTCTCGGAGCAGATTATGACTCCAATGACACCTACCCCTGGTAGCAAGACGAGAATGTACCCATCTCCATCACCATCGACACCCACTCTGTACAGGGGGAGGCCCTTCTCTTCAAGCTCTAGAGCACTCTCGCAATCTCTCACCCCAAACCTGGAGAGCTTACTCAACCAGGCCAAGAAGAAAGAGGACAATGGAACTGGCGATCCAGGAATGCTCTCTAGGTCATTGATCAACATGCAGCTGTCAGGTTAGTGTTTCCCTTCATCAACAAAAAAAATCTTCTTTAAAGGCACACTGCCATACTTGTAGCTACTTGCTCCCTCTATATAGAAAACTTCCCCAATCGGTGCCTGTTGGTCCCCCATGATCCTCTTTTTCTTATGTTAAATGAGAGCTGAGTTAATGAGATAGCCACCTGTCACAGTGACCTCGATGGCTCGCTGTGTGGTCTAATCCCTTCTTGCCCAGTAGTGGTGACGGTCTTTAAAACTCAACTGTGTGCACTATAGACGATAAACCAACTACAGTGTAACTACTATGTTGAAATAAAATATACTTAAATGGCATCAGAGTGCTCGCATTATAAGAAACAGCATTGTATTGTTGCATACATGTACTTTTACTGATCATTTTAGTTTGCTTCACAGAAATGTATGACTTAGTTTAATATCGTCTTGTAGGTATAAGCCCTATGTACACCAATTTAGGTTAACGAACCTCAACCAGAATATGTCTAAATAATGTAGAGATTGAAGAGAAGAAGTTCTTTGCCTAGTGTACACTGTGCCTTTGTCATTGGAATTGTGACAGATAGAATAGAATACTGTACATTTCTCTTGATTCCTTGACATGTTCATTGACCTGTCTAGTGTCTAAAGCCTGTAAATGAAAGACACAGCATGCTTCTTATGAGGCCAAATTACAAGTACAGTAGGCTTACTGTGTTTTTTCAATAAGTATGAAATTTGCACAATTAATGAACATGAACCCAATAGATTCCCAATTTCCCATAATAATACAGGTTTTGTCACATTTACGAGTACACTGTTAATTTAAAAATTACCCAGCTGAGCCCTTGAAATCTATTCACTTGCTATATTTTCAAAAAAAGTGTCTTGACCCTCCTTCCCCAATTTTAGTGAAGGACATCATCTGCATGAAATGAAAGGCAATTATAATTAATAGATACTGTCTTTTCCTTTGATGATATCCTAATACATTGTAGGTAGCAGCTCAGCCCGTGAATCCTTACCCACACTTACAGAGGGGATAGAGAAGCCCTCAGGGGCCCCATTCTCCATCAGTATCCCTTCCCCTAGTCCCAGCATACCAGCTAGATTCAACCAAGGTTCTGCAGGAGCTAATGCAAAGGTGAGTTCAGTCTTCTGAGAATGTATTTTTTATTTAAGGTTGTATGGGCATCTTCTGCATAAATCTTGAAAACAAATGCCAAATGCACAATCGAAATGTAGGCAACACATACAGTATCCTCCTTGACAGGGCTCCACACTAAAGTTTATTTTGAAGGGGAACCTGATTAAACTTTCTACATAATATATCTGTAAAGTGCTTGGGCACATCGTTGTATCAATGTATTGGGCGCTATAAGCAGAATATTATTATTATTATTATGTACATGTACATGTATGTGCCCTATGTAAAACATTGCCAATGGGGGGTGGGGGGGGGGGGGGGGGGAAGGTCCAGGCTTAGAATTTGGGCGCCCATGTATCCCGGGCACATGTTCGTTTCAGACATTTTAAAGACGTTTTAAAGACATTTGCCCTGTTACATGTACTTGAATGGTCTAGATGTAAAGTATAATAAAAGGCAGGTTTGAAAGTTCCATAGAAATTTAGTGAAATAGGGAAAATTTCTTCAGTCTGTCATCATTCAGGTGCATTTTAACGTTCACCGAGATTCACTGTTGGCTTGTTCCAGTGGAGCCATGCAAATATGTCGTTAAAGTACGGGTGCTACATGTACATGTAGTTGAACTTGTGATGTTGTGCACCTACAGTACAATGTTCTACACCAACTTTTGGGTGCTCTGGAAAGCTCCACCCTGTATGAAACTCATAAAACTCTCGTTCATTTACACTTGTACTGTACATCATGCGAGAACGTGTTTTAATCATGAATACAATCATATTCAGGAGTCAAATAGCAATGTTAGTGGATTCCTTATTTTTGTTGTGCATTTCATTACAAATTACATGTATTTTGAGATTTCAGTCATGTACGTTTACATGTACATGTACAGTACATGTAATTTATCAAGTCTTTTTGATACATGTACTTGTTGCTGTAAATTACGGCTTTCAAGAGCTCTGCTTTGGTGTAGAGAATGATTTGAATTTGATTATTGCATGTCTGCATGATAATATGTGAAGTGACAGTGAAGTTTGAAATATTACAAAACTTTCATTTTTACCTGTAACATTGCTTCATGCTTGTGCTCTAGATTCCATAGTGGGATGAATATGGATATTTTGAGACAGTTATCATTTGAAAACTCAACTATTTTACTACGGGGAATTCACAGATTATTCTCTTTTTCCCCCTTGTTTAAAGAAAAATCTGTCTATTATTAAAGTCTGAGAGAAATCGTGTTACTTACAATGCATGATAAACATGTACATTTACATAGTCTAACATCTTCAATTCACATTGTTAAAGGCAAGCTGAACATCTAATTGGTGAGACAGTCAATACTAAAACCTTATACTTGGGGGGGGGGGGTAATTGTAGTTATGTTTTTTTTAATACCGGTACTATTTTCACATATTGTAGGACTATGATTCTACGTTATTCTATGCATAAAATGTTCCTTCCATACTACAAACATGTTCGTGTACCTCACCATACTGTCTGGATACTGTGTCAATTCACTATACATGTAGATAGGGATGAGTCACCCTCAATATATATCTTAACCCTGGAAGAAAGTCCTAGAGATTTACAGCCTGAGCTGAGAGAAGCGTGGGTTCTCCATTTCATGGAGATAGCAAGAGGATGAGAGATAAATACTGCATGCAGGCCAGTGTAGACTTCACTGTGTGTAAAGGATTCCTTTACAGAATTTCTAAGTTGTGTCCTTATTTTTTATTGACATTTGACAATGGCATGTTCCAGTAGAAACTACCAAGTACCATCTAAACAAACATGTTTGTATTTCTCATGCCCATCTCTTATCTTCTTTTGTTATGATAATAAAGTATGATAATGTGAGGTACTGAGAATGGGATTATAATGCATTAAGAAATGGGACAGTAGAGCCTAAACTTTTTTTGAAGGTGGAGCATTAGCTGTATTAAGAAAGGTGGACAAATAATTATTAGTTAACCACGAGTTATATATTTTGTGCAGTGTGAATGTAGTAAAGATGCAAATTTTTCATGAAATTGTAGTTCTCTCAGCTGTACATGTATGTCATACATAAAATAATGTATGTAAGATTAAAATAGACATACATGTAGGCCTACCCCGGTACTCTTCTTTTCATTTGAAATCGCATTCAGGCCTAAATGTCAAATTTCCCATCTTGAGATAGAATAAAGACCTCTGTGCACCTCTGTGCATTGACGGAGATCATTTGCTTGACTTGCTTCATTCAAAATATGCTACTCAAAGATCCACTATTTACTACATGAAGCAAGCGTTTTTTCTTCCACATATCTAATTAGGCTTAGCATCCTCTCATATCATGTGTTGAAAAGACAAGCTATGGGAGACAAGAACGTCCTAAAACAATGTGGCAACGATGTATTTCCTCAAAACCTGTACGTGTCTACATGTAAACGTACATACAGTATGTACAGTGTAATATGTACGGGTGTATGTTTGCCTTCTACACTGATACTCCACAAAACAAAAATATCCTGGGTCTAATTGAGATTGTTTTCTTAACAACTCATCCCAGTCCAGTCATTGAGGCACCAATACAAATTCAAAGTCATTATAAATGAACATTAATCAAATCACATTTTTTTCCTCAGGGAGTCAGGAACTACAATATTGATATATATTATATACGGTAGGCCTGTCCTCATCAGCTCAAGATTGCCAAATAGCCCGCTATTTCTGATTTGGGAAATAATCCCGAAGTTACAAATCGCGTCTTCATCAGCTCCTGACTTGACCTCGAAACTTGAAACTCAAGCTCGAGAAATTAACTCAAGATATTTTAAATTAAGTTTTTAAATTGGATTTAAAAACATTGAGAGATGGAGTGCTTCGTATTTCTATTGGCAAGCTATTCCATAGTTTGGGGGCAGCAATAGCAAAATCACGGTCCCCAAGAGTTACTTTAGTTTTGCCATGGGGAATCTGAAACAGTAATTTATCTGTGGAACTGCGCAGGCTACGACTGTGTGATTGGACTTTGGGTTGAAGTAATTATGTGATGTAATTAGGGGCTTGACCACTCAATGATTTATAGACAATTAACAATATTTTGAATGAGATTCTTTGACGGACTGGTAACCCATGGAGTACTCTCAGAAGAGGTGCGGTTGAAGTGAATTTCGACCGACGATAGACAAGTCTTGCACATGCATTTTGGACTCTTTGTATACATTTTCTTCCAAAATTGTTTGGCACATGTCATTTATTTGTAATCTTGAACGGTCAGTGTAAGTTTCGTTTGATTCTGTGAGAATTAATTTTTTTCCTTTTTTTTTTACCAGAACTGGAGTTTATCTTTAACTGGATAGTTTGCGATCAGGATAGTTCAAATACCAAGATATTTGGCAATCTTGAGCTGATGAGAAACAGGCCTTATGTTTTATATAGGGGCAGTCTACCCAGCCCTGATAACTACTGTTATTATCATCGTTATTTGACATACACTGTACATGTGCGACGTCGACTTGAGCAAGGTTGACTGTATCTTGAAGCTTAGTGCATGCACTTTTAATAAAGAACTGAGGAAAATCTCTCATGCTACATTGTCAAACTTGATTGGGCCATCTGTCTTTGCAAGACACTCGTGGCATCGGTACATTATTTGAACTTGGAGACTCGAACCAAACAAGGTACATACATGTATGTATGTACATGTGTACTAAATTTACATCACTCATTCATATATTACTTTTGCCCAGTGCCCTTATTTAGATTAGATATTGTAGTTTTATTGCAAATAGACGTACCATACATACATGTACAGTATTTGGTTGACAGCATGCAATGTCTGGTTTTGTTAGGGCCTTCTATACATTTGCACAATTTAAAGGTAATACAAAGTTTTGGGAAATTTTGAAAATTGGGTGGATAGTGAATCTTTTGATATATTTGGATGCCCCTGTGTATGTATTATATGCACTAAAAAAAATTAGCCTCTAAAACACTTCTGTTTTTGAGAAAAATTGAATATAAAAATTTACCGGTGCTCCCGGTAAATTTTGATACATTTCAAATGGCGCTTATGGCCGTACAATGGTAGCTGCGAACATGAAAATCTCAGAATATGTAGTTGTGAGATATAATTTCCAAACGGGAATAGCTAATCTGTCGATTTTAGTCAAGAAACATTGTTTCATAGCTAAATTAAGATCTTGACCTTGAGAGGGTGCTATATACAACATAAAGAGTTTATTGTTTACAATTTCATAACTTTAGACTCGATTTCAACGGCGACAACGATCAATGAACATTGTAGGAATGCATATGCTCCAAATATGTTAATTTGAACCAAATTCATGACCCCATACCAAAACTTTGTAATACCTTTAATAGTGAAATGGTTTTTCAGAGCTTGGGATGATTATACATGCAGTACATTCCATTTGCTGATTGGAAGGGGATTAAATCTCCATCTCATGATATTTGGAGTGATGTGCATGCCGTCCAGCTTGTTAGTCCAACTGTCAAACCATCATGAGCCTTGAAGCCTTCATAATATATATCTTGAATGTACATATGTAGTGTCATCAGATCGCTGAATGCAATGTCAGTTTTGATTTGTCCCAGGATGTGATTGATGTAAACATAGATAATGCATTGTGAAAGAGCAATTTGGATCCAGACGGCGTATGTGTGGACAATTTAAAGGCAATCAGTCTGGAAGATATACATGAACATAGACCATAGGAATGTTAATTCCAAGCTTGTTTATACTGAAAAATTCTCGTAATGTCTAATTAATCTTGTTGTATAAAATGCTGCAAGAGAAAAATACTGAATGGATACTTTAGATGAAAATAGGCTGAGCTGTCATGTATTAAAATCATGTTTATTTGAACATTTTGTTCTCTTTCAGGGTAAAAAAAACAATGAACTGCAACATGCAGTTTTTGTTTTTTGTTACATGAATCATGTGCATTATGTTGGAGGCCTACAGTAGTGTACAGTACATGTATAATGATAGTATTCAATTCAATTTATTTTGCCAAGCAATAAAAAACATACAGGGTAAAACAAAAGCAGTATACAAAGTTTCACACAATTACAATTACTAACATAGATAAATACAGAAATACACACAGAATAATACAAAGGAAATTGCTAATGCTGGTAGCAGCCAGAAAGGGTGGCCAGAAAAGTATGATTTCAAACAATAAATTATTAAAATTGATGTAGCTTTTAAAAGTTGTGTCTTTAGGCTACATGTATACTGTACTTGAGTTGAATACCACAATCAGTTTGAGTTGTTTTAGTGTTTACCATAATTTTACAGACAAAATTTTTAAGTGATCTGCACATTACATACCATATAATGTATGTATATGTACTGTATGTAAATGTACAGTTTGTACACAATATCCTACAATGATTTTACACTACTTTATGAATGCTACATGTCCCCCCGGCCCCCCCCCCCCATTTTTTATAAAATGTATTAGAAGAAACTGTCAAAAAGTATGACTGTAAACTATTAATGATATGACATGTTCTGACATATTGTAGGCCTACATGTACATGAGTGTGAGAGCTTGTATACATACATTGTACATACTGTATTTTCAAGAAGCCAATAACATGGGTACTTGACAATATTCCAGCAAGCAAGCAGGTGAATATTAGTATACAGGGTTCGTGGTGCATTAGGCTGATTGAATTCAGACTGGCACATGGCCCGGTGGCCCGGCCGGCACATCAACTGATCAAATGATTCGGGCCGATATTGATCGTGATACGAGGTGATGACCGTGGGGGGATTCTTCCTTCGCCCTCAGGTATTGCGCATCATTGTACTCAGACACGACCGATGTCGATGTCTGGATTGAGCATGACTCATCTGGGTTGCACTGGTTTGAGTTGATCAGAACCTGAGGAGGAAAATATGCAATGTACTTGACTTTGGTATTTACATTACATGTAGATGTACACTGTATAGGAAAATTCCAAGATCTACATACAGATGTACATATTTAACAAGAGACTGTGGTGGTAGTTGTCTCATGAATTATGCAAATCAAATCAAATGATTTTCCAATTACATTTGTATATCAAGCATTTGGGTTTCTTGTTTGACATACAACAGCTGTGCATTTCTTTTCTTTTCTATATTTGTGTGTGTGACCAGTAGAATTAAATATGAATGTATAATAATTACAGTTTATGTACATGACTGTACATACCGGTCGGTACATGTACATGTACGTGTACCTGATGATGGTATTGAGTTGATTTTATCAAGAATGTATTGTGATACATTGATATCAATTTTTTTGTATTTTTTTCGGTATACACCATCATTGGAGCAATCAGTATGCATAATACAGACATGAGAGAAAGATCTCAGTGAATGTTTATTTTGAAGTACCGGTATTATAATGTTTCTCTTGAATAGTGATTGATAGTTTAACATGGTGTTATCGTCAGTGTTATTCCATGAGTATTTTCCTGTATTGATCTGACCTTATATACGATTGTAGTTTCACACTTACCGGTATACCAAAACAAGGAAAAGTGAGTCATGTTTTGTTCTGACTAAAAAATAACAAGGAAATAAGTATGGTGTTTGATTTTTTTGGAGATGAACACGATCCTATTCTTATTGCTCTTTTTTTTTGGGGGGGGGGTGTAAATTCTGATTGTTCATACATGTATGGACAGGTGCAATATTTTTTTATTTTTTTTTTTCTTCAAGATCATTTGTACATTCTCATCTTTTTATTTTAACCTTGTTACATCAACAGAACTTACCATATATATGGTACCTACATGTATGTGTACATGATATATAGTATACAAGAACATGTTATAGAGTTGAGAAGGAAATTAGTGGTGACAAGGATTTGTTTAAATGTGCAAAATGTACTTAGATGTTTATTCCAAATCTTAAAATATGTCACTTGAAACAGTTAACTTTATTTACTTATTTTTAGTTTTATGTATATGTATATATAATCTTCTGTCATTTTATAAAAATTCTAGATCTACACTGTATGAGGTAATCCTTTGTGACTACACCCTTATGTTTCTTCAATGTAATTTCACAAAATGTACATACTTTATTTGATGTTTAAAGAGATGGAAGATGGAAGATGGAAGTGTGGAAGAACATCAGATAAAAAACGTTCCCTGAAAAGCATGGCTCTTCAAATGCTTTCATATTCTAAATATGGCATGTAACAACAACAAAATCTGGACGGATTTTTATGATTTTTCATGCCACATGTTCATGTAGTCCCATATTATCTTTCTGTGTACAGTGCTTGTAACTTTACCAAGACTTGGCCAAATTTCTTATCATTTTGATGATTCCAGAACCTTGCAGTACACACTGAATGTTAGATGATCAATCTTTTCTGATCGATTCCACACTGTTTCTTTCACAATGCAATTGCATTACCAGAACTCAACTTTATCTTTAATTCAATCTATTGTTTTCATCTTATTAGCAACCAGAGGTGAGGAACTCCTCTGCAGCTGCTTACGAGGATTTCCGTCAGGACCGTGAGAGGGCGCAGCGCGAGCTCCAGGAGAGGGAGCAACGTAGGAAACAACTGGAGGAGGAGCTGATTGGAGGAGGAGGAAGTACAGGACTCCCAGCAGCCACAGCTCCACCAGCCACAGCTCCAGCTGTACAAGGAGGAGCTACCCAAGGCAATGGAGTGACAAGTCCACCTCTAGCAGGGACGACCACCAGACAGGTACATGTAGGCTTGGGTGGGAGGGAGGGGCAGATCACCAATATTGAACAGGAGGTGTTTCACAAAGACCCTAAGTCGAACTTAACTCTAAGTTGGACTCAAAAATTATGGAGATCCACTTGTAGCCATATTAAAAGCCATATTCAAAAGCGAAAAATCAAGTATTTTTGACTTTTTTTTATAAATTCCACATCAAGAAGCATATTCATAAGCGTATTAATAGACGAGCATGGGTTCACCCAGATAACCAATTACTAACCATCCATTCCATTTTCAATAGCAAGTATCAGGTTTGGTAAGAAATGCAATGTATGAGAGCTAATTCATCTAGTAACACATTATTAGTACTTTTAGTTGTTGCACATTAACCAAGCACATTTCAACTGTAGACTGGTCACTCCAAGGGATTTCTCAGATTCAGTGTGTTGCACATTGAGGCTTCGATTCTCCACTAATCTTTATTCATCAGAAATTGTCTTTTGATGTCTTGTGCATGTTGTTGAATATTAGCTTCCTTCAATATTTAGTCCATATGATATGTAGTAGAAAGTTGTGTGTGTAATACCCTTAGACTTTATAGTGTACCCCATTCCCTTCCTCTGTCTGATGATATTGCACAGTTGTTGAAACAGTAGCTCTGTAATTGGAACATACTTTTGAAAATACCAGTACACTGTACATGTACAAAATTACGTACATGTACTGAACATCAGATCATGTCAATGAGACCATAATCAGTAGTGTTTTACTCCCAAATTAAACAAAAAATCAATAATGATGACATATCCAGAAAACGAGCAGAAGCCAAATCATATTTTTATGGTTTATCAAGTGTTAAATTATATTAGTACTGGGTACTGCTAAAATTATTGTAATGATTGAGAAAAGAAATAGATTCTAATATGATAGCCTTTAAAGCTTATCAACACTAGTGTGGTTGGAGGGATTAGACCACACAGCGAGGTCACTGATAGATGGCTACCTCATCAACTCAGCTCTCAAATAACATAAGAAATAGAGGATCATGGGGGACCAACAGGCACCGATTGGGGAAGTTTTCTATATAGAGGGAGCAAGTAGCTACAAGTAGGACAGTGGGGCTTTAAAACCTAAAAGTGAAAACACTATTAGAATATTAAACACAATGGTGATGTCATACTCTGTAGGTCACTGACGATGAAAACAGATTTTCAGCACTTTTTTTGACACCCCAAGCTAAGGATAACTTCAACATACAGTGAAAACAAATCAACATAATCCACTTCTTAGCAGGAATAGTAGTGATGGTAATGGATATACATGCAAATTGTCATGGCAATCGTGTAACATGTTGTGAGAAGGACAAAGTAATCACGTCGTCATCCAAGTTTAAAGACATTGATCAAATTTACTTATAGCTTTTTCCTTGATCGAAATGCTTCAAGAAATTGCACAGAATTAGGAAGTGCTAAAAAGGTCACTTAACATGATAATATCATGTCAAATCTTTGATTGAAGTATGGATTTCATATTTAACAAATATTATCTCAAATTTTCCAGAGGGTAAAAAAAAAAAAAAAAAAACTTAGATAAATATCATCATGAGAATAGATACAAGTACATGGAGGTCTGAGGGGATTTCCCCTCATAATTAATCACTGTTTAATAGTCGATGAAAAGGAAATGAAAAAAGAGCCACCTGTGGATTCAAATTCTGTCAATGGGATGTAATGCAAGAAATTTATATGGCTTGTATTATTTGACCCAAATGTAGCCTTCTTGAAGAGTATTCAGTTATTTTAATACAAGACCTCAAGATTGATGACAAGATAAACTGACCAACAATTTTTTGATGATGACTAGGAATGATCCTACAGTATTCATATTGCATGCTAGCCTTGTGATCTGTTACTATAGAGATCGAGGCAGTGAGAAGATACTATGCTTTGTGCATGATAATAAATTGCTTGCTAATTAGTCATACAAGATCCATGTTTTTTCAAAGCCTATAAATATAGTTATAGATTGCATGGCACGTTCTGGTGGTAGTGTTAAATGTTTGCTGTTTGTCTTTTCTCTCCTTGTTCTTTTGTGTCCAACCTCTTCCCTTCAAAATGTCATTATGGGCTCACTAAAACATTACCAGGTCACACCTCCCAATTTCACCCTTCGTCCCGCGACCGCTGTGAAGTCAAGCACCCCTAAGGTAGCGTACGGCACGGTCAACCACACCCCAGAGCCCGAGGCATCCCCAATCTTGAGCCGACCCATATCGTTTCACCAACCCCAACCCCAGCATCCGATACTCCAACAGCGTAACTCTGCACGGAACAGCCAGCGGAATGCAAGTACCAGTAGCGGAACGCCCAGTCCTCAGACACCCAATCGCCAGTTGGAGACGTCCTTTGGAGAATTGTCAGGTCCTGGTCGGAGAGTTTCTAATGTCACTTATTCAAATCCGGATCCCGTTTTCGAACCGCCGCGAGCTAACCACTTGTCGTTTCCGCAACAAGCGCAACAAAGACCACAGCAATATGATACGGCTAGGTCAGACCAGTACCGCTCCCAACCACAACGAATACCCCAACAGCAGCAGCAGCAGCAAAAGCAACATGACCAACAGCACTTTGCGGTTGGGTCACCGCTGGGTGATGCCTCAAATACGGTGCAAAGAATCAGGAACAGTTCTCCTGCTGCTGTAGCTCAACGCCAGTCACCCAAGCAGCCTCTCTTTGATAACAATGTGATCAATTCTGGATCTAAGGTATTCCTAATGCCCCATTTGCCCCTAGCTGAATCCATATTTCTCTGTTCAATCGATTAAATCTTTGCGTAGTAATTGGTTGGTTGAGTAGGTCAGTAAATAGATAACTGGCAGGAGAACATTTTCAATCTATTAATCAGTTTTATATATGCTTCCTCCGGGGGAAAAAAAAAGAGGACAAGTTTCTTTTGTTCTATGTGATGCATGCTTGTCATTTCTATATTCTCTAGTAGGAGTTTCAAGAGTAGAAAGTGTGCATGTTTTCCTCATGTTATTTCTTGTGGTGGTGATTTTTACTCTCATATAGTATGTTATGGTTATGGTTGCAGTGAAACTAATAGTTTGTTTTTCCATTTACCCGGTGTGAGAATTCTCGCTACCCCAAATAGCGATTCTGCCGAGATCCGGGGAAAATCCTGAAAACGCGCATTGCATTATGGGATAGCTTTTCTACATTACAGCTTCCTGTGCAGGCGCTATATTACTAGGCGCGATAGCGCAAACGTAAAACGCCGTCGCCACACAACGTGTATGCACCGAATATGTCGTCTGCTCGGTCTTGTTTTTTTTTCGCAAATATTTCAACGTTTATTTGAACATTTCATTCGTTGTTTTTTGCGTCTTTTGACATCAGTGACGATGGTTTTCTTTTGTGAGGCTGCACAGTGCTGGGCTCATGATTCCAAGCGTAAGAACCCTGAAAAATGGGGGTGGATGAAGGCCGTGACTTGGGATGGGACTCTATACCGGAAGTTGTAGTGACGACCCGAGAGAGTGAAAATTACCTCGTCTCGCGAATTTCGAGATTTTCGTACCTATTTAGGGTAGCGAGAATTGTTAACCTTATACATATTTATTTATTCTCTTTCAATTTCATCATCTCTCAACATCAATGCAAAAACATATTTTAGATATGCCTGTACTTTTATGAATACAGGTCAGTTTCACTAACCCATGTCAATTAACAACAACAACAAAATATAGGTATGAGTATTTGTAACTTACAGTATATATTTACCGGGGTACATATTTCTTTCAGGAGGGCATAAAGATCTGGAACCCTACATGCCATGCCATCAGTAGTCTAGAAGATGTCCAAGCGATCCGAGCTGTTACCTTTGACCCGACAGGCTCTTTCTACGCAGTGGGTTCCAATTCCAAGACACTCCGGATTTGTGTGTATCCAGAAATGCCAGAATCAAGGTATGAAAGAGAGAATATTTATAATTGAATTTTAAAGGTGTACCGGTATGTCACAGTGTCTGTCAGAAGAAATGCATTGAGCGTGCTTTGAAAGATTTCTGTATTAGATCAACTGGAATATCACCTCCTGGGTAACCAATCCCTGTAAATCTGTTCCAAAGTACAATTGCCCCCTTCCCCCACCCTCCCTCCCTTCTGACAACTACCTAGACACCTGTAACCTTAGACTTGTGGACCCCCCCCCCCCTTCCAATTGATTTAACAAGGTCAGGTAAGTTGATGTCTTCATATGAAAGTAAAAAGTAATTACCCTTTTAACAGTATGTGAAGCATTCATTGTAAGAAAGGTTAGGAAACGACATGCATCATATAATTTTGCTCTTCCATTAATTTTTAAAAATTATTTTGAATCTCTAACACATCAGCCAGTGCCGCTTTGAGTGCTGATAATGATAATATGTCATGTTTACCCAAGTTAGCCTCATATAATGCTGTTCTCCCCATTAAAAGTCCCTACAAATTTCACTGCATTGTCTTGGGAATGGAGGCATTTTTTAAACAAAAGCACTCAGAGAGATCTTTAAAATCTGTTCATGTTTCTCAAAGTCAAATGTTATAAACTGTTTTTGTTCATGTCCCATATTGTTTTTGTTCATGTCTCATATTGTTTTTGTTCATGTCTCATATTGTTTTTGTTCATGTCTCATATTGTTTGTTTTGACAGTGGAGGGGGTAGCATACAGCAGCCCAAGGTGTTGTTCAAGAGGATGCGTCATCACAAGGGTTCTATCTACTGCGTTGCATGGAGTCATACGGGTAACCTAGTCGCTACTGGATCTAACGATAAACTCATCAAGCTGGTCCGTTTTGATCCCGACAAGTGCAATGCTAGTGGTGAGTATGGCTTGATTGATTGATTGATTTCTATTCGCCAAGCTTCCAACATATAATATACAAGAATAACAGATCAAAATTAATTCAGCTTGAACAGGATAACCCACTCAACCCATAACCCAATCAGAATCACATTTTGCATATGATACTTTGTCTGTCTTTCTCTCTTTCTCTCTGTATCTCTTCATATGGCTCAGTATCTTCTCTATTTTTCTTACTATACTCTCTTTTTCAGCCTGGTTTTTTCTTTAATCTCCCTGTTGCATAAATTAGGCCTTCTTCATTATACCGCTCTTGACTCCCTGTTTCTAACCATAGGACCCGATGTTGATCTGTCCTTCCACGACGGAACGGTCCGGGACCTGGTCTTCCAGAAGGACAGTCCTAGCGGGACCACCTTGATTAGTGCAGGGGCTGGTGACTGCAGTATCTATCTGACCGATTGTCAGCAAGGGCAGCCTGTCCATGCAATGGCTGGACACACAGGTTAGTGTGTGGTGTTTATGTGAAGTGCAATATTGTTACTCTGACATAATACAGTCAAACCTGTCTATAGCGACCGCCCAAGGGAAACACAAAAAGTGGTCTTTGAACGCAGGTGGTTTTGTAGACAGGTTCCTTTAGTACATGTTTCAATGAGAAACCATTTTTAAGGGAAACAAAAAATGTGGTCTTTGTGGACAGGTGGTCACTACAGCAGGTTTGACTGTAGACAGGAATGCAGTTATTTCTCACTTTGAAAGGTATAGTCCTGAGACTGTGGTACAATATTGTTATATTGGCCTACTATTGTAGACTAGGGGAAGGGTGAATGTTCCCCAACATGGATAATGGGTGTAATTTCAACCTGCACACTTTATCATTCTTAAAGGTATACACCAGTTTTGGTTATGTGATTGCATTGTGAAAGAAATGTTGTGGAATCGATCTGAAAAGGTTGATCATCTTGCATATAAGTATTGGTGTGTACTGCACGGTTCTGGAATCATCAAAATGATAAGAAATTTTACCCAATCTTTGGTTAAGTTACAAGCATTGTACACAGAAAGATGTATAGGGGACTTACCTGTATCTATCCAGTTCGGATAGATATAATAATTTACCAAATATATCAATTAGTAGGCGGTTTCCTGGCAAAACTTGTATCATCACGTTTTAGTCAAAACATATTCTTTCACATGATTGAAAATAAGAGCTTCCATTTCATTTTTTGAGAGGGGGGCGTTTCCAAAACTGGTCTTTACCATTAATAACATGCTTGGATGCTGCAAGGACGGTCCCCCAATCTGACAACAGGTATAAACAAAAAAGGACTTGGAGCACTGATTTTGTGTAGATACATGTATATAGTGTTGTTTACATCTCTTTAAATATATACATACATTGTATATGCATCCCCTCGAACAAGGCTACATGTGTATATGTTTGTAAAATTGTTGAATATCCAACATTAATCTGGTTTTATGAAGAATGAGCGATTCTCACTTGAATAATAATTATACATTGCTTGTAACTCATAGGGTATTAAACCAAGCTTCTTTTCTCCTTTTTCAGGTCATGTGCTATCCCTGTACACCTGGTCTGGTCACATGCTGGCATCAGGTTCACAAGATAACACAGTGCGCCTGTGGGACGTGAGGACACCACGATGCATCCAGATCATAGGCTCACCAGGGTCAGACAGCGGTGAAGGTAGGTACATCATATATCATGTTTAGGAATACCTCGGGAGATAGATCTATAAATCAGGGGGGAGGGTGACATGGAATGAAGAAAAAGAATGTGCACTTGATCAATTGATGAACAGAGATGGAATGAAGCTACAAGCTGTTATCACTCTCTGTCACTTTCCTTTTTTAATTGGTAATAGCTTGGAGTAATTGGAGTTGGAGTAACTGACAGAAAAGGGTTAGGGGCTGAAGTATAGAACCTACATTTGTTTATTTGTTTTCCTCCTCAGTGGGGCAGGGTTGGTAGAAGCTGCCTTGCATCTCTCCCTACCCCCACCCCCTCTCCAAATCTGCCTATGTGTATTGACCCCTTCCTACAATAAATCTTAGCTTTCAATATATGCATAGCAATTTTTGAATAGCAACATGGAGAAGAAGTGCAATTTGTTCTTGTTTCTGCATAATATTTTTGAATTCCAGTAATACAGCGTCTTGATTCATGACAAGTAAATTGTATGCCTCTGCTACAAAGTAGAAGGAGGCAGTATGTTTTGGGGTTGTCCGTCTGTCCGTCCACATTATCAATTGAACCAATTGATGGATTCCCGCCAAACTTGGGTCATGTATGTATCTTGCAGAGCCAATGAACTGATTAGATTTTAGGGTCATGAGGTCAAAGATCACAGGGTCATATATGTATATGAAAAATAGCTTGTAATCACGATATTCTGACAAACTGTTAATGGATTACAATCAAACTTGAGTTATAAAAATGCTTCTGTTTTGGTTTGTAAAATCTCTCTATGGCAGAGGCATCATAGTTATTGTTTAATGTACCTTCTCGCTCTCTCTTTAAACGCAGGGAGTGGAGCTGCCGCGGTAGCCGTGGATCCCTCTGGACGACTCCTTGCATCAGGACATGAAGACTCTTCCATCATGCTCTACGACATACACGGAGGGCGCCCCCTACAGACGTTCAAGTCTCACAGCTCCGACATCAGATCCCTCCGATTCTCCCCACGGAACTTCTACCTGATGAGTGGGTCGTATGACTGTACCATCAAACTAGCCAATCTGCAAGGTGAATGTTCTTTCCTATCTTTCTTTAATTGGACAATTTGTCTTGATGCCCTTAAAGGCCCACTGTACTACTTGTAGCTACTTGCTCCCTCTATCTAGAAAACAATGCCTAATCGGTGACCATTGGTCCTCCATGATCCTCATTTTCTTATGTTAATTGAGAGCTGAGTTGATGAGATAGCCACCTGTCAGTGACTCTCCTGGGTGGTTAATCCCTCTTAGCCAAACTAGTACTGATGGGCTTGAAGATATTTTCATTCTTGTTTTGTCAGTGTGCCTCATAAACTAGGTTTAGTCTGAGAATGTTCAGATTGCCTCTGCTTCCTCTATATTGTAAGCTGAGAGCCAGCATGGCATTATCTATAGCTTTCTACATAGAGATAATGCCCTTCTGGCTTTCAGCAGAAGGTCATTACTCCAAATTTGCACAAAGGGACATTAAATATCAGAATCTAACTGTTACAGTCAAACCTGCTTTAATGACCACCTGTCTACAACAACCACATTTTTTGTTTCCCTTGAAAATGGTTTCTCATTGAAACATGTACTAAAGGAACCTGTCTACAAAGACCACCAGTCTACAAAGGCCACTTTTGTGTTTCCCTTAGGCGGTCGCTATAGACAGGTTTGACTGTACAGTATCTAATTTTGTTTTTGTATCAATACAAAATATAGAAATGCTTTATCAATAGTGCCCGCAACAATGACCTTTTCCATCTAAGCTTGACACTTCCTTATTTTGTCATCTTAATTTTTGTTTGTTGCTGCAGCGGATATCACACAAGCCGTTCCCTCAGCAACCATTGCAGAGCATCGGGATAAAGTGATCCAGTGTCGCTGGCATCCTAGTGAGCTCAGCTTCCTAACATCCAGTGCTGACAGGACAGTCACGCTGTGGGCTATGGACAATCCCTAAATCATCCAACGGTAACAGAACATCAGGGGGGCGTTTCACAAAACTTGTCATCACTAACAAGTGACAGTTTTTGTTATAAGCTACTGAAATCCTTGCTTCTGATTGGTTATCAGCAGATTCGTCACTAAATTTTGTCATTTTTCATCGAAAAAAAGGTTTTGTGAAACGGGCCCCAGGTCATCCAGTGCTGCTGAATTCCGTGTAGACTCAACTCTGCTCCTAAGTCATGCTCTGCGGTTACTGGACAGTTCGTATTCGCTTGAATCCTGCATCAACCTTGTGCTTGGTGTTGTCCAGAGTCAATGACATTGTTGTGAGCTTAGCCTTGTCCTCGTAACCTTCAGTGCTGACTTGAAAATCAGGCTCTGGGACTGTAGACATTCTTAAACCTCTTTGGTTTCCTAGTTCAGTCAGCCATTGAAGAGCATTAAGTCACCAACCAGTCTTGCTTCTGCAACTCTTGTGGACACAACTTCTCTAGGTCATCTGGACAATCCATAACCCTCTTTTGATTAACGGTTGCAGAGCTTCAAATCATCCAGTATATGGTTGAAACCGTTATGAACTCTGCTTCTCTAACCCTACTCTGGCCAATCAGCAATCTAAAGATCTCTCTAATGATTTGATAAACCATTGCAGAGCAACCTAAAGATCTCTCTAATGATTTGATCAACCATCGAAGAGCAACCTACTTTCACAGATGTCCCAGTGAACTTGGCCTCCTTTGTTATGCTGTGGTTGGACGATCCCTAGATCCATTTGATGTCTAAGCTACTATGTCGTTGAAGGTATAGTCAATATTCACTTTGATCAATAAAGAACATGGTTAGAAAATGGACACCTAGAGACAGAAGGAGATTTAGATGGTCTTTACTGAGTGCTTCTTTATGGTACGTGTTCACTTTCTTGTTTGTTAGTACAAGTGATGATGTAGGCTGTATGTTCATGTGTATGCTGTATCTACAAGTGTACATGCTCCATACATGAACAGGTGCATGCATTGATGTCCCTGTACATATCCATGGTAAGAGCTGATTTTTATATAGTGGACCTTATACTGTTAAGGTGATCTAACTTCTCAATACGTGATTGATTTGATTTCTTTGTGGCACATGTGTAATATATACATCGTCAGGGTTAGTCATTCAAGAGTATACTTCACTGCCTGTTCTATTAATCAGCATTCTCTGTATGACGATCGTAATTTCAGACGTAATGTAGATGGGATTTTTTGCACCACAGTAAAGTAAAATGCACCAACGAATGTGAAATTTGCCCACCAATTTTTATGTAAGCATTATTTTTCATAAAACCTAACATTTTAATATCAACAACTTATCATATTCTGTTTGAGTTTGTCATAACATAACTAAACCCCCCCCCCCCAAAAAAAAGAGATCAAAATAGTGATCATAATTCTAAACACCAATATTAACAACAAGATTCAGCAGCAGTCTAGAAGTATAAATAACATACCTTTTTTTAAATTTATCATTTACCGGTATTAGATATTGTATTTCAATTTCTTTATTCTATGTGTCAGTGTACAGCTATCTATAGCATTTTAATACAGTAACAAGAACCAAATAAGAATTACATTAATCACCAAAATATATATACCTTGCTTTGATTTGAAAATTGTATCCACACATACCTAAGGCATTTCTAGTATTAAAGAAACAGCATATCGTTATTTGGGAGCATGTTGTAGGAAACTAACCACCAAATTTAACAGCATATATTAAAACTATGCTTATTTTGTTTTTGTAAATATATCTCCTTCTGACTACCGTAAAGTGAATATAACCTTGAATCTGTTTGAAGCCAATCTTGCCACACTTGTTAAGTAAAGGAAGCTGCCCCATAGATTGTAACTGGTGGGTCAAGTATTTTGTAAGCTGTTTATGGTGGTGTCATATGTTTCATGACTTTAGCTCTAGGATTTGGACAGAGGTGTAGGGTATTAGGGTTAGGCTACAGTGAAGTCTTACCTTAGGTTTAGGGTTGGAGTTGGGTTCAGGTTTAGATTTAGGGTTTGGGTTAGGTTACGATTTAGGGTTAGGTTTAGGTTTAGGGCTAGGATAGTGTTTGGTTTAGGTTTAGGTTCAGGGTTAGGGATAGTATTTGGTTTAGGTCTAAAGTCAGGAATTGGGTTCGTGTAGGAAATTGACTGCACAGCAATTATCACCGGAGCTTGTGTTGTAGAACTGATCATCGTACCATTGATAACATTTTGATAAATAGATGATGTATTTGTCACACTAGAACTTTCTTCCCATCATTCCTTCTTGTCTCTTTACTGTTCCTCTTTCAATTATCCCCTTTCTGTGAATTCTAGTCTAGGTTTAAGTTCTTTTTGAAACCCTGGTACATGTACATGCACGGTGGTCCCAATACCCCTCCTCCATTCCTCTCTCTCTCTGTCTCTTTCTCTCTCTCTCTCTCTTTCTCTCTCTCTCTCTCTCTCTCTCCCTCTCTCTTTCTCTCTCTTCAATGTAGCAGTGTTAATTGTCAACCTTCCACTGAAAACATACATGTATTTCACTACCGTATAACAAATAGCCACAAAGAAGCGAGTTTATCATGATAGCTTGTGAAGATTCCTGAATGTATCTCAAATTTATGTTTTTGTGTAGATTTCAAGTAGAAACTACAGAAAGTAAGAGGATATATATGTGTACTATTTGGAATTGTGAATGACTGGTTTTTAGAAATCTCTGTACAGCACTGATGAAATTCTTACTCTTGTTGTTTTAAAAGTAAGTATCCATGCAGTTAAATGCATATATTTTTTTGTGTGTGTTCATGGAACTTGTACTTTCAGCATAAAACAGCGTCAACATTTTGTCTTGCAAGTGGTGTGAGACTTAATTTTACAGAATCGTTTAAACAGAAATTTATAGACAAACAGAAACATAGAGGAATGGGTACATTATTGTGTACATGTATGCAATGTACATGTGTGCTTTGTTATTTCATTTTTTCTTTCTTCCAAACAATCAAAAGTGCTATGTATGCAAATAATGCAATATATTTAATGGATTTCTCTTCTGAAAACTGAAAGAATTGAGTATTAGTGTATTACACTTGCAAAAAATAGCATTTTCAAATGAATAGCTTATTTTCTGGTACATGTATGAACATGAGCACTGTATAATTATCAGTAGTACATAGATATTTATGGACATTGTGCATTCATGCAGTTATTAGTGAAAATGTTTCTTATCATATGGGCATTTCTATGTGTGACAAATTAAATCTAAATGTTTTTTTGTAAAAAAATAACAAATTAATACATATATACATGATTAATACATTCGCATTTCATTTTATCAGACTGTAGGCACCAGGAAAACATATTGACATTGCATAGTTTTGTCACAAGATATTCATACGTAGGATTCACAAATAGCAGTTCAATGCCCTTCGTGAACTACTGTTTGAACAACCGCCTCCTGCACTTAGAACTAAAAATTGTACTCCATGTTATGTCGTAAAATGTACTGCATCAGTTTATGTATGCAATATATTACTTAGTGCCCCTAACTTACATCAGTCATCAAATATTGTGCTGCAAGCATTTAATACCGAAGATAGTAGAGTGTACATTTTGATTGTTGTCATTTTAATTGAATACAAAGTGCATGAAGCATCATCACTCATTGATATTGCAGAATTTTTTGTGATTAAAATTAGCAGAAAGTTTTTAGGGCATGCATGTAAATGTTTTTGTTATAATTGAAATACCTTTGGTCTCTCAGATGCAGATGTGTTTCATGAAGACCATAAGTCCTGGGGGTGTTTCACAAAGATTCTGAGTTGAACTTATCTCTAAAGTGGACTTAAAAATTATGGGAAGCCATTAGCATGCTTGAAAATATTTTGTAAAAGTTATTTTAAAAGGCATAAAATGTTGATTCAAATCATTCATATTTTCTATAATCAAGGAGATTTCATGTCCTTGATGTGGAATTTATGATAAGTCTAAAATACTTGAATTTTTGCTTTTGAATCCATTTCATTATAAGGCTACAAGTGGCTCTCCATAATTTTTAAATCCAACTTAGAGTTAAGTTTGACTTAGGATCTTTGTGAAACACCCCCAAGTGCTACAATTGACATTTATTTAGGTTACTAAACCATTATTATGATTAGCACAGATGCATCGAGCCTTGAGCATGTATGGAAGTATATGTACCTATTATATAACTCTTTGTGTATGATACATGGATAAACTACTTTACCCGGCAGATTTCCTGTAGGTATACATGTAGGTTATTGAACAGAAATAGATTATATCTTGCTATTACCTGTAATATATTGATGTGTCTGTATAGTAGATGAAACTCTATATTAGCTTTTGTAAATAGGAGAGAGAAATGTATGTGTATTTGTAATGTTTAAGTCTGTAGCAAACAACACATTGTTATGCATATGACAGAATAAAATGCACTTTACAAGAGTATGGTAGGCAATTTGGCTAGATAGTTAGATGAAAATTTAGATCAAAACAAATTTATGCTCTATGTTTTGTGAAAGGTCTAAGATGTCTACGATATAATTATATACATGTATATTTTGTGGACAGTTTTATTTTCAGGGGCCAAAACAATGCTTTCTATAAATTTATTTATCATTTTGCTTCACTTTGTCATGCTGTATATCTTTCTTTTTTTTCTTTGGAACTGACATATTTTGATCTTTGTGACACTGCCTTTTCATTTAAATGCTTTTTCAGGTTTGTAGAAATTTTTTGTTGTGAATCTTTTATTTATTTATACAAATATTGATTTGAATGAAAATAAAAGCATTAAATGCTTGCAAAATGCTGAAGCACATTAGAGTTTGTTATCATTCTTTGTGTAAGTGTTAATTTATTGCATTAATCCACCAATGATATTGATAAGGGGTGTTGGATTTGTTAATATTTAGTCTGTTAAGAGCCATAATGAAAGTCACTCCACCCATCTAACAACATCCTGCCACTTAAAGAGAAGGTTGAGTTCTGGGAAGAGGTGACAAATAATTTGTGAGCGTTATCACTGCATTATGCAAGTGTGGAAGAACATCAGATAAAAAATGTTCCCTGAAAAGTATGGCTCTTCAAATGCCTTAATATTCTAAATATGGCATGTACAGTGCAACATCATATAAATCGGGACAGATTTTTATGCCACATGTTCGTGTAGTCCCATACATCTTTTTGTGTACAGTGCTTGTAACTTTATCAAGACTGGGCCAAATTTCTTATCGTTTTGATGATTCCAGAACCTTGCAGTACACACCAATACTTTTATGCTAGATGATCAACCTCTTCTGATCGATTCCACACCGTTTCTTTCACTATGCTATCGCATGACCAGAACTCAACTTTATCTTTAATAATGTTTTAATGTGCATTTATCTGCTTTTTGATATTGTCTTTCTTTATGAAAAATTATGCACAATGACTTTCAACCATTGAATAAAGCATATACTGGTATGACTTAATTTATTATTATTTTTTGATTTTTTTTGTTTACTCACTACTTTTGTATGCAAGAGGGCCCTCACTATGAACATGACTGACAAAGCAAGCGGACAAAATATACAGTTCCTCAGGTAGACAAAAGAACATCTCTTCACTGCTATTATGTAAAAATGTGTAGAACAGGTGTCACATGCATATTCACCTTTTTACATAATGGCAGTGAAGGGATGTTCCTTTGTCTACCTGAGGAACTGTATATTCTGTCCGCTTTCTTTGTCTGTCATTTTCATAGTACCTGCACTCAACATATTTCATTGAACCAATAATCCATTGAATACAGAAACATAAATCACAAAAAATCAACTTGTTTCTTGTTATATCAAAATATTTTATTATACAATGACATGTTATCCAACATACAAACACATTCAAATGTGGCTCATACAGACAAGGAAAAAAAATGACAAAAAAGGGGAGAAAATAAATGACATCTACTCTTATCAGTCAAATCATTGACTACCGACTACCTAGTGGCTTGACTTGCAATTAAGCATTGTTCTCATTGCCAAAGAATTTTGCTCTTTTAATGGAATGAATGAGGCACTAAGAGCAATGTATTATTTTGATTACTAGAGCATGTTTATTAGACACAACTCACTAAGCAGTGAGAACACTTTTTATAGAAGCTACTGGTTCTAATTTGTGATGTCTATCAATGTTTATTGGTTTTGGAAATGCACACACATTTCATATTTGATGATTTATATTAGTACGAATAGGTGTTATGCAGTTCAGAAATCAGTGCATTGTTACACCAGGGAGCATGTCCCTGGTTACACGAAACAATTGTAAGTACAGGTTCATCAACATCACACATGCTTCAATGTGATGTTGGTGAACTGGTTTTGTGAAACGCTACCCTGGCTATTGCTCATTTCAGCTGATGTTCATCTATTGATAAATAGGTTTTTAAATTTTAAATTCAACTTTACAAAAATTACAGAGCTCCTTTTAAGCTTCATAGAATGGTTCAGTAAGCTTATACCTAGGATTCCCTTCAAAAAGATGATTTCAATTAGAAAATTTCTCATTTCACCTCAATATATGTATGGTATATCTTGCATGAGCTAGAGTATACCATTATGATTCACGCATTGCTGAATAAATATCTGTCATGACAATAATCAGAAGCGAATAAAAAAAGGCTTGCTTAAACTGGCCATATTTACAGCCTGCTTGTGTATATTGTTACGAAACCCTGAATATCTGAATAAATAGAAGCTCAAATAGAATGACAGCCAACATGAACCCCCTCTCTTGAGCCTCTCACATTTCCTCTTCCTTCCCCCTCCTCTAAAAAAGAGAAGCATTTATTCTACCAATATACCTATGATATAGAACTTTTTGATAGGTACAGAGGGGACTATTAAACGTAAAACCTGAAGAAATGCATAGTTGGGGGACATGTACACCTTCACATGTAAATTCATCAATAATGAATTTTACACACATGAGATAGAAAAACAAACAAAAACATCTCTGACCGGTAATCTTGAAATGCAACAACACATGATTCACTGGATAATTTTGAGTAAGGTGTTTGTTTCTGACCTTGGTGTTAAAACAAACACTTAAGTATCGACAGAGAGTAGAGACTTGACCATTGCTATTTAAATTCAGCACTTTACACCAACAATATTTGGTGTTGAATATGACTACATGAGAGTTCAACTAGGACACTAGGACCACTCTTGAAAACATAATCATAACAACACACTTCTATAAACACCAACTAGGTGTTTGGTGTAAACTTTGCTTATCTATTGTTCAGGGTTTACTCATTTAAGTTTTCTGACAACACATCTATTAAAGAACAAGCTTTCCGACTGTGCCTTACATTACAAAAAAGTGAATGGTATCGATTCCGATTTCCAGAGTCGTATCATAATTTGACACAAGCATCTCTTACACTTTACAACAAAGAGATATGGTGTCCGTTTTATCATTCAGTGTTTCAATCCACTAAATACACAGAATTGGAAACCACTCCATTCAGGGAAGACATGGGACTAAACAGCAATACAGTTTCACTTCTACGAGAAAACAGTTTTTAAACTCCTAATAAGTTTTTCTTCTTGGTCGTTTTTTCTCCCAATAAAAAAATTGCATCACAAAAGTGAGATATGAGAGCCAGAAAAATATACAAAATATTTACAAATTCATGTGTTCCAAACATAGTTAGAAATAACTACATTGAAATAAACATTTTATAATGCATTTAAACCTACAAAGACTATATTCAAAATAGCCAATTTTCAGACAAAGCAATAAATTTGAATACAATATCTTAATAAATAGCTGATCCACACAAAATAGTGAATATGATATAAAATGCCTTTATAGAGTCCTGTACTGGAATTTAAAAAAAATGAGAAAAAAACTTTGATAGAAATAAAGTGTACTGTACAAAAAGGATACCATAAGTCATACAATTATCAATTTCACATATCAAACAATTGTGATTTTAAATTCCTACTCTCTAAAATAGAAAATGTTTCATTTTCAAGTGTCATCGGCCAATTTCTATTGATGCAACTTGTGAATGGCATCAGGAAATTTAGAAACTAATAAACACTTTCATAACAAAAATGAACACAAAGTGCTCAACAAATACAAACCAGGCAGGCATGAGTATGTTCGTAAAGGTAATACACAAGAGTTTAATAGTCAAGGTCATAAATTTGGTCAAACATGTTTTCTTCGTGAATCTATATAATCAATGACCACATAAATGTAATTTCCCTTCATTTAGCTTCAAAAGCTATTCATGTATGAGGGAAACCATGTATTTCAAAATTAAGTGAAAAAATGAAGATAAATCTTTTTATCTTTTTGACTTCTAGCAACAATGTGTATTACCTTTAAGACACAGAGACAGTGCCTCCGAATAAAAATCATTTTTAGAACAACTCATTTTGAAATTAAAGGCACAGGTTATGAGCGTTATTCCCAACACACACTAGGAGAACACACCAAGGTACTATCAGATGCATACATACTTGTTTATCCAAATAATATGCACCTCTTTTGTGCCTGTCTCGTTAAATTGGCAACAACATCACCACAAATGTGTGAGAGTATATTTCATAATCAAAATCCTACAAAATACAAATTTGGCCAAAGTTGTGAGATATCCCCAGAGATTTCTCAGAGAGACCAAAGGTCCAACTGAAATAAGAAAAACAAGAAGCGGAAATGAATACAATTTTTTGCAGTTCTTGGCACAATGACAAGTCCTACCAATCCCTACAATATCAAGTGATAAAGTACTGTCAAATGTGGATGGAAACATTAATAAGTCCTTTTTATTCATAACATTAAATACACCAATCAAATATCTCGTTCAAAACCAACAAAACTTGATCGATACCAATTTGTAACAAAAAATGGTAGCCTTTGATAAGAAAACTGCTGCCTTATTCCATTGAATATCCAAACCAATACCTAACAGTGCAGGGCACATACATTTTTCTGTTTTTACATCTTTTATCAAGTTGACACCTACATTTAACATAGGAAGTAAATTTGGGGGCTGTTCTCATGAACAAACTTTTTAGGGGCTTCAGAACACACCCTCAATCGAAAAATGTGTTTTTCATCAGGCCCAAAAAGCAATCATTTTATAAATGATTCATATTAAAACTGCTTGTACAGACTCTAATGAAGGAAGCAAATCGTTTTTTTTTTAGGTGATCACTCTGAATAAAAGGTTCCTCACACGGCTCTTTTGTCCTCTAGCATTCCACAAAACATATATGAAAACATGTTTGTATGGTCCTGTTTCATCATATATATATATTATCCCACTGAGGTAACATCTCAAAAGCTCTTGTTATGCAACAATTTCTGATGCACATCAATCGATGTGTCACTCATCATCAATGCGGTATACCTAATAAGGTGATATCGGAACAAAGATGAAATAGCTCATGAAGGTTGGGGCATATTCTAATAGATTTTGGGTGTCACTGCAGTAGCTTGAACTACCCCTACTTATTCACCAAATTCCTAACATGATGACCATGCAATATGAAAAACTATGTGCAACAATCAGCAGTGGGAATTAGCCTAATACCACAGGCACACCGCTGAAACCAACACCTGACAAACAACAGCCCAAATAAAATTAAATCACTCCTAATGGCCAAGATCCTTGAATCACTGAAGAGGTTCATCTGATTGGAGATGTATTTTGAAAGTTAGTTCTTTCTTCGCAATCAGTAGGAAAAATACTTGTTTCTGTAAGCTTTTGCTTGCCGTGCTACAATTCCTTCAGAGCTACGAATCTTACAGAATGGCGAGCAATAGCCTATTGAAACAAGTAATTTTCTACCGTTTCTAAAAAAAAAAGAGAATTTTCAAGACCACGATCCTCTTGGTTATTAGTCAGTCTGGCGCCGTGACTGGAGTATAACATTATCTATGCGTGGCAAGGTGTAGCGATATGATGGGTATGCTTATCGATACATGGAAGCTTATGCGATGATCTAAGAACCAAATCTGACATCTTATCAACAATTGTATCACCTCAAAATATATATATATCCTTCCTTAAACACATTCCAATATATATATATATATATATTTTATATCAAATTCATATATCTTGATCCAAGCACCGTATTGACGCATCGTAGCCGTAGCACCACAGGTTACAACCGTCAAGGATAGCCAGTCATCGGACGAAAGGTGATTCGTTGAATTGTACATGGGTGATATACTCCTCTCTACAAAGTCACTTGTGTCTATTTGTAGAAAAATGTGACGAGAGATTTGAGAGTAAAACTAAAGACATTGACCACATATCTATGATTCTCTATCTATGTGACAAGTTACAAGTGATCATGACCCATGAGCTTGGAACAGGATTCAAGAAACTTGGTATTGTAAAACTTAAAGTCATGGTTGAAAGCTTTGCTATGCCAAACTTAGGCTTAACACCCTGCTGTTGCTTTGACATCGATTGATCTTTCCTGATTGATTCCTTGGAAGTCCTCTGATAAGGGCTATCAGGTCACACATACATTGTAGGTCCATGTTGTCATCTTGGTATCACTGCTTTACATAGTATGCTTTTAAGCAAAAGATGACTGGGGTCCTCTTGATATTCCACAGGCACTCTGCCTATGCCGACCCACAAATACAAAAGGTTGCTGCTGTGTGAGCAACATACATGTATATGTAGACATCATTAGGTGAAGTCATTTCTTGGTCCTCAGGCAGTGCAGATCCTATGAGTATCTGAACACCTTTCTTCCGAAGTAGCCTTCAAAACTTAACTAATTTCTCTCACTCGCCACTTCTAAACCCTTCCTGAGGTCTGACTGAAGAAGCTCCAGGCCGTCCATCGCAGCGGTTCCATAAAATTACTTTGGTGTCATCACATACAATGGAGGACTGATTCGAGTAGGGTATCCCAAAACCAAAAGCAACATTCTCTCTCTTTGTAGTCCCATTCAATTACTTTCATGTGACTTCAACTGAGTCATCCATATGAGGTATCCACAAAGCACAAGCAACATTCCCTGTCTATAAGTCCCACAGTGACTTTGGTGTCACTACAGAAGTGTTACCCTACTAGCTAGCACCAGTCTGCAATGTAATTGAAATCCTTGAAATGCTCCTGCTCCTCATCGGTTAACTCTCGTGGATCCTTGGCCGGCGTTAGGACTGGATGCTCTGCCGTGAATTCTTCATCGAAGTTGCTCACGTCTTCAGAATTTGCCTGCGAGAAGATAAAATGTTAGGTACGTGAACTGGGGTGAAGGCTCTCTTCTGTTCAACAAGAGTGGCACATGATTGTATTCATGAGCGACAGGTATACTGCAAGGGTTAAGTGCAGCATAATTCAAGTGTGTTCTAGTTAAGCGTAACAATAGGTATGACATAATTTCAATATTTGATGCAATATCCTAAATCATATTTTTTATCTCCACATGGTGCATAGAGGCTATAGATTTTGTATCAATTCTTCCAATCAATTTCCTCTAAAAGTCTTTATATACAATTTCAATGAATTTAATATCAATTTTGCATTGCATTCAACAGTCATCTAGTAAAGAATATATTTCATCTTGTATGATCAAATTTCACTTGGCAGATTATACATGCAGATTCACACCGCACGAATGTGCACCTCTACTATTTATCCATTACACCACATCAACTTTCGTGAAGAAAACTACGCAATTATATTGGGTGTCTGTTTTCATTCATACTAAAAGTTGAGCAAAGTTCACATAAATGCTTAATTTTACAGTTTCTTACAACAGGCCTTAAATTAATCCAAGGCCATAGCCGTGGATGCCTGGCCTCAATGCCCCTCTCATTGGCCTTGGAGATTTTGTGTGCCCTTTCCAATTCTTCCTATTTGGGCTGTAATATAGGAATGTGCCCTACATAAAAGAGGCCTTGCCCTAAAAATGTTGAAATTTAAGGCCTGTTACAAGCTATATACATTGATTAAAAAAATATACATCTACATAAAGTAACTATTATGGGCACTTACTATTTTAGGTACAAATGCAGGAGTCACCCTCCTCATGAGAAGGTCGTCCCAATTGATATTCTGTGGTAGAGAGAGAGAAAAGATATATCAGCATTATAGCATTCAATGCGCAATTCAATCTATACATTCATATCTTATTTGAGAAAATAAAACTATCTTTAAAAAACTTCAATAAGCTCTTTTGAAGACCAAAACAAGTGATCCAAATTATCTTTAAAGTGCCGTCGACAAGAAAAAAGCATATACCAAACTGTACCAAACAAAAGTTACTTCTAGAAAAAGATATTGCAAGTTTAAATACACTCTCATAAAATTTTAAGGCGATATAGGAGTAGACTAGTTGGTGCATCCATACAGACATGCATGTACGGAACCGAAGTCCAAATTGGGTTCTTTGGTCAGGATTTTTCTGTCATCCCTTACTTTCTTCATACTCTGTAACTATTAGTACATACAACGGAATGCAATTTTTTTTCTTCTTGTTTTTTACTCTTTTTTTTGGGGGGGGGGGATGATTTTATACATATAAGCTGTACAAAAATGGTTTATTTAGATGATTGGTAGCCTTTAATGAAGTACATGTAACTTACCCTGAAGAAACCTTGCATCTTGATATCTTCTGCATCTCTTTGACTTGAACCCAGCCTCCTCATTGGGTTTCTCCTCAGTAACTACACAAACAAACAAAATAATAAGATAATTGTATGAAATTTGTTCATCATATCGAGGGGTCAGTGACACAAAGACATAACTCCATTTTTGCCATTTTGAGAAAAAGTAGTTTATGTGTCACTAAGCACTTGGGCCTTAAGGAGTTAAGTCTATGTTTTACTAGCCATTGACTTCAATTCTGTCATTCTTCTGGATATCACTCATCTAAGCAAACATAATCTTTTAAAGATTGTGTACTGCCATCTATGATAAAGAAGGTATGACTCAATAAAGTGAAACCATCTTTAAAGAAAATTTGTGCCAGTATTTGCTACGTGGAATTGGCCGCATGACTAAAAGACACTGATTCATGCCATTCATACCCTTGTGAAGAGGGAAGGATCAGGGAAAACATATTTAAACAATTTCAGGGGCTACTTTTCAAGTTTGCTTTCATTTGTTTTGCAAATTTTTTTGGGCTCTTTTATGAGTTTTGGGGGCTCTTTTGGGCTTTTCGGGGACTCCTTTGCCCCGAGCCCCCGTGTATTTTTTCCCCTGGGAAGGATTACATAATTTACCCTTCTCATGATGGCTACAGCTTCTGTAGAGAGGAACCTTGGATAGCGCACCTCATCGTTGACGATGCTGTCAAATACCTCTTCTTCATCATCACCAGGGAACGGAGACTAGAGATAGAAAAGGTGGAAAGAAATCATGCAATAAGAATCACCACACATCCATTCTCTTAAAGCCCCACTGTACTACTTATAGCTACTTGCGCCCTCTATATAGCAAACAATGCCTAATCGATGACCATTGGTCCCCCATGATACTCTTTTTCTTATGTTAATTGAGAGCTGATTGGATGAGATAACCACCAGTCCAGTGACCTTGCAGGGTGGTCTAATCCCTCCTGTAAACTAGTACAGATGGGCTTTAAAACATGTTTATCTCACTCTGCTTATTTTGTCTCCTCAATTCATTCAAGTATCATATATTTTGTAAAGGGGTTAATTTTGTTCCACTAAGAAGGAAAATGTTAAAACTGTAAAGTCCAAGAAAGAAGTCGAACATGTGGATACTAAACGTGCCCGGTGATATGACCAGTGACATACTAGTAACACCTGTAACAAATTTATGGATCTACATAATGAGTGATATAATAATACATAAGATTTATAAGGCGCCAAATCCACTTGACATTCAAATGCTCAAGGCGCAGCTTGTGCAAAAGATGAAATACATGTACGTACAAGCAAGATATATATATACTTTTGCTAGCTCAGGCAGATCTTGAGCAAGCTTTGGGTTGTCAATATAAACCATGGTGGCGGAGGTTTGAAATTTGAATTAATAAAATGAATCAAACACAAGAGGTGTAAAATCATCTATTTATGACTTGTGATTGTAGTGTTTCATTCACAAAGATCCTAACTTAACTCTTTGTTGGACTTAAAAACTATGGAGAGCAATTTGTATTCTTAAAATAAAATATATTAAAATATATAAAGTATTTTAGACTTTTTATAAATTCCTCATCAAGAACATGAAATCTCCTTGATAATAGAAAATATGGATGATTTGAATCAACATTTTGTGCCTTTTAAAATAACTTTTACAAAATATTTTCAAAGATGCTAACAGCTTTTCATAATTTTTAAATCCAACTTCGAGATAACTTCAACTTAGAATCTTTGTGAAACACCCCCCAGGAGCCACAGCAGGTCCATCCCAAACTCACCTCTCCCACCAGCATCTCAAAGATGAGTACACCCAGCCCCCACCAGTCCACCGCCCTGGTGTAGTAGGGTTCCGTCAGCACCTCTGGGGCTAGGAACTCCGGTGTTCCGCAGAAGGTACTGGTCCTGTCCCCGTACCCCATGCCTTCCTTGCACAGACCAAAGTCAGCAATCTTCAGGAAGCCGTCTTGGTCCAGGAGTAGGTTGTCCAGCTTCAGATCCCTGTAGGAAATAAAAATGAGTTTATTCATCTAGGATTCCAGTTGGTATTACTTAAAGCCCCACTGCACTACTTATAGCAACTGGCACCCTCTATATAGCAAACAATGCCTAATCGGTGCCTGTTGGTCCCCATGATCCTCTTTTTCTTATGTTAATTGAGAGCTGATTTGATGAGATAAACACCTTTCAGTGATCTTGCAGGGAGGTCTAATCCCCCTAGCCTAACTAGTACAGACGAGCTTTAAAATGGTATTGGACATTATGGAGCTCTCGAACATTACACCTCGTCCTCATAGATCAGCTAAAATCTTTGAACTCTCTTAGTGCATACTTGTAGACCAATGACTTGTTAATCCTAACAAACAAATCTGATCATATAAATACTACTGCCAAGAAATGATGATAAGTACTCTACAGGTAAATCAAATCCATTCTCACCTGTACACAATCTTGTTTTCATGGAGATACTGAAGACCCAATACCACACACGCTGAGTAGAATCTGTAGGAAAAAGATATATTAAAGTCGTGAAAGCTCACAGTGAAGATACTTATTCTCATTCCCCTCTTTCCCTATCTCTCATATGAGTCTTTGACAGACATACATGTATTTACACAGAGCAAGGATCTTGGAAGACATCAAAATGCATGGGCATCATGATATGACTTCCCATTGAATATTTTATTACAGAGCACACATAATGTGGGTCTGTCTTGTAATCTCTACATCCCTCTCCCTCTCCCTCTCCCCTCTCTTCATCTGTATCTCTCACCGTATCAATAAGTACCCTGACAAAAAGACTTACACAGTACGAGGCTCAGTGAAGACATCATTGTGTATGTGCATCATAAGATCACCTCCCATCGCGTACTCCATCACAAAGCACACGTGATGTCAGTCTGTTTTGCAGCCTGTACCTCCCCCTCACCCTCTCTCACCCTCTCTTTCTCTCTCTCTCTCTCTCTCTCTCACTCTCTCTCTCTCTCTCTCTTGCTCTCTCTCCCTCCATCTCTCCCTCCCTCTCCATATCAATAGATACCCTGACAAAAAGACTTACACAGTACGAGGCTCAGTGAAGACATCATTGTGTATGTGCATCATCAGATCACCTCCCATGGCGTACTCCATCACGAAGCACACATGATGTTCAGTCTGGAAACAGGCAAACAGGTTCACCAGGAAGGGATGTCGGATAGAGTTAGCAGCTTCAAAGATCCTCTTCTCACACATGAGGCTACAAACCCAAGAAAACAATATTGGATTATTAAAGGTAAAGACCAGTTTTGGAAACACCCCCCCCCCCTCAAAAAATGAAATAGAAGCTTTTATTACCAATCATGTGAAAGAATATGTGATGATACAAATTTTGCCGAGAAACCGCCTACTAATTGATACATTTGGTAAATTATTATATCTATCCGGACCGGATAGATATCGCGCACGTGTCGCGTAGTCCCATATACATTTTTTGGTGTACCATTTTGATGACTCCAGAACCTTGCAGTACACACCAATACTTATATGCTAGATGATCAACCTTGTCTCATCGATTCCACGTTTCTTTCACAAAGCAATCGCATGACCAGAACTGGTCTTTATCTTTAACTCCCAAAAAAATATATCAAGCAATACGATTATTTTCCTAGATCTATTACAGGCATCTGTAGCTGTATTGGTTACAGGGAAATCCTGTCAACATGAAATCACTTAAAACAAAATATCATATGACAAACAAAGATATTGTTCTACCCTGACTTATCATATTGCATTGTTATTCAAACCACATGTAGATTAAGCTCTATTAGCATTGCCTGGGAGTTTGGATGCACAAAATTTGCCTTACATGATAAAAAAACAAAAGTAGCAGAAGAAAAAAAAATGACAATTAAAAATAGTGGCATATAATCTAAAGTGGCATATAATCTAAAGTGCCCTAGAAATGTACTATCTCTTCCCATCATTAAAATCCTTGATACAAATGAAACAGTTTAAAATGAGACTATTTTACACATATCGATGTGGCATGGTACAGTTAATCACTCTCTCTCAAGTGTCCTTGAAAAGTATTCCTCTCTTCCTGACATTAAATCTTTGATCCAAATGATCACCTTCATTGGCACTCATATCAATGACAAATAAATGTCTACAAATGCAACAATATCCATCAGCGTAGGAATGATAGAAATCACCACTGGTCTTGTGAACCAATTTACGCATGAAGGCTTACATCTAAATACTTGAGATACATGGATTTGCGAAACCTGTGATAAAGTATACAAGCTTAGACAAAAAGTGGCCTACCTTTCTACTTCTTCTCGTGCAACCACATCGCGCTTCTTCAAGGCCTTGATGGCAAAGAATTCCCCCGTTGTCTTGTACTCCGTCAGCAGCACTTTACCAAAGTGACCACGCCCTAACACACTTATTAACCGGAAGTTTTCCAACGTCATCAGGGTTCTGAAAATAAAGGATGACAGGTAGAGGAAATGATAGTGTTATTTGCTATTGTAGAAATTTGTGAGTGGGGAACATTGATAAGATTAAAGAAAAAATTCTTTTTTACTGAGAATCCAGATAGAAACAACAAGATAGTCATGAAAACAGACAGAAATTTAAACACAGAGAGGTAAGAGAGCACACATACCTGCCAACATTTGAAAATGAGAATTAAGAATTTGTAGCACGGTATGTCTTCGAAAATAAGAAATCTGTACCCTTAACAGGCGTTCGCACATGCAGCGGCAGTTTAACTGGCAATACGCGGTAAATCTGTGCAAAAAAGCGAATACAAATTCGCTGATCAATCATGCATCGCAGCATATGATAAAACAAGCTTAATTTGGCCTAAGCAACACCAACAAAAAAAAAATGAAATTTTGAAAATCTGGGATATCCCGCATTTTCGGGTCCTAAAAATCCAGAAAAACAGGATATTCCGGATTATTCGGGAGGGTTGGCAGGTATGAGCACATAGGAGATACAGAGAGAGAGAGAGAAAAAATGAAAGAGAGATAATATTTAGTGAAACATGTATAGAAAGACCCACAAGGGAAACATGAAAAGTGGTCTTCATGTACAGGTTCCTGTAAGACAGGTTTCAATGAAGAACCCGCTAGAATTCTAGCCTTTTAATCACATGCATGTAATTTACATATTATTTTTTTTTTTTTTTTTTTTTGTCTCGGTAATTTACACTAACATGGCCCGAAACAAGATGGAAGAGACAAGTCTTTACTTACCCGTCATCCATGGCCGAGATTTCTTGTGCTCCATGTTGTCCCTGGGTCTGGCTCAGGGGTGACGGAGGGGGTGAGGATCTTGCTGCTGGTGGGGTCAGGGGTGAACTGACCTTGGGTGAGCTTGAGGAACTATTGTTGAGGAAGTCAAATGATGAAAGGGCATCCTATGTATATAGAGGAGGGGGGGGGGGGGAGAGCAAGGAAAATCCATAAATATTTTGCAAAGCTGATAATATGACATACTTCAGGTTAATTTTTAAAGCTATACCATATCCTGTGTTTTTCTCTGCCTCACACACAACCCCTCCTGACACTATTAATTTCATAAACACAACGCCACTAGGCTATCGTCGATCCAACAGAGAAAAAATACCAACAGAGGACCAGTAACTATGCCCTCTCACATTACCTGGCGAAAATCATCAAACGACGATGGAAAACGCCATTAATTTCAACAACAACAACTTCTCCTTTACACTATCTCTTCCTCACAACCTTTCTGTCCCTGTTCTCTCTCTTTCACTCAGTCTATCATTCACTGTCACAACTTCCCTTTCTCTCCCTGCCTCTGCATATCTCTGTCTCTGTCCCTCCCTCTCGTCTGCTCATATTTCTAGTCAATGGGATTTAATTTTTTTTTTTTCTTTATCCTAATTCGTTCTCCTTTTCTCCTTACTGGTATCTTTTTATCTCTCTATTTCTTCAAGGTACTTACTTTTATGTAAGGATCATCTTTTCTTAAATCCTCAGTTCTTGCCTTCTTCCACTACTTATTTTATCCGCCTCCCAGTCTCAAAATTTCTATATTATCTTTTCTTTCTCACTTCTCTATCTGTATCTCTCTCTCTCTCTTCCTTTCTAAAGTTTAGCAAATCTTTGCAGTTCAACTCATAGATGAATTTTTTACCTGTACTTCTACTCCGCCCATCTTGTCCTTTGACGGTGACCCTGCACCGCCCTCTTGCGAGTTACTTCCTACTGATTCAGACGAGTCCGCCTCCCCGAAGCTCAACCTTTGGATAGGGGGACGGGGCCTGATGGCTGTCGGGGGCGACGTCCCCGAAGGAGTGAGGGAGGATGGGATGGACCGTTTCATCAAGCGCCCCCATGTAGCTACATTGATGTTCATCTGACCTGCCCTTAGGAAGTTCTTTCCTAAGATTTCAAAGATGATGATCAAAACAGATAAAGGATGCTTCTTTTGAATGATTGATCAAAAGCTCTTCCTTTGTAGTTTCTTCTTCATTTTTTCCCCCTTGAAGAATCATCAAAACAATCACATCAAATTTTCTGGGAAAATCTTATAAATGAAACCCCCTTTTCGAAAAAAAGGGATTCCATCATTTCATAAATTCAAAACTCATCGAAATATGGATATGCCTTTCTTCTAATTTGAGAAGAATTTTGTATTGAGATCAAGTGTTTTCTTTTATGAAGGGGCTTGAGCATGAATTCCTCAATTTATCATAAAATATCTAGCTACATGTAGATTTTGGCATCCCATTTCTATTTTGTGATCAATGTATGCACATTTCAGCTTATTATACAATGTTGAGTGTAATTGAAGAAAGTAACTTCCTGATATACACTGTATAATTATGTGAGATATTTTTCCATAAAATCCCTATTTTACCTTTATGTTTGGGGAAGATCTTCCTTTGCCTCCTCAGTTTAGTTCTTCTCTCTATCACAGGTGTGGTGAATGTGATCTAAACAAAGACAAAGAATATTAGACAGTCACTAGATAAAAGACATAGTGAAATGGGGACCTGGTAGAATGACGAAAGCATTTGTGTTAGTAATTACCATTGGCCCTCACAGTGACCATATGGTAGGAATATTCCCCAGGGAGTGGAGATGGTGCACATTGTGCGTGAAAGTATCATAAAAGTATCAGATGACTAGGGTGATGATATCAGTAGAGTGCTAAGAGATGGTATTTCATACTAAGCGCTTCATAAATCCTTATGATTATTATCACAAATGTGCAACTTTGTGTATTCAATATAAATATACCCTTATATGCTTTGTTTTGATCAAGTCCTAGGTACATCTCATAAACAGCATGACAGTTCCACCCAACAATCTTGACAAGATATTATCTGATAAGAGCCATAAGGACATTAACTCTGTGAGGTATCACCCATAAGGCTCTCACTTGTACAGTCAAACCTGTCTATAGTGAACATCCAAGGGAAACACAAAAACTGGTCTTTCTAGACAGGTGGTCTTTGTGGACAGGTTCCTTTAGTACATGTTTCAATGAGAAACCATTTTCAGGGGAAACAAAAAATGTGCTTGTTGTAGACAAGTGGTCACTAAAGCAGGTATGACAGTACTAAACGATATCTTTTATGGGGTGGACTTACTTCTGTGAATAATAATCCTTCAGGTTCTAGGTTAAGACACATGCCATGCCTTTGGTTGTCAAGGAAGTCTTCCAGCCTGAGGAACTTGACAGCACACAGTGATCTCTGGTCTTTCCATCTTACGTTGATCTCTAATTCACGGGCCTGATGAGAAAACAAATAGAGAGAAGAGAGATATTAAAGGGAAACTTGACAGCACACAGTGATCTCTGGTCTTTCCATCTTACATTGATCTCTAATTCACGGGCCTGCAAGCGAGGGAGAGACAAAAATAATATATAACAAACATTTAGGTTAACTGAATCAATTGATTGCAAAGTAATATGGATATGATTAGAAAACAAAGTAGGAAGAGGAAAAGAAAAAGAAAATTAAATAGAGAGAAGAGTGATATTAAAAGGACAGTTTACAGCACAGAGATATATGTTTTTGGACCTTATATTGATCTTTAATTCACAAGCCTCGAAGGAAGGAAGAAAATCATAAGATTGTTAGAGAGAAGGAGAAGGTGAACCATAGATAAAGTGAATTAAATAATATGGATATGTCAAGAAAACAAGGCAGGAAGGATAAAAAGATATTGTTAATAAGATGGAGAGAAGAGATATATTCAAAGGAAACTTGATAGCATAGATTGAGCACGAGTCTTTCCATTGTACAGTGATTTATTATTTGTGGGGCACTGGGGCTACAATGTAGGTATAATATACCATAATGATGTTAGAAAAGAAAAGAGCAATGGATATATTGAATGAAAGGATGAAACATTAAAACTGATAGGGAAAAAGTGATAGGATCTCAGAAAGAAAAGATACAGACAAGAGATGCATGTAATACAGAGAAATTAATAGCACAGGGTAGCATGAAATATTTCTATCTTACCTTAACATTTTATCAGATAGTTTACAGAACAAGATATTCTACATACTGCAGCAGGAAATCAATTTTGTAAAAGTAGTTAAATATGAAAATAGGAAGTATATTTCACAAATTCTTGCCAATCCTCTGCAAATTATATTTCAAGTGAATTTCCTTTGTGATTTTTTAAATTAAAAAAAAACATGAGGGAACTTAAATTTGTGGGCTATGATGCCTGTCATCATTGAACTTTAAAGATAAGATAAACTCAAGCATGACAATAATGCTTGCACACAGCTTGATGCATACCCTAACTGAACACAAGCATGTACCTACCATGCAGCTTCTCATACTCAACAAATCGTAAGAAAACATGATGACGTAAAACACCACTGGCATCTTCTTTTTTATAATCCTGTATTTCTGTCTTCATGAAAAATGTCAAGGTCTGTCTTAAGCATGGAAGGACGCATCTAAAAATCTCACTAAATGCTCACCAACAACTCATTTTTCAAAACATGATGAAAATATATTCTATTTGTAAATGATCCAAATAAAAATTTTAGAAAAAAAATTCACTACAACAAAATGGATTATTTTGTTTTCGCAAGGTATCATCTCTTGTAATAAGATTCTTTAAGTAAACCAAAAACTGGAAGATAATTCTCTTGAACATGATGTTATGAGCTAAGTATCTTCAAGTAAATTGAAAGCGGGAAGATAGTTCTCCAGAACATGATGTTATGTGAAATGAAAAATCTCCCAGAAAAATCAAATACTGGAACTTAAGACAATTTTCTGAGCAGGCATTATGCTCCTAAATCTTCCAGAAAATGAAAAGCTGAACATTGTGGTAAGTGGAAACAAATCTTCATGATACATAGAATACAAGGCTTCATACGTCAATTCCAGATATATCATATTTCTAATTCAGTAATCCCCTCTACAAGGGGAAGGACAGCGAGTTCTGCCTTTCATGTTTATATGGAGCTATATTTATAGACAAAACTCGCTTAGTTTTCCTTCTGTGACGGCAGCGAGCTGGAAAATGAGCAGAGGCTTTAGGAGCTAGAGGCCTAAATAAAGAGACTGAAAGCGTGGTCGTTGAAGAGAGTTATTTATCCATCTGCGACCTTCAGAGGAGATGAGAGGGAAAGAAATTTGCTGAATGTCATCCCTTTTTTTTACGTCTACCGGTATATAAGTAGGTCATATCACTCTTTGTAGGCTGAGGTTACTGAGGTACAGTGTAAATTCATCCAATAGAAATTGGAAGAATAAGTGTGCTCAAAAGATTGATATCATAATTGCTTTGAGTTATTCTGTTTTATTTCAACCATGTTTACTATACTCGTAATTAAAGTATCACATTATATATTAGGTCATATCATTTGAACTCTTTGTATGGTGAGATAAATTTATCCGCAATAAAATTGGAAGAATAAGTGTGCTAAAAAAATTGATATCATAATTGCTTCAAGTTATTCCATTTTACTTCAACCATGTCATTATATTCTTAATTAAAGTATCGCTCTCAGCCTATTTCTGTCTGCTTCCTCTTCTCCAGGCCCCTCTCAACTCCTGTATATCTTGTCTTTTTAATGTTTACATTTAATTTTTTTCTTTTCTTTTTGTGTTTGTGTAAGAGGGAAGTGTTTGGACTTGTACCACACGGTCATCTCAATTTCAATATTTTTCTATTTCTTCCTTCCTCACGTTATTTCTCTCTCTCTTGTTTTCTCATTATTCATCTCTCTTTCTTCACCCACCACCCCATCTCTCTCTCCCTTTCTCCCTCCCCTGTCTCCCTCTCCCTCTCTCTCTCTCTCTCTCTCTCTCTCTCTCTCTCTCTCTCTTCCTCCCTCTCTCCCCCTCTCTCTCCCTCTCTCCCTCTCTCCCTGACTCCCTCTCTCCATGTATAAACTCTTTACTTCTTATTCTCTCTCCATAATGTCTCCAGCTTTCTCTATATATCATCCTGTCTCTGTATGTGTATTGAAACTTCCAATTAGATACTTTCGTAGTCAAACAGGAAATGAATTTGTACCAACATGAACAATAGGAAGATTTCCTACATTATCATGATCGTATCCACAAATATTCTACCAATCAACTCATACACCTCCGATGACTTACTTTATCTAGATTGAAGAGAAACTTCTGATCCCAGCATTGGTTGCTAATAGGCTTGAATGGTGTTTGGCCAACTAGTACACTATCTAACTTCATGATGGCACTGATTTCATCTGCAAAGTAAAAGAAGAAAAAAATGGGCTCTTGGGAATGAAAATAATCATATCTGGATTCATTTCCCTCTCCCTTTTTGCCTATGTGATGTTGTATTATAGTCCTTATACCCATTTGTTGCAAAAAGAAAGTCCATCTCATAGTCCGGGCAAAGAAAATATCTAAATAAAAATGTTGCAGCACTGGAGTATTAAACAGGAACACATCCTGTCCTAATACTGTTAAGAACAGTAAAGATATTTTCTTTATTCTAAGAAAGCAATTATTAAAAGTATAAGAGGACAACAAGAGACAAGATGTGAAACTTTAGTGTCTCTATATTTCTGTACTATATAAATATGCATACATCAAATGAAATTATACAACAGAAAAAAAAGGGGGAAGTTTTAAAACCTCCAATTTTACGAGGGCCAACATAAAAATAACCTTTTTATTTCACCAACAGTCCAGTAAAAAAAGATCTAAACAAATACATGCCTACTATTAAAAGAACAAGAGCAAGGTTTGAACTTATTATGCTGTCTTCATCAGCTCGAGTTTTCTAAATAACTCGCCATTTTTTAGACTCTGGATATTATCCTGAAGCTCGAAATTGCGTCTTCACCAGACCGACACGCTCATCACAAACTAGCTAGGACTAGGATGGGCGCAAATTAGCCTGCTATTTCCTAAATAGCGGGATATTTTGGAACCATAATAGAATATTTTGGAAACAAGACCAAGATTTCTCAAAATATTTTCCCAACCAAATATCCCGCTAATTACAACTGTGGGCTAATGAAGACACAAATTAACAGGTTAATTTATGACCGGTAAAGTTGAAATAGCGGGCTATTTCGCAAACTCAAGCTGATGAGGACAAGCCTATATTGTGCTACATGTATCTCTACCTTCTGATAATGCGTGTTAAATCAACATTCATCACTAAACAATGGTCACTTTGTTCTGTAAACATGACAAGAAGCCCAGTGAAGTAGCCAGGATACACACCTTAGATAAAATTTACTATCAAACAAAGTCTGTACAAGCCTTGCATAGAACAGCAAATACAACATGGCAATTCAAACTGCCTTTGTTTGTTGTACACCCACTAAAGGTACATGGCTAGCTATTATAAGAAAGATCAAGTTTCAGACAGGAAAACTGCTCTTCAGTTAATGTGAAAGCCACTAGAACAATTGCAATTGTACTAATTTAATTGCTTTGCTAATAGCAAAGCAAAGATTATCATGAAGAAGAAGAAGAAGGATTCCTTTTCATATTTTTCACCAAGGCCTCAAATTACAGTTTGGTTACAAAGTTCACTTTTGGTCATAAACACAATTACTCCTTTTGTGTAATCCTCTTAAGGTATTTTCCTGTTACAATGGAGGGTATTAGACTTTTGAAAGTGCTCTTGTGTGTAACACTTGTTACAGCTGTGTTGAGAACTCACAGTGGTTCTGACCTGTCTTTTGTTGTAAGGAAATGGTGGTTGAATCCACACATTCCTGTTAAAAGCAGTTTGAAGTTCTGTAGTAGACCAATATTGTATTATAGTAATTCTACAGCAAGTTTCCAATTGAGTACCTTACTCTCTGGTGATATTGAGCCTAACCCAGGCCCACAGATCCTCGATGGTCTTAACTTAGATCATGATCATGTTCATACATCTCAATATACTGATTATGCACCGTCAAGTCGTATTTGCTATGATTTAAATGCTCTCTATCAGTTGAACAGACAGCCTTACCAGCTGCTATCTCAGCCTGTGTGGACCAGGGTTTGTGAGCTTGGTATCGGTCGCCGACGTCAAACTCACCGCGGACGTAAGCCCCGTAAGCGTAGGGTCCCAAGGTCACAATACTCTGCACCTATTTCTGTGCCATCCACTGGTCTCCAACTTGGCCTATGGAATGCACGATCCTTGACCAATAAAACACATGCAGTTACTGATTTAGTTGTAGACAATAACCTTGATGTATTAGTCATAACTGAGTCATGGCTATCTGGGGATAATAACAGGGACGGTCACACTTTGGCCGATATGAAGTTATGCTTGCCTAATTATGATTTTACTCACCGACCCCGTAAGTCTTCTAGGGGTGGTGGCATTTTTGTACTTTATAGATCCACAGCTCGTTGTACTGTAAATTCCAATGATGATTTTTCTTCCTTTGAATTACTTGATTTAATAATCAACCTTACCCCATCCTCTGCTGCTAGATTGTACTGTATTTATCGTCCTCCCTCCACAAGTAACAATGTCTCTAACAGCACCTTTCGGGAGGAATTTTTAACTCTTCTTGAAGGTGCTGCTGTAACCGATCACTTCCCTCTACTCTTAGGTGATTTTAACGTACATGTTGACGATCCCAATGATAATTTTGCAAAATCCTTCATGGGCGGAGTTGATTCTCTTGGGTTTAAGCAGCATGTCCATGAACCTACGCATCGAGCAGGCCATACCCTTGACCTATTATTCACCAGAGATTCAGACGACATCGACCATGTGAAGCTGTTGTCTTCACTCCCTTCCGATCATTGTGCACTAGTTGCTACAGTTAGCCTCACCAGGCCCCAGAACCCGAAGAAGGAAGTGAGCTTCAGAAAATTTCGAAGCATCAATATGGACTCTCTACGCAACGACATTAAACTGATCTTCCATCCACTTTCTGAACCTGTATGTCCCTCTAGATCTGCAGATCAATACAACTCCTTTTTGGGTACTTTGATTGATAGGCATGCTCCTCTTCAAGTCAAAACCGTCACAATTAGACCTAAAGCGCCTTGGTTTACCGAAGACGTGCGGGAGGCAAAGAGACGAAGGCGCCGGGCGGAACGCTGTATGATCAAGTCAGGGCTTTGTGTTGACAGGGAACTGTATCGTCAAGAATGCGATTCTTACTACGAATGCATCTACAATGCTAGGTCAACGTATCTCAAGAATCTTATTGCAGATGCTGACACCAAACAACTGTTCAGTATTGTAAAGTCACTCTCATCACCAAATCAATCTTCAATTATTCCGGATCACTCATCTGACAGTGAACTTGCCAACAGGTTTGCTAGGTTCTTCAGCGAGAAGGTATCCAATTTGGTATCTTCCTTCACTGACTCAGTTCCGGTGCCAGCAGTCACATATTGCGCTCCGTCGTCTGATCATGAACTTTCCCAGTTCTGTCTTGTATCTGATTCGGAAGTCAGGAAGCTCATTAAATCACTACCATCTAAACACTGTAAATTGGATCCAATTCCCACGTGGCTCTTGAAGGACACCCTTGACGAACTCCTCCCTGTTATCACCAAGATGTTTAATCTCTCCTTGTCTTCTGGTCATGTCCCGGAATCATTTAAAACATCCCTACTCCTTCCTCTTCTCAAGAAGCCGAACCTTGATCCAAATGGACTGAACAACTACAGGCCCATTGCAAATCTACCTTTCCTAGATAAGGTCTTGGAGAGGATTGTGGCTGCTCAGCTGAAGGCCCACCTCGAGAGATTTGGCATGCTTCCTGTTCATCAATCTGCCTACAGGAACCACCATTCAACAGAAACTGCTACGGTTAAAGTCCTGAACGATCTTCTCCTGGCCATAGACAAGGGTAATGAAGCCGTGCTCATCCTCCTGGATTATACGGCTGCATTTGACACCATCGACCATACCCTGTTACTTCATCGCCTGGAAAATGACTTTTTCATCACCGGAACTGTGCTTGATTGGATACGCTCATATCTCCACAATCGCAGTCAACGTGTGATCATCAACGACACGCCTTCTGCAACATTTCCACTGATCTGCGGCGTTCCTCAAGGTTCCGTAATCGGCCCACTTCTCTTCGTTCTCTACACCAGCCCACTGTCTAAGGTCATTAACTCTCACCAGGGGATTCAACATGCGATGTACGCTGACGACACTCAGATTTATATAACTCTTAAGCCTAACGGGAAGGATGATGCGACTCGGAAACTCAGCAGTTGCCTTGAAGACATTAGGTTCTGGTCTTCTAACAATAGACTTTGCCTTAATGAACGAAAATCTGAAATGATCCACATTACTTCCAAATTCAGAAACACCGATTCCTTCCCCGACTTGGTTACCAGAGATGGCTCACTGAAGGGTAGTGAATACGTTCGAGACCTGGGTGTTTTAATCGACAAAAATCTTACTTTTCAACAGCACATTAAAAACGTATGTAAATCGGCATCTTTTGGAATCTTCAAAATTGGGAAAATTAGGAAACTACTTGACCGGCCCACAACTGCAAAATTAACCCATGCATTTGTATCCTCCCACCTTGATTATTGTAATTCAATTTTTTCTGGTCTTCCGCAATCGTCCCTACTTCCACTTCAAAGAATTCAGAATACTGCTGCAAGGCTTGTTACTCTCTCGAGAAAGTTTGAGCACATAACCCCAATATTGCGTTCTCTTCATTGGCTTCCCATACACCATCGTATCACATTCAAAGTTCTTCTTCTTACATACAAAATTCTCCATGGCCAAGCCCCTAAATATCTTTCAGATTTGATTTCCTTACGTTCTTCTAGTTCTTTAAGACCTCTTCGATCATCATCAACCTTGCAGTTAACCCTCGGACCTCGTACCGCTACAAAATATGGCGACCGAGCTTTCTCTGTAAATGCCCCTATCCTTTGGAACAAATTACCAGCGCACTTTCATAATATTCATTCTCTCGACCAATTCAAGTCCTTGCTGAAAACGCACCTTTTTAATTCATAAATAATATTCTGCAGTTGTGAGTCGGTCAAAGGAGGTGCACACCGTCTTATTTTTTGTTTGTTCGATCCTATGTTTGATCCTATGTTTGACCTCTTGTATGTATGTTTGTTTGATCTCACTCTTATCTTATTTTTTTATTATTATATATGCATGATTTATTGAATAAAGAACAGATGTTTAAGTTGTGTGTTTATTATAAGTTTTGGTAAATAATTGTTAAGTCAGAATATGGTGCGCTTAGAGACACCAGTATTAAGCGCCTTATAAATATTGTTTATTATTATTATTAATTACCAAGTACCAGTACTACTGGTTTGAAAAAAAGTAGTTTAGGCTTCTACCAACCATAAATAGGCATATTTGTAGGGTTGTTAGAACTTTAGAAGTCTAAAAATATAAGTAATGATTACCCGACCAATCGACCATTGAAAGTTTTCTCCATCATACTGCTTTTAATGCTGAAATACAATATACTTGATATTTGTCAGATGAGTGACTACCTTTGTTTAAAAGAGATGGATGTACAATGACTGTTTCTACCAAAAGGTAATTTCCCGGTATTCAAAAGTTACTTTTTTTCAGAATAACATCTCTTTTCAGTATACAGTGTATCAACCCATTTCCCTACGATTCTTTAATCTTACTTATCATCGGTATACTATATACTTTCATGCTACAAAAGACTGTTCCTCTTCTGTGGAGGGAAATTCCCTATATTTCCAATGGCAAAACCATTGATTCATAACAGAACAAAACACTGATAAATATTTTGGCTACCTCATCACAGTCACAAAAGCAATTAAAAGGTAAAGATCAGTTCTGGTCATGCGATTGAATTGTGGAATCGATCAGAAAAGGTTGATCATCTAGCATAAGAGTATTTGTGTGTATTGCAAAGTTCTGGAATCATCAGAATGATGAGAAATTTGGCCAAGTCTTGGTAAAGTTACAAGCACTGTACACAGAAATATGTATATGGGACTACGTGACACGTGCTTGACACATGCGCGATATCTATCCGATCCAGAAAGATATAATAATTTACCAAATATATCAATTAGTAGGCGGTTTCCTGGCAAAGTTTACATCATCACGTATTAGTTAAAACACATTCTTTCACATGATTGGTAATAAGAGCTTCCATTTCATTTTTTGAGAGGGGGGCGTTTCCAAAACTAGTGTTTACCCTTTAAAACTAAATCACTTGACCATTTCTCTTTTGAGCTGTTTCTTGGGTCAGTTCACATATGGCTACACAAACACTGTTACCCTTTTAATAATACACTAAGACTTACTTGATATTTCTTCTTTTGTGCTTGAGGATCGTGAACTGCTCCTGCCATGGAAGGATGCCTTCCCCCTGAGGATGCCCCCTTTGCTCTCGCTGGGACTGTTCAACGAGGTGATGCTGTTCCTGGCCCTGTAAGGGATCATCTCCTGCAGGTCCTGGCACCCCATAATCCTCACCTCTAGGACGCCGGTCAGGGCAGCAGGTTTAGGGAGGGGGTTGTCAGACTGGATTAAGAAGAAAGATGAAGGGTTTACAGTTGGAGCTTGGTTAAAGCCCATCTGTACTAGTTTACTAGTTTACCCTGCAAGGTCACTGACAGGTGGTTATCTCATCAAATCAGCTCTCACTTAACATCAGCGAAAGAGGATCATGGGGGACCAATGGTCACCGATTAGGCATTGTTTGATATATAGAGGGCGCAAGTAGCTATAAGTAGTGCAGTGGGCCTTTAAAACCTCAGACAGAGAAAAGTTAAAATGTGTATCTGGACCCGAAGAAAATTATCTCCAAGTACACTGATTACCCCCTTGTTATTATATTTCGCCCTACAAGAAGTAATTGTCCTAGGGGATAATTGCCAGGGGGCAAGGTAGTCCAGAAGTAGTTCCCCTAAAATGGTAACGATTACATACCCAAGCACAGAACTGGACTGGATAAAGTCTCAAAACATTGCACAAGATTAAACTTCCGCTATCCAACCAATCCACATAGTCAGACATCAGGACCGCGCATTCACCAGGGTGAAAACGTGAGGAACTGTTCACAGAGGAACATACATTGTACATGAACTTTCATTTTGCCTGACTTGGGTTCTTCTGTGATTTGTCATACTCAGACTGACCTTGAGATAGCTTCTGAACTGACCAACTGTTCAGACCTACCTGCACACCTATTAGCCAACCAGTCAACATACAATGTGGTAAGAATTTTGGACCATCTCTGTATCGCACACACAATCCCTATGGCAATATGGTTAGGGGTTGTTCAATCAAACATACCTTTATTTTGCCCGACTTGAGTTCTTCCTTGATTTGATTGAATCTGGTCTGATCTGGAGGTAGCTCCTGTATTCTCTTCTCAAGCCCTTCTCTAAGGATATCTAACTTGTGACTGGCTTCCACCAAACCTTTTTGTGCCTGCAGGAAACAGAGAGAAAAACAGACTTTGTTATATTAACCCATAGACTATTGAAATCTCAGATTCACATTGGCTTAATAGTTAATACCCAGACTACCTGATTCCCATAGGCAAAGTTTTAAAATATTCAGCATCTCAAATTCAAGATCATCTATGCTTACAAAGGGAAAGTCATCTTAATCAATATAAGCCTGATCTCTGCTTCCAAAAGACCATTTTCGTAATGCAACCAAATTTCATGCATACATGTACATGTACATCTCTGTTTAAGTGACTCAAATTCAATACAAACTATTTCATTCACCTGTTAAGAATGATTGCATTTTAACAGTCAGAATGCTATTAAACTGCATTTATATGTATATTATGTGTTGTTAGGTAGGGCAAGTCCATAATGTTTATCATACCTAATCACCTAGCAACAAATACTGTATCATGCGATTCACATTCTGACTATTGAGATACAATTATTTGTAACAGGTGAAATGAAATAATTTGTATCGAGACGAATGCAATAAATTTGGTTACATTGGATGTGCAGGTGTACCACTACCGGTACACACAACTTCCTCCCGACTCTGTGGGTTTTTAATGTTCATGTACATTTTGTAGGTTGTGAGTCTCATACACTCTGCACCTCCCAGTAACATCCAGCACATCGCCCGTTCGGAGCCAGAAGGATATATACACATATGTAACACACAGTTATTGCCCTTCTGGCTTTATTTCAAATTATCATTACCACCATCATTGTTATGATTATACCACAGCTATGTTAGTGTCTGTAAACAAAACATTTAATTATCAGCCTAACAACGGGTTAGTTGATTGTGAAGTTGTTAAAAATACTTGCACGCTAATTTATCTTGATAAACTGCCCCCCCCCCACCCCCTTTTGCCCCTTGTGTATACATTGTATCAAGTAGCGTGTGGTGATGATATGATTGCCTGTTTGCTGATATGGCTCCAGCCAGACAAGATTTGCATTTTAATAGAAGTAGATCTGGAAGATGATTCCTTGTAAAATGTAAAGAATGAATTTATGCGAGATACATGTAATACATGAGATCACATCATCCTAACTTAGACTGATTAAGGGGGGTACTGTAGGTGGGGAGGAGTCTTCTTTGAAAATTACAATCCCTAGGGAGCATAACGTACAGTGTCAATGATGTAATTATTCATTTCAGAAGGGGAGGCATAGCCAAATTTGTTTCCCCCTACATGTACACATGTATGTGGATCCACTTATTGGCACTGATACCACAGAACATAACTGTAAATGTATCACAGTCATATGACACTCCCTATTGACAGAATACATGTTCCCTCTCAGTGAACATTCCAACTGCTCTGACCTTACATGACCTTTGAACTCTTGATACACCAAGAGTGCACTTTTCCCTCATGCCCATACATCACTCTCTATAGAATGGCGGCTCATGCTGATAATGTTACATGTTATAAATCAACAACATTTGATGTGTTTATCAGACTGAAAAGCTGACTGCGGTGAGAGGTGTTGAAAAGCAGAGAGGATATTGGATAAACTGTATCTGCTTGCATTCACTTTAAAGGTATAGACTAGTTTTGGAAACATCCCTCTCTCAAAAAATGAAATGGAAGCTCTTATTACCAATCATGTGAAAGAATATACGTGATGATACAAATTTTGCCAGGAAACCGTCTACTAATTGATACATTTGGTAAATTATTATATCTATCTGGACCGGAAAGATATCGTGCACGTGTCGCGTAGTCTTTCTGTGTACATTGCTTGTAACTTAACCAAGACTGGGCCAAATTTCTTATCATTTTGATGATTCCAGAACCTTGCAGTACATACCAATACTTACACTGTATATGTTTATGATCAACCTTTTCTGATTCCACAACGTTTCTTTGACAATGCAATCGCATGACCAGAACTGGACTTTACCTTCTATTAAACTAGCAGTAGCAATACATTACATGTATGCTACATACATGTACATAAGAGTTGTGAAGGGGACTTTCCCTGTCTACATGCATAAAGCATAGGCGAGAAGTTATTGATATTTCCTACTGTATGAAACTCAAGCATTGAGGCCTATACCTACTCCAACTACATCTTCCGGTACATGAATACTAGTGGAAAATGGACATTTATTTGTCAAAAGATAAATTAGCTTTGAAAGAGAGCAAATGCAGTTTAAACCAGTTGCATCAGTTGCCAAATTATAATTGAGTTTAGTTTCTAATTATCATTGCAACTAGATTTATCAATCTAATGAGGTATTTCCAAGAGCCATTCAAGAGTACCGGGTACTTATATTCTGTGAAATCCATGTATTACTATCCATTAAAGTCTCTGAAAAATAGCATAACACAGGAAGGAAGTTTCATGCAAAATTATCTAGGGTGTCAAATTCTATATTCCTTTATAAAGTATACATGTAAGTACAGATGGTGAAAACAAAGCATAACATTTAATTTTTACTAACTCTAGTACTACAAGTAGGAGCAATTTTTACCCCCCCCCAAAAAAAAAAAAAAAAAAATAACAATCAATTACACTTTGGACCGACTTTGTGCCACTACAAGTCAGATGATAGCAGTGACAATGGGAACATACACAAGTGCTCAAAACATAGCTCCAGATGGAGTTCATAGTATAGTCACTGAACTGTAACAGCAACATTAAACTTCACTGTTATTGCAGGCAACATGAGTGTTTGAGATTAAAGGCACATCACTGTACCACATTATAGCCACACAAACCTAGTCAAAAGTGTCATATTATGGCACTTTTGGCAGTATAATACAGAAGTATTCCTCTAAAAAAATAACATTTTGACGATGTTTAGCGCAAGTTTCAAATGATTTCTTGTTCTTGTAACTTTGCAAATCTCACAAATTTTATCAAAGACCCGATTTAAAACGGAGCTTAAAACGAGCTCCCGCCATTAACACTTGCATACAATTATCATTGGGTTTGATAGCTTCTCGCAAGAGTATCTGTAAGGGAACACACTTTGAAGCAACTTTATAGTGTCTGCATACAGATTTAGAACCAAGTAACAATATATTCAAGATAAAGAGACAAACACGAGCTTGAGGAGATAAGAATGAGGTTGGAGAGGCCTTTAGAGAGAAAAAAAAGAAGGTTGTAATGTGAGACGGGTGATCATTACAAGAAAATGAAAGCACAAATGAACCGGTGTCCAACTTCTAAAAATCAGAACATTTCTAGAATCATAGAAATTACAGACATATCCTGATTTTAAAAAAGGTGTCAAATTACACAAAGTATTCTCCATGATGCTCAAAGTTGAGCATTGAACCCCCTGAAAGCAGGTTTTGAAGAAAAAGGATTAAAGGAAGAGGGGATGAAGTTGAAACAGAAAAGAAGGAAGAGAAGAGAAACTGACCTTGTATTCTGAGTACTGTTGAATTTACCTTCCAAATCTTTTTGCCCCCTCCAATTTTAAATTATTTCATACATGTTTTTGTAGTTTTTCGTCTTTATATTGTGTTTATCTCTGTCTTTTGTGATATCTTTACCTAATGTATACTCAGTAATATAAATTGTAAATATTCGGGGGAGCTTTTTTAAACAAGGCCACGATGGGCTTTTCCTTTGTTCTCCTATTTCATTTGAAGTTATTGTATTAATTGAACATTCTTTGTATGTATATACATGTATACTAGTATGTTTATTTGCATTTGATGTGTTTTTTATAAAAATGAAATGAATAAACGAACGAACGAACGAACGAACGAACAAAAAAGATTTGAAGTTATTGTATTGATTGAACATTCTTTGTATGTATATATATACTAGTATGTTTATTTGCATTTGATGTGTTTTTTATAAAAATGAAATGAATAAACGAACGAACGAACGAACGAAAAAGATTTGAAGTTATTGTATTGATTGAACATTCTTTGTATGTATATATACTAGTATGTTTATTTGCATTTGATGTGTTTTTATAAAAAATGAAATGAATAAACGAACGAACGAACGAAAAAGATTTGAAGTTATTGTATTAATTGAACATTCTTTGTATGTATATATACTAGTATGTTTATTTGCATTTGATGTGTTTTTATAAAAAATGAAATGAATAAACGAACGAACGAACGAAAAAGATTTGAAGTTATTGTATTAATTGAACATTCTTTGTATGTATATATACTAGTATGTTTATTTGCATTTGACGTGTTTTTTATAAAAAATGAAATGAATAAACGAACGAACGAACAAAAAAGATTTGAAGTTATTTTATTAATTGAACATTCTTTGTATGTATATATACTAGTATGTTTATTTGCATTTGACGTGTTTTTTATAAAAAATGAAATGAATAAACGAACGAACGAACGAAAAAGATTTGAAGTTATTGTATTAATTGAACATTCTTTGTATGTATATATAGTATGTTTATTTGCATTTGATGTGTTTTTTATAAAACGAACGAACGAACGAAAAAGATTTGAAGTTATTGTATTAATTGAACATTCTTTGTATGTATATATAGTAGTATGTTTATTTGCATTTGATGTGTTTTTTATAAAAATGAAATGAATAAACGAACGAACGAACGAACGAAAGAGAGCGAAGAGAGGACGGATTGAGAGGAGGCAGAACAGGGGAAGTACCAGGCTCAGGGGTAGAGAAGAAGGAGGAATATACATTAATGAACTCACCTCTGCTAATCCTTTCTTGTCTGAAGTCTTAGCATTGTTGTACATCTTGATAACATTCTTGAAGCCTTCTACCAGGGCTAGCTCCACCTTGTAATGATGTCTCACCTCCTCTACACGGAACTCAATAGGAGTCAGCTGAAGCTCAACCGCTGACGTCCGCCGGAAACCTACAAGAAATAAAATCAATATGTTCTTGCTTTTAAACAATTTCCTTCCTGATTTAAAGGTATAGACCAGTTTTAGAAACGTCCCCTTTCCAAAAATGAAATGGAAGCTCTAATACCAATCATGTGAAAGAATATGTTTTGACTAAACCGTGATGATACAAATTTTGCCGGGAAACCACCTACTAGTTGATATATTTGGTAAAGATCCGGACTGGGCCAAATTTTTTCTCATTTTGATGATTTCAGAACCTTGCAGTACACAAAAATACTTGTATGCTAGATGATCAACAGGGGAATTTATTTTGAACAGGTATCTAACATTTACTGCATCACTGAAATCTGGTAATTTTTAATAGCATGTAGGAAAAATAATAACATGATGTCCCATTCTCCAAAAGCAGACAGACAGACAGACAGATGGATATCATGAAGAGAAAATTGTTTTTGCAAATGGTTTCCAATGTTCTATGTTAACATCATCTACCGATTTGCCGGCGTATAGGCCGCAGTATTTTTGGAAGAGAAAATATCAAAAAGTCGGGGTGCGGCCTATGCGGTGAAAGAGTAAAAAAAGTTTTTTTTTTTTTTTTAGTTTCGATTTATGGCGCTATGCCTGGCAATGTCTCCCAGCTCAGTAATCAGTGTGTTGACTCACCACTCGGAAACTACAACAACACTAAAATTTGACTGTCATCTTGGTTTGAAAGTAATCTTTCTAATAGATTTCAATATGTAGTTTATAATAATAGTTCCTCAATTTTTTTTCTATAACAAATGGTGTACCACAAGGTACACCACTGGTACCATAGGTACTTTATTGTTTTTAATTCACATTAATGATCTTATACATTCTTCTAAAAACGACATTGTTGCTATTATTTGTGACAAGTTTACAAGCACATATCAGCGCCTTTAACTGCACCTCGATGTTAAATGAAGGTCCTTCCACGCGTGGGTTTTCGGCAGCAAAACAACAACAACAAAACAAAAAAAAAAGATTTTTTTTTTTTTTTTTAAATGTCAAAATCGGGGGTGCGGCCTATACGGCGCTGCGGCCATATCGCCGGCAAATACGGTATTGAGCCTGATTCCGTCTGAGACTATGACCACATGAAATATACGCTATACATCAACTACCTACTCAAAACAGAAGCCATGGCCAATGAATACCTTTCAAGGATAATAATTCCATCTACACACCCATAGTGTACACTGAGCTTATTTATATCCTCAGTTTGGAGCCAGAAGGGCATTAACTCACATACTTCAACATAGAATTAACGCCCTTCTGGCTCTCAACAGATGGATTATGTTTTCATATTGCATATTACCAGCTGGTTCACTCAGCATGGATTACAATATAACACCACATCCCCATCTTAAAAAACAACACATGAACCGTAGTCACGCAGTTTGAAGCCTAGCTAAAGGCAGTCACAACAAATGTCAAAGTAATCAATGACAGCGGTGCTGGTGTGAGCCGCAGTTTGGATAATCAAAGTGCTTTTAAAATTAAGTTTATTTTTAGGCAGTATTTATCTCCCTCTCTTTAAGTCTCACATTTAGTTAATATGTCATTAATCAAAGAGAAACTGCCAAATAAAATGATCATGATAGATTTGTACAGACTAGTTTATGAGTGGCACATATATAATCACAGCCTATCAATAATCAATCACAGAAAATTTACAAATTTGCTAATATAATCTCCTGTAGCTATGCCCCCTGGGTATGAATAATACACGAATCAGTGAATCTTCCCAAACTTTGGGGAGATGAAGATCTTTATTTGATAAGATAATCAAATAAGAAAATGTGTTTTCTTATGTTTTAATGACTATAATAAAATAAAAAAAATGAAATTCAATATAGGGTAGAAGTTTTTTATGAAATATACTATTTAATCATTTTGGATATAATGGCATCAAGCTAAAAGAAATCAGTAGCTAAATGAAGGTGTTCAAAAAGTTACCATTTAGTAACATTCATAATTGAAATTTATTATGGGCATTATCTTTAATTTAGTGTACTTTTTCATCAACTAATTGCAGGCTTGTATTTTGTAGAACAGGAGTATTGGATGGCAATTATTAAAGGTAATACAAAGTTTTGGGAAATTTTGAAAATTGGGTGGATAGTTATTCTTTACTATTTTGATATATTTGGATGCCCCTGTGGATGTGTTATAAGCACTAGAAAATTTAGCCCCTAAAACACTCCTACCTTTGAGAAAAATTAAATATAAACATTTTAAATAGCGCCTACGGCTGTTCAATGGTAGCTACGACCATGAAAATCTCACAATATGTACTTGTGATATATAATTTTCAAACGAGAATAGCTAATCGGTTGATTTAGTCAATAAACATTGTTTTATAGCTTAATTAATATCTTGACCTTGAGAGGGAGCTATATTAGAGTCTATTTTTTACAATTTCATAACTTAAGACTCGTTTTCAATAGCGACAACGATCACTGAATATTGTAGGATCGCATAGGCTTCCAATAAGTTCATTTGAACCAAATTCATGACCCCATACCAAAACTTTGTAATACCTTTAAAGCGATGTCAATCTAGGTCTATATTTCATTGAGACAAAATAAATATTCTACAATGGACCATGTTTCTGCTTCAATTACAGCAACAACATAATAACAAATCTTCTCCTTTGTAAACGATACTCACTTTACGCACAGAAATTGAAACAGCTTTAAAGTACAATGACCCCAAAATTCATGGGTCCTTTGAATATCACTTTCAATTATGAAATGAAACATTGTCATGTGAAATATTCATCAAAGTATAGATCATTCAAGTGTTCTGTAAACTCAACATAATGTTTCTATTCTAGTGGCTGAATTTCAAATTGATACAAGTACATTGTAGACAGCTGTACAGTACATAGAAAAGAATGCTACATTTATGTGCAAGGAGACACTATGAACATGACTGACAAAGAAAGCGGACAAACTTCTGAATTTACTAGGGCATATGCCTACTATTAAACTCTAAACTTCTATCATTTGAACAAAGCCAAATCCTCTTAAACCTTGAGCTCAACCATTCTAAAGCTCTTTCTGTGAATATAACTGGAAGGTTTTATCCTCTTAATCCCTTGAATAATGTCCAGAGTTTGAGTCATCATTAGACCGCTTTGTATTCCCTATAAAAGAATGTATTGCTGGTGACAAAATACTGACAGTATTAATGGACAATTGCATGGGCGGGCCGAAATTATGATAATCTGACCATGGATCACTCTTTGATCCACTATGATCAACAAAATTTGAAGTTCCTACCGGTCATGCAATTGAATAGGATGAGCAGGATGGTTCTAGAGATCTGTAAAGGTTTGTAGATTTGTAGGCCTTGGGCTAGTTGTGAGTCAAACAAAAACAGTGGCCTGTGAAATGATTTTGTCATGCCTTTTTTTTTTCTTGGGGGGGGGGGGGCACTACTACCTGCATTTCTATCACTTTTCTAATGAACAATATGCATTTGTTACTATGGTTGCTGCAGTTATATCAGTACTTTTCACCTGACTAAATGTACATTATGTAGGCAGGGCTAAAATAAATATTGACAGGAGTCCCTACCCCTGAATATCTACTCAAGAACCCCCACCCCCCCCCCCCCCTCAAACAAGATATCATATTTTGTCATTTGTATATCAGCCTTATCTTATGAACAAAGATCCTAAAATCTTTGTAGTGGGTCCATGTTTGAAGGAAGAAAAACAGTGTGGAGTCCTGATGTAAGCTTTGCCCCAGCCTCCACAATTCAGCAAACCGAGTCTGTACCATGAGACTAGGTCGTGCAGCTGAAGTGCATGATGATGATAGCCTATAACAATGTAGGTATGGGACGGAGGGCTGAATTTAGCTGTACAAGGTTAGCACAATATTATGATAAGGAATATTCCATATCCATCCCCTATCAAGCTCAATAATTTGAGGGGAGTGGAGATTGTAGTGTCATTAGGAACTACAGCTAGTGAGCTAGGGGCTCTTTTTTCTAGGAGGGGGGGGGGGGGCTGAGCCTGAGTGGACGACATCTCTTGCAAAACAAGCCTGAATATCAACTGTCCCGTTTTTAAATTTTGCCTGTATACCAACGTGAAGTGAATGACGACAGTTTTGTGTAAAATGAAAAGCATATATTACAATGTTGTTGTTTTTTAAAACTACACATACATGTAGACTACCCTATTACTCATTTCAAATTCGGGGATAGGGGCACCATTATGTATAATGGTTTCATTAGAAGCATTACATCTACAATACTACAGATTCTACTTTCTAAAGTCAGTTTCCTGGAAGATTCAAGATAGCCAATATAACAGACACACACAACAATATACCAAATCCGAGCAAAGAGCCTAAAAAGTGCACTTTTATGAGAGTGATCTGTTCTTCATAATCACTCTTAAATTGGTAATATCGGCAATCCATTATTTCAGCATTTAAACTTATACGTGTGCACTACTCTGCCCATCACATAGAGAATACAGTACTACATGTATATGGACACATCACTTGCAACCATAAGGGACCTTTACTTCACACATCTTTTCCTCGTAATTCCTACTCCTCTTCTAATTCTTCGACCACTCTATGCCAATTTCCCTGATTACCTATCCACAATCCGCCAAAGTGATTGCAGCACGCTCGCAGCTTGAAATCCATTCTCCAGCCGCCACCGCGAAATCAATCTCTGGCTCCTTAATTTGTATTAACGTGTACGGCAAGGGACGTCTTCATTCAGATTTAATTGCCGTGAATGGACGTACAAATGAGGGGAAATTGCTCTTAACCCAACATGGCCGATTCATGCTCTAAGCAGATGGCAGGCCCTTGTTAAAGTTCAAAAACATCTTGATATCTTCAGCTGGTTCATAATTCATTATACATGTATATATCACTTAGAAAGTTCTGAATAATTCAAACAAAAACATGTAAATGTTTAATGTGTGGATGACTCAAAAATTCCCTGGAATAAA